TGAAATAAGTGAAGAGGTGAAAGGGAAAGAAATAGAACTGTAACATTACCCCTGTTGTAAGGGTAGTAGGCACCGACTACTATCAAAGAAGACGATGCGATCGTTTATAATTAGTAAGAAGGTCAGAAGCGTTACCTAGTTCAGCTTCTTTCATCCATTCGTTCTCGGAACTCGGGAATCCCTTCCACTTTACATAATATTGTCGTCTAGATGAAGATCCGCGGTGTCCGACAACCGCTTCTACTTCGTGTTCTTCTTCGCCATCGATTAAGTCAGGAGGAGGCGAGATATAATTAGGGCCGTGGGTATCGTTCTCTTTGTAGGGAGAAAGGAGTGCGGCATGGAATACAGGATGAATGCGCCATTGTGACGGTAGCGCGAGACGATAGGTGATAGGGGATAATACATCGGTAATGGTGAATGGTCCTTCGCGTTTAGGAGCGAGTTTCCGATTAGGATATCCGAGATGGAGGTTTTTGGCTTCTAGCCATACTTTGTCGCCTTTAGAGAATGGTACGAATTTAGACGTAATTCGTTGACGCATAGTATTGCGTGCGAGTTCATGAGCGGCTAGCGCTTCGTCGCGTGCTTTATTTAGTAATGAGAGTCGTTGTTCAATGTTAGGGATGTCGGATTTTGGATGGGAATCGGGGAGGTGACGTGGGTGATAACCCATCATAAGGTAAAAGGGGGAAGTGCCACGTGCTGAATGGTGTCGCGAGTTATGAACGAACTCGGCTAGTGGCAGCATGGGTGCCCAACCAGTTTGGTCGTTAGCACAAAAGATCCGGAGGTAGACTTCGAGTTCTTGGTTAACTCGTTCGGTCTCTCCATCACTCTGGGGGTGGAATGCGGTGGAAAGGGAATTCTTGTATCCGAGGAGTTTTCCGAGTTCGACCTGGAATCTAGAAGCGAACTGAGGTCCGCGGTCAGAGATAATTTTATCGTAAAGTCCGTATCTGGCGAAAACTTTAGAAAAGAAAATGTTCGCGACGCCTTCAGCGTCAATAGTTTTGAGACAAGGGGTGAAAATTACCCCCTTTGAAAGTCCATGGTCGACCACGACCATGATAGAATCGAAACCGTCAGAGATAGGTAAGTCCGTGATAAGATCTACTGAGCAGTGGGCAAAGGGTCGGTTGGAGATGGGAGCCGGGATAGGAGAGAGAGGGGGAGTCGAAGGGTGCGTGTTTACTTTATTCTGTTGACAGATGCAACAGCCTTCGACGAAGTTCTTGACGAACGTGGCTAATCCTGGCCACCAATAGTCGCGAGAAAGGAGTTCCTGGGTTTTGAAGCGTCCAGGGTGTCCGGCAGTGGGGGAGTCGTGGTGGAGAGAGGTAAGTTCTCGTCGGAGATCTCCGGGAGGTACGTAAGTGAGTCCTTTAAAGGAAAGAATTCCGTCGCTTAATTTCCAGTCGGAAAGAGCGGAACGGAGTGGGGGAGGAATAGAAGAGTCAGTGAGCGCTTGAAGCGCTGTATGTACTACGGGATCAATAGAGGAGGAAATACGTAGTCTGTCCGTAAAAGAAGTGTCAATAACGTTGATAAACATAGAGTCGGGGAGAAGTTGAATACTAATATTATCCTTTTCGTCACTATCGACCGGAAGGTGATCCGTTCTACGAGATAACAAATCGGGGATGATGAGATCTTTCCCGGGTACGTGTTGTATTTGGAGTTCGAATTGCGAAAGGAAAGTTTGCCATCTTGCTTGGCGTCGGTTAAGGTCTTGCACGTCCCTAAAATAAGTAAGATTCTTATGGTCAGTCTGAACGGTTACGGGGAACGGTGACCCAAGGAGATAATGTCTCCATGCTTTCAAAGCACGGACAATCGCTAGTAGTTCTCGATCGTAGATCTGATAATTACGTTCAGCTGGGTTAAAGGATTGAGATAAAAATGAACATGGAAGCCAGTCTCCGTTATCGTTTTTCTGGAGGAGTACGGCTCCTGTGGCGTAAAGCGATGCGTCAGTAGCGATCGCAAATGGGGAATTCTTGTCGGGTATTTGGAGAATCGGTGATGAGGTAAAAATACGCTTCAGCTTATTAAAAGCTTCCTCACGTTCGTAAGTCCAAGAGAATTCTTCGTCTTTCTTGGTTAGATCTATTAAGGGTCTGGCGATGGATGAGTAGTCAGCGATAAACCGTCGGTAAAAGTTAGCGAATCCGAGGAATGATCGGACTTCCTTTACTTTCGTGGGAGTCTTCCATTCGGATATACCTTTCAGTTTGGCGGGATCCATGGCGATAGAACCGGGTTTAATGATCATGCCGAGATATTCGATGTCGGTTACGTTAAAGGTGCATTTTTCGGGTTTAAGGTGAAGGAGGTTGTCGCGGAGTCTTTGGAGTACTTTATGGGTTCGGATTTGATGTGTTTCGTCGTCTTTAGAGAAGATCAGTATATCGTCCATGTATATAATAATCCACCCCTCCTGTATCATATCTCCGAACAAGTCGTTCATCATAGATTGAAAGGTAGCAGGCGAATTACACATTCCGAAGAACATGACGGTGGGTTCAAAAAGTCCTCGGGAAGTGGCAAAAGCCGCCTTCCATTGATCTGTCTTTCTCATCCTTACGTTATTATATCCCCATCGAATATCCATCTTGGTAAAGATCTTGGCGTCCTTTAGCTTATCTATAAGATCGGAGATTAGCGGTAGAGGATAGTTATTCTTAACCGTGTGTTCGTTCAAGTAGCGATAATCCTGGCAGGGTCGGAGGGAACCGTCTTTCTTCCCGACGAAGAAGAATGGAGAGGATTGAGGGGATTCGGAAGGAACTATCGTTCCTTTAGCTAGATGTTCGTTAATGAAATCGTTCATAGCCTTTTCTTCTTTGGCATTAAGCGGATAGATTTTGCATTTCCGCGGTTCAAACGATTCTTTGAGGTCGATCTTGTGGTCATATTTGCGTTCTGGGGGAAGGGTACCGTTAGCTACATCACCAAATACATCTTTGTATTGTCGGAACTCTTCGGGTACGAGTTCTTCAAAGGTTTTCTTTGGCTTTGTGGCGTCTTGGGCGAGCGTCTGTGAGATATTGTCAGTTTTCCGGATATAGGTATAAAAGTCGTCATCGTCATTGATGGGATCTAGAAGGTGTGGGAGGGTTTCATTAGCGGGGTCCCATTCCGGTTCCAGGTCTTCTAGTGCGTCATAAAAAACGTCTTCTTCTTCGATTTCTTCAATTGTGGCTTTCTTTAGGGTACGCTCCCTTAAGCGGACTTTTTGATTAGTCCAATCGATATCTGGGTTTTCTTTCTTTAGCCAAGTCATTCCCAGGATAGCGTCTTCTCCTCCTAGAGAGGTTACGAAGAAACGCTTCCGCATAGGGATATCTTTGATTGAAAAGGAAAGTTCACAGTACCGTGTGATTCTTCCGGCTTTGTTTAACGTGCCGTCTACGTTCCGCACAGGTATTGGGGTTTCGAGTTTGTGCGTGCGAATGTTTTCTTTGAGTATGAATTTCTCGTCGATGAATTCGCCTTCTGCGCCACAATCAATTAGAGCAGCGGCTACGGTGGTTTTTCCGGTTTTCTTGGATCTTATGGTGAGGGGTAAACGAATAGAATTAGTATCACCAATAGATTGCACTAGAAGTCCGATTCTGGGAGCTTCTGACACCGTGGCAGGCTCCCCTAAGCAAAATCCTCCTCATCGCTACTTTCTTCCTTCTTAACCGGCTTCTTACCGGATTTCTTCATTTGGCGTGCTTTAAACACTTTCCATTCTAGGAATTCTTTGTAGTCGTCGTCAGGTGACTCCTTGACTACTTTCCTAGTGGCGGTCGTAACCGTGGGATGGTTAGGGCAGTCTGCGGCTAAGCCCTTCTTACCGCATTTGAAGCAGAGGCCGCCCTTGCGCCTGCGCTCCCGTTCTTGAGGGGTTAGGTACGTTTTCCTCGTCTTCTTCTCACCTTCTTCATCGTCTACTTCTACTTTATCTATATCCATGGCGTAGGGATCTCTTGCCTTGGTATAGGAAGGAGGTGCTATTAAGGTCCTTCGTACCTCGACGTCTAAGGCTTTCTCTAGCCACGTCTCGATGGTGGTAGGGGTCGTTTCGAAGGCGTAAATAGCGGAGACTATCTCACGCTTTAGCCCGTTCCTAAAGAACATGATCTTGGTGTTCTCTTCGGTAATGCCAGTATCGGCTAGGATGGTTCGGAATAAGGATGCGTACGCAGCTACACTGCCGGTCTGTCTGAGGGAAGAAATACGGCGGATTGCCATTTGTTCAACGTTCTTAGGGAAGAAGGTGGATTTGAATTGCTTAGCGAAGTCAATCCAGGTTCCATAGTTCTTGCTCGTGGCCGCAGCTTTGAGCTGGCCTTCGGCCCATTTAGCAGCCTCGCCTTTGGTCATAAGGCTGAGGGCGAAGATGACTTTCTTTTTGTCATTATCGTATACTTCATCGTTCATGTCTAGGTACGCTTCTACTTGAAGCGTCCATCCCTGGGCAAGGCGAGTATCGCCGTTGAAGGGTGCGGGGGTCTTTCCAATTTCTTTAGGCATTGGTGCTGAGAGGGATCGTTCGTAGGTTTGGGTATGGAAATTCCAAACTTGGTTCTTTTGGGGCGATGCTAGCGTAGTAGGCTGCCCACTGGTCGATTGAGTATCTGGTGCCCTTGGCGTCTATCTGGAAGAACTCTTGTTCTTCTTCGTCCCAGGTAAAACCGGGAGGTGTCGGGGCGATCGGTGGTATGGTGTCTGGGGTCCTACTCGTCCCTTGTGATTACACAAAAGGGAGGAGCTTCTGGGTTCTGGTTCTTTCACGAGTTCAAGGGAACCGTGGGGTAGAAGATAACTTGACCTTTTGTTACGCTCGGCGTTCGTGAGAACGGCTAAACAGTCACAAAGAGTCTAAAGCGTACACCTATGTACGAGTCGTGCGAGTTAAGCAGTATATTGCAGGCCCTGGTCTGCATAGGTCAAGTTAAAGAGTACAAGCGTAAGAGATAGAGTATATATAAAGGAATTAAAGCGGAGCTTTAATAAATGAATCGGAGATGGAAAGTAAATAGCGAATCAGAAAAGAGAAAGGGAATCGTACGATAGAATGTTATAGAATGTTCTGTGAATGTGTGATAAGGTGAAATAAGTGAAGAGGTGAAAGGGAAAGAAATAGAACTGTAACAGTAGCACATGATCAGGCTGATCGTCAGCGCATGCTGGATGGCAATACATAACCACACTGCCCAACCTATCCCATGGGCTCGAGCCAGAGTATTGATCACTGGAAATAAGATGACGGTGGGTATGCTGGAACTAATGCCAGTGGTATAGATAGCTCCTGCACCGAAGCGATCATGTAAACGAGCGAAGAAAACCAGCTGAACCACGACCTGTGCGGCACTTGATGCCGCAAGTATAGCGCCGATGCGAGGAGGGTCAAGGGAAAGACCGCCAAGTGCAATCGGTGTCGCATAGAAAATAGGTAGGACTGAATTAAACGCAATGCGAAACAGGCCCATGGTGGCATTACTTGCTGTGACGGCCGAAACTTTCGGTGTCAACAAGGCGCGCAGCGGAAGCGGCTTTGATTGGACTTCTTCAAGATGGGCTTCTCCAGTATTAACGAGCACATTGCTCGACAGCTGGCGAGGCTTTGCGTATGACTGTCGGAAGCATCTTCTTTTGACTAGCTCCCAAAGTGGTGTCCTGGTTGAAACGCTCTTGTTGCCACACTTAGTGTGATCCAGATATGTGTTTCCAACATCACACTCACCTCTTTAAGACCGAAATACGTGACTAGCCAAACTACTGATATAAAAATTGTCGGTATAGAGCATGGTAAGAGATATGGGTAGGTTTTCAGGAGTTCCGATCGCCTAAAGATATCAGGGAATCTGTCTGCTGGTCGGGAGAGCGATCCCCCAATGAGTGGTCTAGATACCATGAACCTCAGTGCAAGAGTAAATGTACTGTACCATGCCTACCCAACTACGGCTCCGATCATCCACGGAATTGGCATATAACTGTATGCCTTGGGCATATTGGTTGCGTCAGTGATGTCCATCACCATGCTCTCGATGACACTACTGCTCGCGTCAAATGCTCCGCAGACAACACGACTGGTCAAGAATATCAGTAATTGACGGTCACAACTACTATTCGATATTTAACACGCTGACCTAACTACCAGACCAAGGAAGGTCTTCGACAGCCCAAACGAAACCATCGAAACAGAAAGTGCTAATAGAGCTGTCAGTATTACAGGCTTCCGCCCAATGTGGTCAGACAGTTGACCCCAATGAAAAATAGTCAGTGCATGAACTGCATAGTATGACGATTGCTTGGGAGAATATCAGGAAAGAAGGAAGGGGCAGGAACGATGAAGACAAGCTTACAAGGATGCCGACATAGTAACCAACGTGGGATTCGTCTCCGTGAATCACTCCGATGTCTCTAATGAGCTTGACAAAGTTCCGATTGTGGTCAGATTCAAGACCAAGCAAAGGGAATATACTCACTTGGGGTATAAACGGGGTAAGGGTCTGAGAGGCAAGAGGATCTGACAGCTGCGAGAGCAGTATAATCCATAATTGGTCCCAGGGCAGAGGTGTCCTAGTCGTTGGCTGCTCCGGTCGTTGTAGAAGAGGTGTCTCCTCGTCATCCTGCAGCATTATCATGGTGATACGAGAAATCTAGACAGAGGGAGAAGAGGCGATTGCGCGACAGCTGTCTCTAAAATTACCCTTATCCACCGTAGAGCCGCTGCTGGAACTGTACAAGAAAATGCTATTTAGGGTGAATTGAAATGGATTGAGATAGTCTAAGACTGCCTCACGCATGGCGGCGGGAAGCTACGGTTCAGAACTTGAAACACGTGTTGAGGCTGCGATAAGGAGTCCACAAGAACCTGCTTTCTCTCAGATCAGTGACAGGAATGATTAAAAGCGTCACACGCGGACATAATAGTAGGCACCTCCTATTACGCATGTGGCCCCGTATAGCCGCCTGTGGCCAGGAGGTAGGTACCCCGCAAGTACTGTCGCCCAGAGGATCTCAGGCCTATGCCAGCCTTAGGCTAACCCTCACCTAAAACACGAGATGAGATTAAATAGAGTAGACATAATAATAAAAAACGATGTTAATTAAAGGATCAGTTACGACGCTGGGTGCTATAGCATGAGGCGCAAGTACTGCTGGATTAAGTACGTCTACGGATGACACCGATACGTTGGCCAGGCGATAACGTATATACCCACTGTCGCTAATATCATTGAAACTAATACAGTGATACTCTGCCCATCGTCTATGTAATATATTGTATTGTCTGCACTGGCAGTTTACTGGCTCGCCACCGTGGTTAATACCAATGGTCGCAATGTTCCTTTCGAGTCCACCGTTATTGTTCGCTTCCATAAGCCCTTTCGTCGTTTCTTCCACTATGATCAATCCACAGGCCATTGTGGGTGTTGAAGATAACCACAAAGTGGTCTGTCCACGGCCCTAACTCATTTAAAGGACGCGGGTCTGTATGGTAGCCATCAACTTCGTCTCACTGAACGCTCTCCCTTGTCCTCACGCCACTGTTTACTATGTCGTCTGACCGTATTGTGCGTCTCGGCCCCAAGCTCACTCTCAGGTTCAAGACTTCCTCTCCAAAACCAGCAAATTCAGATTCGTCTTACCAGAGCTCTGTCTCGGCGTGCCCCCCAGTAGAGGCCCCACGAAGCCAGAAAAAGAGATCTCGAGATGCTCGATATGAAACCGACACTCCTGTCATCCCTTCCTCTGCCATACCGCCCACGCGCGCCATAGTACCATTGAGGCGAAAGATTACTACTGCGACGGATGGAAAATCGGTTGTTGGTCATTCACAAAACAATGAAGCAGTGGGTTGTGGTTATAGGGACGATAGCTACGCGTCGGAGCACCTCTCCCAAGATTGGGAGATGTCAACTCCAGCCAACCCTCCTGGCGCGCACGTTCCTACTCAATTTCTTCAACTGCAAGATGACTGGGAGATGGAATATTGGTGAGCATTTTATTCCTTTTTCAATGGTACGGGAGGCTGATGTCATGTCACAGATAGGTTTGGGTTGTACTATAGAAGGATTAGGAAGGGAAGTCTCAAGGGCAGACTGTTGAGGGAATCGTAGGTGTACAAGCGTAGGCGCTAGTGTAATGGTGTCGGGAAATGTACGTCACTGAATATCTTTTCGGACAAAGCATGGTCGTATCATCTCGCGACGGTCCGTGCAAGCGTTTCGATCGCTTGCCCCCCGATTCTCATATCTAAAACATGACTCACTTGATCGGTCCTCGTCGATTTTTCATATTTCCGCACAAATGCTTGCAGGTGGCGTGCCCAACAGTAGTACTGGTGAGTTGCTGCATCTGCTAATGATTGCCGTTAAGTACGTCAAATTTCCAATTCCGGTTCTTAGCCATGGATCTCCATACTCTTCATAGTATGGGCATCGGGGCCTCAGCGTGCGGCTCTTTAGCTAGACGATGAGTCGCGGCTTAGGTGCGAATATGATTGTTGAAGTCTCACCATTATGAAGCTCTTGTTCTGTTTTCCTATTACTTCCTGGAGCCGCTTCAGCAATGTCCATACTCCATGAGCACCTGACCGACGTTCTCTGCGCGCATATGTTGCATGACTCCAGGATGTACTCTTGTGGCATCCGGTGATTAGGTATAGAACACGATTCTCGATTTCCGATTGAGGATGATTTCTAGTGAAGTCGAACCAACATTCTGCATTGTCTACGACTTTCTCCAAGAACTGACGATGATTCTGGAGTTCATAACATCGGCACTCTGGAAGGACAAGGTATGCCCATTCCTTGGATGTTGCCTGGCATTCATGCTTGACCGTATTGTCATTAGGGACGGTGTCACTTTATAAATAATGAGCTAGTTCGAAGAATGTTGATTGAAAGAATGCTACCTACTGATCATGGTACGTCCAAAAACCCTTTGAATAACGCACCAGCCAGTTTGATATGAGCGACCCAGGGTTTTCATCATATGGGAATGTGGCAATCTCTTCACGATCTACATGCACTTGTCGAAAATAATTTGATACCCTGTGTCTCGATGAAGGGAGTCACAAGGATCAATTGAACAATACGCTGAACCTGCCATGTGAAGTGATCATGCCAACATCTCAATCCTTATTCCTTTGGACTGACACTCCTATGCGAGATTGATGTCCGGCTCTGGATGCCATAGAGGATAGCCGAAGCCTCGTTAAAGTAAGAGTTTTGCGCAAACTTCGCACTCGTCTTGTTTGTTGTGCATTGTTGGGGATACGAGATTAGGGGTATCACCCAAACCGCCTGTCGAGTGAGGACACGTGATTCAGAGCATTCGAGGCAGCACTTCAGAAGCTTCGGCAGAGAGTTTCCTAACATGCGGGGCCTATGATGCTAGAGCCTCTATTCCGCCGCTCTTTTCGAGGTCCCCAGAAAACTTTCGTGTGTTTCTTATCAACTGCTGACACGGTCACGAATTAGCAACTCATTTTTTTCAGGGTCCCTTCTCGAATCTCGCCGTCACGGTAGCTCTGAGTCTCATATGAGCCAAGTGCTTCGCATAGCGTTGTCATGGTGTGTCGTTCTGTGAACTTCGAGGCAAACTAAATTCTGAACTAGTGAAGAAGGGGTGAGTTTGAGCACCCACTCTTGCGTGTCATCGTGCTCCTCAATGCTCGTGGATCCTGGCAAACCATCATGCGCATGGGCAGTAGAATAATACATGGTAGGTCGACCGAGGAATTAGAAAAGTTCTCAATATAAAAATGGCCCAATTCTCTAAGTCGATGCGGCACCATGTTCCTTTGCCCAACCTTGAGGATATCCCATAGGACGTTCAGCGACTGGTGAGATCTGTCATTCTCGTAACCTAGGACTGCCGGTCTGTATGCTGATACTTTGTTCATATTCTCGTCTATGCATTGCCTGTATAAGCTAGCAGATCATCCATTGGACCGTCACAGTGGTCAATGCTAATGGTCGCAATGTCCTTCCGCATTGACCGTCATTGTTCATTTTCCATCGTTCTTACCACCATGATCAATCCACAGGCCCTCACAGATATGGCGATTGATACCATTCATGGCATTGTCGAGTCCAACGTCGCAATTGCGCTGTGGGTGTTTGAAGGCAACCACACAATGGTGCATCCACAGCTGTAAATAATTTTTAAAGGATGCGGGTCTACAAGGTGGCTACCAAGCTTACCCCACTGAACACTGCATCGCAGAAAAAACCTTCACTTCCTACTGCCTTATCCTCACACTACTCTCCATAATGACTCTACCTGGAAAGGTGATCCGAATCAACGAAAATGCCACCATAAGGCTTATGCCCACAAATCATCTTCCACCACGCCTGAAACGCCTTCTGCAGCGTCAGCAGGACTTCAACATTTCTGAGCGCTCTGACTCGGCACTCCCACCCGTAGAGGAGCCAGCTTCAAGCGCAGCAATAAGTCAGGCTGAACCAAACATACCTGCTATAACGCAGTCGCCTTCCCATCGGAAGAGAAAGACCCGGAGGAGTAGAGAGAAGGAGAACAATATTGCATCACCCATCGCCTTAAAACGCCGCCACCGTATTCGCGCAAGGCTCGACCATGGTGCAGCCTCCACCACACATACTACTATCGATTAGATACATACGATACCTCAGAGCTGCTTGACCTTGTTTCCCGTGTCTGAGACACGGTTTGTTTGATTTATGCTTAATATTCATGGACTCTCTATTTTGCCATGCGAGTGGTGTACTCAATGAGTAGCTTCCTCTGCTAGTCATTTATTATGTTATATGACGATTACCTACGGATTCAGGCTATGTAGCGTCAATTGCAATCAAATTCTAACGGTAGCACGAACCGAATTCAAATGAGGCAATCGTCACTTTCGAGCCTCTAACTCCCTTAAGCTTAGTCTACTCCCCTGAGTTTCCGATTGTTCACAATACACTTCTACTCTAGTCTTTTAGTTTCATATTCTTCAATCAAATGTGAGCGAATCTCCATGAACTGGGGGACTCCATCATTGATTCAAGGATATTTTCACTGTACTCCGAGGCTAACGAGGACGGCGGTGGTGACTCGGACTGTGGAAGTATTGGTATGCTCTAAGGCAAACCCCAACTCACGAATATTCGGCCAATCGGCTGCAACATCTTTGATGGGCATATCATCAATATGGTATCCCGTGGTGAATGGTTCACCCTTGCTGTTGGACTCCGAGATCCGAGTCGAAGAAAACCGACGCATCCGAGACAGGAACGGATAGAGAGGTAGCCTACGAGCACAAGCACAAAATCGGACCAAGGCGAGCGACGTTTTGACGTCGGCTCGCGTCCTGCATTGTTTTCATGTTTTTCTTTGATATAATAGCCAGTTGGCAATGTACTTACTATAAAAGCGCCTGCAGTAGCACACGGACATCTCTGTTCTTTGGAAGAGACCGAGATGTGAGTTAGAATTTCATTATCGATACTTATAGAGTGTAACGCGACGTAGTGTACTTGTCCTTACAGCGTTCAGACTTCCTACCTTTGTATATTCACCAGACTTGCCTTGTTTTTGTGCATCATTAGGAATAGATCTACAAGATCAGGGGCATTACCCAAGTTGCTTATAACCGACTTGGGTCACGTGAAGGTATTTTTTTCGGGGAATGTGGAGTCGCTGTCGGACTAGGTTACAACCACAGCACTCAAAAGTTCCAGGCTTCCTGCTTTTGAGAGAGGATTTCTTACGATGCATGACATATGATGCGAGAACTCAGAGCTGCGCCTTCTTCGCTTGTCTTAGGGTCTCCACAAACCTTGTGCGCAATTCATTTACTGCTCCGAACGCTCTCGGACACAGCCACGAATTAGCAACTGGCTTTTCAGGGTGTCCTACCCTGTTCTTCTCACACGAGCCAAGTGCTTCGCAAAGCGTTATCCTGGTGTGTCGTTTAGTGAAGCGAAACGAGCTGAAGTCTCAGAACAAGTGGAAAATTCGAGCATCCGCCCTTGCATGAGTGCCCCTCAGTGCTCACGGATTCCGATAAATTAAAAGCATTACTTCTGTTGCTGCATCCTCCTTGCAGTCTTCCCTTCAACCGTTCTCTCTTCTCTTCACATAATGCTGGACCTAAGATCACGCCTGTTCGAAATTCAACTCGGCAATCCAATACAGTACGTTTCCTTGCCGTCTTAAACTATAGCCAGTACTTTTCGCAGGTTGTACTATATGCTGACCATTATAACATGTATTCACAGACAAGAAAATTGATACATGGAGTATGCTGTTGACTTTTCAATACGAGGTCGAAGAAGAAATTATTGATAATAATGTGACGTAGGTCCTAGGACCAAATGCGACACCTTGACGAACATGGGGGGTAGAATAATATATGGGACATTGGACGAGGGATTGAAAAAGTAGTAAGTACTCGATTAAAAATGACCTATTCCTCCGAGTCGATGCCGCATTGCATTCCTTTGGCCAACCTTCGACGCGTCAACCTTGCGTGAATCCTACAGGACGCTCAGCAGTTAGTGAGGTGTATTGTTCTTGTAACAAAAAATCTAGGACTGATACTTGGTTCGTGAAGTCGTGTGTGCATTGCCCGAACCAGTTGGCAGATAATTCACTGGACCGTCGCGTGTGGTGGTCACTGGTCAATGCCAGTGGACACAACGTGCCTCCGCCCCATGATTGACCGACAGTGTCCACCTACAAAAGTGTCTGCTGTTCTTACCACCAGGATCAATCCACAATCCTCACAGATTTGGCGATGAATACCCCCATGACGTTGTTAAGTTCAAGTCCGCTGTGAATGCGAACACAAGCACACAACGATGTGCCCACAGCTCTCAAATATTTAAAGGATACTGGTCTAGAAGGTAACTATCAAGCTCTTCCCAGTAGTGAACGCTACATCGCAGAACAAGCCTTCACTTCTTACCTTGTCTTCACTCCTAACTACCATGATTCCCGGAAGAATTATTCGAATCAACGACAAGGTCATCTTAAAACTTTGGCCCAGGCTCGAGGGCCAGGTCATCAAGAGCACCCCATTATTCTCCTTGAAACTCAAGCCGATGACAGTTTCTCCGTACTATCCCAACCTGCACCCGAACGAGTTAGAACCTGCTATGCAACAAGTGGTCATCACGATATCGCCCTTGGCCAAGGCGACCAAGGACGATGAAGAAGACTATCAGGATGACGAGGATGACGAAGAAGATAACCTCAGTACTAGTTGTGATTCATCAGAGGATCAGGATGACAGCAGCTGGGAATGCCCACATCCCACTAGAGGTATGCATTGCATACTTTTTGCAATTGTTTTTTTTGGAACTGACGACATTTCATAGACCTACCCTGCAGTGAAGCAGGTTCAGAAGACATCAAGGACTCTGATTATTCTACCACCGCAGAAGTAGGACGGATGAGGACGAGGGAGGACTAGGTGTCAAGAAGTGTATTATATTTGGGTCAGGGACTCATGGAATGTCAAGGCATTGGACTCAGACACGGCATGGCCATCGATATATCTAAGCTTATGGACTTGTCATGCACCTGGTGTGCTCGACTACATAGTAGCAATGAATAGCTGGGTCTGCTAGTTATCTGTTATTGTATACATCTGGGTGTCCTCACTCTTTATCGCATGTGTCATCGTCCCCCGCGGTCTTGAAATATTTTAATTCATGCGCGCAAGCTTGCCGCAGTCGAAACGACGTTCAGAAATTTTAAATACATCTTGAAGCTGGAGTTATGAATTTTCAAGTGTTGTCGTGACTAAAGATGAGACCTTGAAATAATAAATTATATATAGCTGGCATACGAGCATCCTTCCCGGATTTGTAGATCGGACGATCTGATTACCGCGGATGTTGATCTGTGACCAACTTCGACCCCAGAACCGACGGCAAGGCAGAACCGCGGGGACGAGAGATCTCTCCTTCATTCTTTCTACCACCTCGATTCAAACAACTTATCATCGCTTACATTTTTTGATGAACGCCGTATGCATGCTCTATTACCATTGAAGAAACCGCAACAGGAACCTCAAATATTGGAAGGAGGGAGGACGCCTTCCCCCCTATATCGATAATGCACAATTATCATCACTGGTATACAAGACCCCCATCTAAGTGGACCTTTCTTTTACACAACAAGCATTGTTTTTGATCCCTCACTCTCAGGACACCCTACGCTATCAAACACTCACATAACCGCAAACTGTTCCACGACACCCTTCACAAGCTCCGTATCAGGTCTTTCAACCTCTATCATGCGGCGCTCCATCGTTAGCAGCGTCTTGAAGGCTTCAGGGAGTACTGAGTCAAAGTCGAACCCTGACACGCCATCCAGCGCGCTCGTCAGAGTCACCGCCTCAGAAAATTTTGCGGGGTGTGCGGTGGAGAGGATGATTTGGATGGTGTTGGGCGTGGGCGAGAGGACACCTGCGACGTGCAGCCCTACTGCGCTGTGTGGGTCTGTCGCATTCCTTTGGCCAACCATCGACACGTCAATCTTATGTAAATCCTACGGGACGTTCGGCAGTTAGTGAGGCGTGCTATCCTTCTAACAAAAAACATAGTACTGATACTTTCGATTTGTATGTGCGTGCATGTGATTTATTTATTGCCCATTTGGCCCACCATAGCCAAGAGACGAGCGCGATATAGATATCAGCAAGTGACGAGTCCACAGGATGCGGAGAAGAGAAGACGAGAAGTACAAAACAGCCATATGGCATGAAGGTGTACGAGATAGCAAGGTAGAACAAGAAAAGTAAAGAACACGACATATCGACGCTATCAGCTACAAGTCCTGAAGTGGCCTTACAAGCAAGGCCACTTCAATTTACAGAAGACCTGGTGGCTGACGCGGACGAGCGGGACTGCACAATATCCAGACCCGTGACTACGACGTATAATGCATTACCTACCCACGAAGTTGTCTCTCATTACACCTTGACATTCACTCACGGACGCTTCCTGGATGATCATTTCACCTTCTGTCTGACGAAAGTGGTTATTACCGTAACAGAATAGAAATCTGTTTGTCCTGGACTGCGCAGGTTCAAAACCTGTTGACAAATGATTTTTCCTTCTTATCATATCTTGACATTTATTCATGAACAGTTCGGACATTCATCTCAACTTCCTCCTGGCGAAAGTGGCTAGTAACCACAACAGAATAGAAATCTGTTTCTCCTGAACTGTACGGGTTCGCAACCTGCCGACAAACCATTTTTTTCTATTAGAACACGCTTTGAAGATTCACTCGTGGGTGAGTTCCTCGCAGGTGCATCTTAACTGGTCCTAGCCAAGTGGTTACCGCAACAGAGTCAAAATCTGTTCTTCTTCAAGTTGGACTGGACAGGTTCGAAACCTACCCACCACAAGGTTGTTTTTACTCCAAAGCACGAGTTTCAGGAACGTAGAGAGGATATGCCAACGTATTCGCAGTCAATTGGGCGGCCCTGGATTTTGTGGAAATATTGGAAAGTCGTATATGCCATGATGGTTGCTCCGTATCGGACTGCGCTCCTGTGGGTATGAAATGAGTCGACACCATGAAGCATAAACCAAATCACACATACTAAGGGAAACATCCGATGGAACATTTGTCTCATCGTAATCAGGTGAGCTCGGAATGGTTGACATTGTTTCAGCAAGTGGGAGTTGAGTGGGACTCTGGGCGGTCGTAGTAAGTCAGGACCCAGCTGGTAACAGCCCCTAACTTCGCAGAGCTTCAATCTTCTACCCCTAAATTGCAGTATCACAGCCAAACGCGCTAAACTGGAAGTTCCAGATTGATCACCAGGAGTGGTGATTTATATGCGTGCACAAGACTGACGTGCACTGAGACTCACAGATTCGAACAAGGAATCAACGTTGTCAACGGTAATATACACGTGCATTACAGTATCAGTCATGCCACACGGTTACACTACATGATAAATCAATGTCCCATCAAACCCCGCTCGTCGAATTCAGCGCCCAGTCTTTAACAAGTCCCTGAGATTGTCGCTCAGAGTAGGCATGGCTATCTTCGACAGAGACACCTTTCCCTCTGATTCAGAGGCAGATGTCCCTCGTCGCCGTAGCACACTACTCGTAGAATCAGTGGCTTCTTCCGCTCGCCTTCTGTCAATGTCTGCAACGAGCTGAGCAAATGATAGGAAGAGGACCTCCGCTTGGGCAAGAGTAGAATCGAGTTCAATGGTCATGCTGAGCTCATTGCAATATTTCAGGATCTCGTCGAACTGATCGAATACTCGGTTAGAGAGGAAGTCGCATGACATGCAATCAAGGCACAAACCTCTACAAGATATCGTAGAATCATATCACGATGAGACTCCAAGATTGCTAAAGCGACGAAGAGAATGAATTCGTTGCTGTAATAGTCCGTCCACAACACTTCCCATAGGCGCAAGACATCGTCAAAAGGGAATTCACGTTTGAAAGCAATGAGGACCCATCTGTGATAAACAGCGTCAGGGATGCCTTATCAGCAAGCTTCAGTGAAGACTTACCGGAAGCAGAAGAACAAATTGAGACCGTCAGTTTTTTCTGCAGCAGATGAGAGTCAGATAGTTATAAACATAGAAAACAGATTTAGTGACCTAAATGTCGATATAGATCAGGATCCATCACACAGATCAGCTCTTGGAGCGTCGAGAGCTGCTTTTTCATTCCACTCTGATCCCGAAGGAAATTTTGAATCTATTGGAAATGTTAGAGACAGGATCTTCATCAAGTATCAGATGCACTTGCCATACGATTCATTACTTCCACAAAACACCAGAAGGTCAGCTCCTCATCGGAACCCATTACAACGTACAAAGGAGCGCATAGGTCCGACATACCCTGTACATACCCTGTTTTCTCTCATCAGATACTGTATATGAATGTAATATTTCAAATGCGCTCACCAAGCTCTTTGTTGTAGAAATTGTATGTGAGCAGAATGCCTGCGAGACGATCGATGTGTTCATTACTGGGAGATTGTGCACCGATGTCCGACATCTGAGGAGAGATCGTCGTGTACCGACGGTTTCCATTCGGGCCATTGTCAGCGGTATCCTCATAGGAAGTGGAGAAGAGTGGCTGAGTGCGGTCTGTGCGGCGACAATCTACATCGATGCGATGACGTTCTTCGAGGACATCTGGTCGGTCAAAGACCTCGGGCACACCACACCACTCATCTTTGATCTCACGGTATCGCTTCCTACAGAATGAGTCAGAAGGCATGGATCTGGTGGTGGAGGCAACATCACCTCTTCTCCTCCCATTTCGCTTCCCTCTCACTACCAGTGATGTCCCAATCGTGAACACCAAGTATGAAGGGCCACACTTTCTTCCTGAGGTTCCCATCAGGAGTGATGCCCTTCCTGAAAACTTGGCGCCTCATCTCTTCAAGCCTAACTTTCGGTCGTCCATCTTTATCAAACCACTTCGCCCAAAGCGCCTCGTCTATCGGGTGTGCCGGGTCTCGAGAGGTTTTGGGAGAGGGAAGGTTGACCGTGGAGTGAAGAAGCTCGAACACGCCCAGCGGGGATATCTCCTCGACCACATTCGAGGAGGAAGGTAGTGCCTGAGCCTCTCGTTTACGTGCCCGATCGCCTTCTTCAGCAACTATGCGAGCCCAGCGTGCAAGATACACCCTCGCACTCTCAAACTCACCAACGCCCCCTTTTTCTACCCAACTACCCCATTCCAAGTCGCCGTTGGCATTGACCAGACTCTTGACAGGGTCTGGGAGATGTGGGACGATTGGCTTAGCGAGAGGATGAGAGAGAATGTTTTGCGCGGCGTGGCGTGTCGCTCTAGTGATATTTGAAAAGGATTGCAGCAGCGCCATCCGTGCTTGTGAGCTGGACTGTGTGGTCGATATGGAGGGTGGGTAAAGAGAGCGATGCAAAACAGATGAACGAGGGACATATGAGTTAGGAGGTGCATTTGCAGGAACATCAGATAATGGACGTGGTCGCCTGTGAGCAGGTACAGGTGAGTGCGAAGAAGCATACGATGACTGCGCAAGGATATCGTCCACAGCGTCGTCGTCAAATATCTGAGTGGTATGCGTGTCGAGGTCGGCTTTAGATGGGTCGACGATGAATAAGGAAGGTTGTAATGTGGAGCGGAGTAGGTGGGCATAAGATCGCAGACGAGAGAGCAAATCCTCGCCTCCCCAGGAGTTTGTGGGTCGAGAAGATGATGGTGATGATGTGGAAGGAGGGTATGCACTAGTGGAGTTGCGCCCAGTATGTCGAGACGGTATTGTCATTGAAAGCGATTCGTCATCATGGAAGTACAGAGTTGGGAGTGTGGAACTGTTTATGAGGTTTATACCGATGGTACCATCTGTTATTGATTGGTTTAGCCCTGTCAATGTCCAAAGATAACATGAGAACGTACACCATGATGAAAGGGTAGGTGGATGGACAAGAAGAGAGTATATCGAAGTCAGAGGAACCGAGAATGCATAGGACTCTGGTCTTTGTGTAGGAAGGTCAATCAGAACCGCATCTTTGGATGGTGTAAGGTTTTCGGGTTCAAACAGAGAAAAAAGCTGCGGACCTTCATCCTCCTCATCTAGTGTGGCCTTCTCCTCAATCTTCACAAACTTGTTCCATTCGTCGGTTCCCTTCTCACAAAGCAGTGTCTCTGGAATCCATGCAAGCAAATAGATAGGATTGATAGCCTCCTAGATGGCAGAAATGCATGAGCGAGAAATGCGAGACAAGACCTAGCTACTCACGCGCTTAACAAGAGCTACGAAACCTGGGATGTTATCTCTAGCGTATGCGGTCGGATTAACGTAGACCTTGGATTTGCTATAGAGAAGGCGGTATTTGCTCTCCTCCTCTGCAGAAGGGGATAATGAACCACTGCTCTCGCTTTGGGTGCGCTGAATCTCGACCATGGAATCGGACTAATAAGAGGGGCTTGAGTCAACATACCATAAAGCCAGCCAGTGGCGACTCACTGAAATTATGGACAAGGAACCGTCAGAGTAACAGGCACGATGATTCTTGCCCACAAGCATCAGTACTTGGGCCGCAAACTGCTATTCAGTGTTCGTTCGCTGCGGGCTGCGTGTTACAGAAATGTACTGAGTGCGAATACACCAAGTCTCCATTTGTAGCCCTCCCGCAGTTTGCCACAATTCCAGTACAAATTTCAAAAAAAGTTGTTTTCACTCCGTTTAGCATCTATGGACTACGGAGACATCACAATACTGACTACGCTTTTGGAAGTACACCACAGGAAAGAACGTTCTTCCTGAGCAGGTCTTTTTACCAATTATGAAGAAGATTCCGTCCAGGATGAATATTCCCCTCTAAACATCGACAATAATTGGAATCAGTCAAACAATCGTGACAGTAGCGCACAGTGACAAATATGTTGCCAACGAGGTTAGTATCAGACTGCGGAGCTGTTTGAGAGACCCTTCCTGTAAGTTAGAATACAAGATCTTGCAATTTCATTCGCTAAACACCAAATGGGTTTGATCCGCGCGCATGCGCAGTGCGCTTGCACTCAACATAGGCGTGAAGGCGTTCACCCCACAAGTTACAACATCAAGAGAGCAAGTAAAATGATGATATGACGAACACTCTAACACAACAACGTTTATTTTTGGTACGACCACACATTCCGGAGCACTACAAGAACAAACCATCAGTACAGTTCAGACAAATTCCTCATAGAGAACAAGACTTACAACCCGCCTTCGTTGCTAGCCGGTTAACAGAGTCATCGCCCTCCCCTTGTGATCGCACTTGTCCGCAGAGTGCAAATGAGGTGTAAGTGTTCAGGGCACGACCGTTAGCATCAACATCAGCGACGTTGATCTGAACTGAAGCGTGGTCCTTGGAGGTAATCAGGCGGTCTGAGCCATGGATGGGTTAATGCTCTAAGACGGTATTTGGCTCAAAACATACTGGTGGCTGCACACTTGCGGGGGACGTAGAGGTCGACGAGAACACCCTAATACCAAGGTAAGCTGTAAGATTAGGGTGTAGCATGACGACAATACAGACCTGGTCGTTTTCCATTGCGAGATCGAGATTTTGGCTATGGTGTGCGATGTGCAATCTGCAGGGATGATGCGTGGGATAGTTGTGAAGCAACTGTACAGTTAGTGCCACGTGGCATGCGATTACGTGGTATTTCCCCCTTAGGACCATGCTTTTGGCTCTTTTAGACGGACATTACAAAGGTCGAAAAGATACACGTATATTGTTTGTGTACTGTACCGTATCGTGACATGCAGTTTGAAAACGAAGCAAGAGCATCAGGAGGACAGGACTCGAGGTACGATAGTACCGGAAAAGAAATTCGAAAGATGGTAATGCAGATATAATGATAACAGAGATCAGGTGCGACTGTCAAAGTAGGGCTCTATAAAGCAGGAGCAACGAGCAGAGATCGGTGGTACGGAAGCGCAGCGAGCAGGTACAAATAAATACTATTTCAGATACAAAGAAGGCCCAATAAGAACAGCTATTGCTGATCCAGGGCGGAGCGTAGTCCATGGCGAAAGCGAAAATAAAGATCGTGCAATGGATGATTGGGCAGTCGTGGCAGGATACATGGTGTTCGTTGAGATGGCGCAATGGATGCTGAAGATGGGCGCGAGTAATCCTCGCTATTATAGGAAGATGCAGGTAAGATGGCGGTACAAGTGCTTTGCAGATGGCAGAATATTGGACGATGGCGTCAAAAACGTGTGGCCACGCATGAGTCAACGAAACTATGAGGGGCTATCGGCAGCTCCATGCGGAAAGACTGGCATGAGGTTGTGGAAAGTGACTCGCGTGGGGTCGAAAGGCACCCTAGGGGGCGGGGTCTTGAGACACTCCCGAACACAGTTGGGGGACTGGAATGGAAAAAATTGTCTTGATGGCGATTCTGACTCTGAATCATTTCCAAGAGGGTTTGAACGGAGCGATGACTTGCGACGGCGCACGGGTCCAGACGCAGGGATCGCGTTTGAAAAGGCGGATTCTTCAGCGCCAAGTGCGGGCAGTAGAGACAGATCTGCAGTATCGCAGAGATCGAACCGCGGAGGAAACTCCATAGCGGAGATCCACGGGAGACGATCAAACACGGGAGCACGACCATATACATCAAGAGGCGACTCAATCCGGGAGGGAAAGCGACGGCGTTTATTCATGGAGCGAGTGGTGCGGGTAGACCCCCGCCTTACTGCAGCACCACAAGGCATTGGTGACTTTGATTTCTAGGAGGCACGCATCAGCACTGCTCTAATAAAATAAAAATTACGCAAAAAAAACTGACCAGAGACAAAACACGAGGCTCATTTAGTGTAATTGGCGACAGCAGTCGCGGGGGACTTAAAAGCATCCTCGACGGTAAAATTTCCTGACGCATAAATCAGCTCGACTCGAGACCCAGAATATTACTAGAAAACCTACAGAAACTACTGTTGGTGGGACGTGGCATTGACGCGTCTCTGGGGAAGGAGACTGAAACGCGTCTTGAAATGAGGCATGGGTGACGCGTCGTGGCGATGGGGCAATTATTGACGGCATTCTTGAGGACTATGCCAATGGACAATGGTGTTGAGTGTCGTTGGTGTCGTTGGAGGGCAAATAAAGATACAGAAGGACGAAAGAACGTGGCAAAGCTTTATGTTTGGCCAGCGCAAGGCAGATGAACCATTATTGTCGTGCTAAAATGAATGGGAACAATGGAAAAGCTGTAAACAGGCGATTAGGGTCTGTTTCGAAGCCTCGAGGTTACCGCTCCTAACCTTACCTTAAAAGGAAACCTGACTCGCCTTTGGGCACACGCTTTGCCAATTTCCCAGGACCCATCACACGAAGGACTGACTCGCGTGAGTCTCATCTCGACGTCGTTTATACTTTTATTCGCATGCATTTTAAGAACGTCTGCATTAGACCAGCGGTTGCGTGTTACTACTCTCAGTACTGACACCAGTACCAGTCCTGTCACAAATTTCTGAACAACTATCGTTATCAGGCCCAGTCCTCATCACCATACCCCTCTCCCAGAGTATTGATAAGAGGCAGTACCTGTAAGTATGTGTTCATACCCTTCCAAGCTGATAAGATAATGGTAGATCTGCGCTCAGACTCCATGGAGAGTTTTTCGCCACTGGGGAAAATAGATCAGTACCTTTTCCTCATCCCGGAAGGATCATGCGCGCGTTAATCATCGCAAATCACGGACACAGCGATTAGTGCCCGTCGGATATCCCCCGGACTTTTCTGGATCAATCACGGCGGCTCTGCGCCCAGACACAATGGGGATCAATTGCAATACTCGACGTAGACCTCCGCATTTTCCAAATTCCGCGGAGGTCTTGGGTTACGGTGGTACAGCCTTAGATTCTTCTGCTTTCAGTTTTTCAAATGGAAACTGAAACTTAGAAGAATCCAAGTCTGTCAACACCCCATTTGCTGATTGAGACAGAGCCAAGCTTGGCTCTATACGCCGAGCCTGTTCTACAGGGAGTCATTGTTGACATTGACATCCCCCTGATGTCTATTCCACCTTTCCCCCGCTGCCAATGACATGGTACACGTTTTGCTTTTTGCTTGTCATATTTTTCATCTCGATGACCAACGTTTATGTTCCCCGTTATTCCTCGCTAATCCCTACTTAGATATACAGCCTTTGCAACATATTTTCATTGGCTAGCCCAGCGTGAACTGGACGCTGCTCATGCATCTTCATTGCATCCTCTTTCATCTTGTCTTTGACCCCTATTCGCCCGGGACAATGTCTCCGCAAGCCGTCGTCTGCATTGTGACAAACCAGGAAGCCTGTCATCTTGTGACCGTGTCCTGTGTCGACACTGAGGCCCTGTCCTTAGAATGACGAACTAGGGCAAGTACTCTCTCATCGCGTGCACCACGGTCGTAACGCTTACAAGGAGAGAAACATTAGAGAGGCCTTCTCAGGGTTTGGACAGGGACAAGGATAAATCCGTCAATGATTAGCCTGTAACTAAGTAGGTGCCGAAGGTAGGAAGACTCCAGCGGTGAGCCAAAGACCAGGCGGAGCCGCAGGGACGAGGAAGGAGGCACGTTGCCCAGACACGAGAACTTGAAGGCGAAGCCATTGTACTCGGCAAGAGAGAGGTTTTCAATTTGTCTAAATTCCGCATCGGACAACCAGCGCCCAAGAGCTTTGATGACATCCTCAGACGACGGCAACTCAGATCCACCCGCTACACGACCACTTTCCGGCTAGCATCAGACATGTGCCGCTGATATTAATAGTCACAACTGTGAGAATAAACAATCGATTTTCTTTATGTTTGCTGCTTGCCAATTCCCACAATGCGACGTCATGTGAAGAGATATCGACATTCCCATTCTTCACATTCGAACTTGCTTTGTCGAAGGCATCCGATGGGTGCGTTTCATTTTAATGACAATTACACTCACCAATACGAGGACGATGCGCGATGTGTATTGAGATTGGTCACGCCAGGACACGACCTTTCGAGTGAATGCTTTTATACTAAGGAATTTTTAGCTATTGTCTCGTAAATGCAACCAACAAAAGACAGAAAAAAATGCAGCGACGACCATGGCAATGATATGATGTAAGCTAGTAGTAAAATACACAGAAAACGTCAAACGTCTAATCAATCTCCTCCATTGCCGACGTCGACACGGATTCCAACGGCGGAGGGGCACTGGAGTCTTCAGCGGGTGCCGATTCTTCCTCTTCCTCGTCAACGTCGAGACCCAAGCTGATCATACGGTTGATGCGCTTGGCGAATGACGTAGGGTCGTCGAGTGAGAAACCGGAGGTGAGGAGCGCGGTCTCGAATAGGAGGAAGGTGAGGTCACGGACAGACTTGTCAGCCTTGTCCTCGGCAACCTTGCGCTTGAGCTCTTTGATGATGGCGTTTGAGGGGTTGAGCTCGAGGGTCTTCTTGGACGCCATGTATGATGACATCGAGGAGTCACGGAGAGCTTGTGCTTTCATGATACGCTCCTGTAGACATGTGAATGAGATTTGCTCTTTAGGTTGCAAAAGACAATACGTACCATGTTAGATGACCAACCGAACTGGCCGGTAACGAGGACGCAAGGAGAGTCGGTGATACGGTTGGAAACCACAACCTTCTCGACCTTGTCACCAAGGGCTTCCTTGATGGTCTGGCAGAGGTCGTTGAACTGAGCAGCCTCTTCTTCGCGAACTTTCTTCTCCTCCTCAGTCTCCTCGAGCTCGAGACCCTCTTTCGAGACACAAATAAGCTTCTTGCCCTCGAACTCTTTCAGCTGCGTGACAGCGTACTCATCGATGGGGTCAACGAGAAGGAGGACTTCGAAGCCCTTCTTCTTGAGCACTTCAAGGAAGGGTGAGTCACGGACAGCGGCAAGAGATTCACCGGTAAGGTAGTAGATCGACTTCTGGACCTCGGGCATACGCGTAATGTAGTCTGAAAGTATTGTAAGGGATCCGACCGAACGGTACACAGTAAGATACACTTACCCTTGAGCGAGGTCTGTTCCTCGAGAGACTTGGTAGAGAAGAAGCGGAGGAACTCAGCAAGCTTGCTACGGTTCTGAGCATCCTCGTGGATACCAAGCTTCAAATTCTTGCCGAAAGCCTCGTAGAACTTGTTGAAGTTGTCCTTGTCCTCCGAGATCTCAGTGAACAGGTCCATGCACTTCCTGACGATGTTCTTGCGGATGACCTTAAGAATCTTGTTCTGTTGGAGGGTTTCACGCGAAATGTTAAGAGGCAAGTCCTCGGAATCGACGATACCCTTGACGAAGTTGAGGTATTCGGGGATGAGATCCTCGCAGTCGTCCATGATGAAAACACGGCGGACGTAGAGTTTGATGTTGTTGCGCTTCTTCTTGGTCTCGAAAAGATCGAAAGGCGCGCTATAAGCCGAGTCAGTAAAGGTAATTGAATGAAGACAGACAATACTGACCGCTTTGGAATGTACAAGATTGCCTTGAACTCAAGCTGACCCTCGACGGAGAAGTGCTTGACGGCGAGATGCTCCTCCCAATCGTTGGTTAGTGATTTGTAGAAGGCACCGTACTCCTCGGGATTTATATCCTGAGGATTACGCGTCCAGATGGGCTTTGTCTTGTTGAGCTCCTCATTGGTGGTCTCGGTTTCCTTGACCTTCTTGGTCTTCTTCTCTTTGGGCTTGTCGTCGTCTTCGACCTCTTCGATTTTGGACTCCTCTTTCTCATCCTTCAGTTCCTCGTCGTCATCTTCAACTTCCTGTACTTACATGAGCCACAATCAGAGGGAGGCATCTGAAATCGGCTTACCTTCTCAACCTCCTTGGTGACAGCGAGTTGGATGGGGTATGAGATGAACTCGGAGTGCTTCTTGACGATCTCCTTGATCTTCTTCTCCTCAAGGTACTCGGTCTGGTCCTCCTTGAGGTAAAGGCGGATCTCAGTACCACGACCGAGAGGCTCGCCAGTCGTATCAGGAGTGATCGTGAAGGTGCCACCTGCAGCTGATTCCCAGATGTACTGCTCGTCATCGTTGTGTTTTGAGATGACCTGAACACGCTCGGCAACGAGGTAAGCAGAGTAGAAACCGACACCGAATTGACCGATCATAGAAATGTCGGCGCCAGAGCTGAGGGCCTCCATGAAACCCTAAGTTGCGTGGGTCAGAAAATCAGTCAAGACGAATGATTAGGGGATGCTTACTTTTGTGCCAGACTTGGCGATGGTACCAAGGTTGTTGACCAAGTCAGCTTTGGTCATACCGACACCGGTATCACGGATGGAGAGGAGCTTGTTCTCCTTGTCCGGGGTGATACGGATATAGAGGTCCCTCTCGGTCTCGAGAGCCGAGGGATCGGTCAAGGAAGCATAACGGATTTTGTCGAGGGCATCTGAGCCGTTTGAGATTATCTCACGAAGGAAGATCTCCTTGTTCGAGTAGAAGGTGTCTGAGGGGCACAAACATTAAGATTAAGATCAAAGCATGAAAGATAGAAAATACTGACTGATAATCAAGTCAAGGAGTTGACTGATTTCAGCTTGGAATCCAAAGCTCTCGGTCGCCATTTAGGTCTGAGGGGTAGAATTAGTTTAAGAAAGCGCGTCGTAAGATTGAGCTCACAGATTGGAAGATGAAAGATCTAAGTAAGAGGGAAAGATGGGGGAATGCCTACAGCAAAGGACGCGTTTATCTGGAGGGTCTTAAGTATCTGAATTTTTTGATATTCGAGAACCTTCGATACACAGAATTTCTCAAAACGCACATATTCCAGAACATTCTATCACTTCCCTTTTATAGTGGACTCGAGAACAAAGGCTGTACAAGCCTATCTAGAAGCACATCACTAGTACTACTACTGATCAATTGAAGCATCCTAAGTAATTTCTCATTTGTTGGATATATGGCTCTGTCGCAGCTTGCAGGCAAGCACTGGCCTTGAAAGCTTGATACCAGCAGCGCTGTAGATGAAGAAGATCAATGGATGATATGATCGATGAAATGAAGTCACCTGCTTTTTCGGTTAGATCCAATGCTCACTGACTCGATCCAACGCGACTTTCCACCTAGCCATCATTAAACATGAAGTACTTTTCGACCCGTGGAGGCTTAGTAGAACTCACCTTCGAGGAGGTAATTCAACTCGTCAACGTCCGACCCATTGATCTAAATTTTTAACAGACAGTGCTTGCCGGTCTCGCACCGGATGGTGGATTGTACATCCCTGCATCAATACCGCAACTCCCAGCTAACTGGCAGAAAGCCTGGGCAAACAAGAGTTTCCCAGAGCTCAGCATCGAGATCCTCTCACTTTTCATCTCTGTAGATGAAATCTCTCAAACAGACCTCGCTGCCCTTGTCCATGCCACGTACAGCGACTCCGCATGGCGCCATCCCGATATCACCCCTCTCCAGCCACTCACCACCAACAAGTACATCCTTGAGCTTTTCCATGGGCCCACGTATGCCTTCAAGGATGTTGCACTCCAGCTCCTGGGCAACCTCTTCTCCTACTTCCTCCAGCGTCGCAACAAAGCAAAATCTCCTGGAGAGGAGAGGGAGACGCTGACTGTCGTGGGCGCGACGAGTGGTGATACAGGGAGCGCTGCCATCTACGGGCTGCGTGGTAAGCCTGATGTGTCCATATTCATTCTGCACCCCAAGGGTCGTGTCAGTCCTGTCCAAGAAGCTCAAATGACTACTGTGACGGATGAAAACGTACACAACATTGCTGTGAAGGGAACCTTTGACGACTGTCAGGTGCGTTTGTCCCTCATTCAACTATTTCTCCAATAGCTTACATACATACAAACCTGCAGGACATCGTCAAAGCCCTCTTTGCCGATACAGCCTTCAACGCAAAACATCACCTGGGAGCTGTCAACAGCATAAACTGGGCCCGCATCCTCGCCCAAACAGTTTACTACTTCCTCTCTTACTTCGCCATTCGCCGTACCCTCCCTACGGATGCCGAGCTACAATTCATCGTCCCAACCGGTAACTTCGGCGATATCCTAGCAGGCTATTACGCCAAGCGCATGGGCCTGCCCATGGCTAAACTCGTTATCGCTACAAATGCTAACGACATCCTCACTCGCTTCTGGAAGACGGGGCGATATGAAAAGGTGGACTCGAATTCCTCGTCCGTTGCAGTGGGGGGCGTAGTAGAGACTCTCTCGCCTGCCATGGATATCCTCATATCAAGCAACTTCGAGCGCCTATTGTGGTACCTCGCCTTCGAGAACGTACAGAATACCAACCCCGGAGGGGACTTACGTGAAAAAGCCTGCCAGGCGGTGAAAGGCTGGATGGACAACGTAAAATCTATCGGGCGCATCGTCGTCCCAGATTCAGTGCTCGAGCTGGCGAGGAGGGATTTCACGGCTGAGAGAGTTGATGATGAACAGGTACACTCATGCATCTCAATCTCACGGTGTGAGCTAAGCCAACGTTATGAAATACATAGATCCGCCAAACGATCCGGGAGTACTACACTTCCACGCAATCCTATACCGCAGACCCACACACCGCAGTAGGGCTGCACGTCGCAGGCATCCTCTCGCCCCCACCCAACACCATCCAAATTATCCTCTCCACCGCACACCCCGCAAAATTTTCTGAGGCGGTCACGAGCGCGCTGGATGGCGTGCCAGGGTTCGACTTTGACTCAGTGCTCCCTGAAGCCTTCAAGACGCTGCTAACGATGGAGCGCCGCGTGATAGAGGTTGAAAGACCTGATGCGGAGCTTGTGAAGGGTGTCGTGGAACAGTTTGCGGTTATGTGAGTGTTTGATAGCGCAGGGTGCCCTGAGAGTCAGGGATCAAAAACAATGCTTCTTGTGTAAAAGAAATGTCCACTTAGATGGGGGTCTTGTATACCAGTGATAATAATTGTGCATTATCGATATAGGGGGGAAGGCGTCCTCCCTCCTTCCAATATTTGAGGTTCCTGTTGCGGTTTCTTCAATGCTAAAATAGAGCATGCATACGGCGTTCATCAAAAAATGTAAGCGATGATAAGTTGTTTGAATCGAGGTGGTAGAAAGAATGAAGGAGAAATCTCTCGTCCCCGCGGCTCTGTCTTGCCGTCTGTTTTGGGGTCGAAGTTGGTCACAGATCAACATCCGCGGTAATCAGATCGTCCGATCTACAAATCCGGGAAGGACGCTCGTATGCCAGCTATATATTATCTATTATTTCAAGGTCTCATCTTTAGTCACGACAACACTTGAGAATTCACAACTCCAGCTGCAAGATGTATTTAAAAGTGCTGAACGTCGTTTCGACTGCGGCAAGCTTGCGCGCATGAATTAAAATATTTCAAGACCGCGGGGGACGATGACACATGCGATAAAGAGTGAGGATACCCAGATGTATACAATAACAGATAACTAGCAGACCCAGCTACTCATTGCTACTATGCAGTCGAGCACATCAGGTGCATGACGAGTCCATAAGCTTAGATATATCGATGACCATGCCGTATCTGAGTCCAATGCCTTGACATTCCATGAGTTCCTGACCCAAATATAATACACTTCTTGACACCTAGTCCTCCCTCTTCCTCTTCCGTCCTACTTCTGCGGTGGTAGAATAATCAGAGTCCTTGATGTCTTCTGAACCTGCTTCACTGCAGGGTAGGTCTATGAAATGTCGTCAGTTCCAAAAAAAACAATTGCAAAAAGTATGCAACGCATACCTCTAGTGGGATGTGGGCATTCCCAGCTGCTGTCATCCTGATCCTCTGATGAATCACAACTAGTACTGAGGTTATCTTCCTCGTCATCCTCGTCATTCTGATAGTCTTCTTGATCGTCAGCGTCCTGCTGATAGCATTCTTCATCGTCCTTGGTCGCCTTGGCCAAGGGCGATATCGTGATGACCACTTGTTGCATAGCAGGTTCTAACTCGTTCGGGTGCAGGTTGGGATAGTACGGAGAAACTGTCATCGGCTTGAGTTTCAAGGAGAATAATGGGGTGCTCTTGATGACCTGGCCCTCGAGCCTGGGCCAAAGTTTTAAGGCGACCTTGTCGTTGATTCGAATAATTCTTCCGGGAATCATGGTAGTTAGGAGTGAAGACAAGGTAAGAAGTGAAGGCTTGTTCTGCGATGTAGCGTTCACTACTGGGGAGAGCTTGATAGTTGCCTTCTAGACCAGTATCCTTTAAATATTTGAGAGCTGTGGGCACATCGTTGTGCGCCTGCGTTCGCATCCACAGCGGACTTGAACTTAACAGTGTCATGGGGATATTCATCGCCAAATCTGTGAGGATTGTGGATTGATCCTGGTGGTAAGAACAGCAGACACTTTTGTAGGTGGACACTGTCGGTTAATCATGGGGCGGAGGCACGTTGTGTCCATTGGCATTGACCAGTGACCACCACACGTGACGGTCCAGTGAATTATCTGCCAGCTGGTTCGGGCAATGCACACACGACTTCACGAACCAAGTATCAGTCCTAGATTTTTGTTACAAGAACAATACACCTCACTAACTGCTGATCGTCCTGTAGGATACACGCAAGGTTGACGCGTCGACGGTTGGCCAAAGGAATGCAATACGGCATCGACTTGGAGGAATAGGCCATTTTTAATTGAGTACTTACTACTTTTTCAATCCCTCGTCCAATGTCCCATATATTATTCTACCATGCATGATGGTCAAGGTGTCGCAATTGGTCCTAGGACCTACGTCACATTATTATCAATAATTTCTTCTTCGACCTCGTATTGAAAAGTCAACAGCATACTCCAGGTATCAATTTTCTTGCCTGCGAATACATGTTGTAATAAAAAGCAGCAGCAACCAGACCACAGGCTGCGAAATGCATTGGCTATGGTTCAAGGCGGCAAGGAAACGCACTGTATTGGATTGCCGAGTTGAGTTGCGAACAGGCATGGCCCTAGGACCGGGATTGTGTGAAGAGAATAGAGAACGGTTGAAGGGAAGACTACGAGGATGCGGGAACGGAGGTAATGGTTTGATTTATCGGGATCCATGAGTACTGAGGGACGCTCGTGCAAAATTCTCCACTTGCACTGAGACTTCAGCTTGTCTCGCTTCATTAAACGACACACCAGGATAACGCTTTGCGAAGCACTTGACTCGTGTGAGAAGAACAGGGTAGGACCTGTTGCCAATTCGTGGCTGTGTCTGAGAGCCTTCGGGGCAGCATGAAGGAATTGTACGCAAGTTTTCTGGAGACCCTGAGACTGGCGAAGAAGGCGCAGTTCTAAGCTCTCGCACCATATGTCATGCATCGGATGTTGAACCATAATTAAGTATGTTGTCTGTGGCATTTTAAAGTACGAGCTGTTCTTTAATAATAACCAGATTAATTTGAACAACTACAAATGCAGCAAACAAGTCAGCCATGGAACAAAGTGACCAGGACTTACGTGGCCTCTGCATTCTTTTGCTCCGTGAAGAACGCCGGGCCATAATCAATGAGGATCTCGGTTCCAGAGTCAATGTTCACAACTGTATCAGTTGTCAGCATCCCGCGTCCGCGATAGTAGGGAAACCATCTGACTCGCAAATATTCCTATACGATGTTCCCCATTCACAAGTCGTGCTGTCGAATGTTTAATTATTGAAATGGACATTAAGAGATACAGATATTACACACCAAAAGCGCGACAATTACACTGCGTTTCGCTACTGGTATCACTAGCGCCCGAATGGTTGATGAATCTCGACGCGTTGCCTGCACGCGAACTATCCAGGGATAGTGTTTTATTGAGACCAAAGACATAACTTCGTCCAAGATGGTCTGCGACCTCTCTATTGACTCAGTGAGCTATAGGAAATTTCACAGATGAACGCTGCTCACCCGCGGCTGTCAAACGTCATTTCGTAGATAAGCTCCCCGACGTACTCCACGATCATTTCGCCCTGCTGGACCGGTTCGAGTAGGAATACACCTACGCCCCAACGACTTTCCTTAACCTCCAGTTTCTGTAATCGTTGATATAGAGTTACTCATGCGATCTGAGGCGTTGAATGTTCATGTATACCTTGAAATGACCTTGTTGAATCTGGGAGTTCCCGCAGGTACTCCTTTCCGGGTCTTCAACTCAGAGTTAGACGCATTCAACCCTTGCTAAATGCTACGCAACATACCTCTGCCAAGTGCAAGATATTAAAGAACGAATTGCAACATAAAAGATAGCCGGTATCACGCACCGACATCCACATTTTGCACAAAGCTCTGGATCGCACTCGCGTCGAGCTTCGACGCAAGAGCATCGCTTGGCCTTCACACAGCTCATTCCGTCGCGTGCCTTTGCACAACGACAACCTTTCCATCTCCGAGCGCCTGGTGAAGGGTGGCATTAAACCTCGTGCTGGAGACAACACAGACATAAACATACATTTGGCGGGGCAACGGCAGTTCCGCTGGCAATGGACCTTGTTCATAAAACATGGACAGTTAGACGAACCGTCACATGGCCCAGAGTGATGACAAGGTTCGTTCCTGTGGAAAGCATCCAGTACAGCATCCGATATTTATGCAATAGGAGTACACTACGGTGTGAACTTGAGCGGGTCAATATCTATCTCGTGTGGAGCGTCAGTCAAGTAATACGTGTCCATATGTATTCGTCCCTACCTCGAAATTCCAGAGATCGCGACTTCCCCTTGTGCTCCCCATTCGGACGCCCAGTTTGAAGCTCATCGAAGTCTGGATATAGTAATCTGCGATAATAAAGGACCTGAACCACAGTCAAACCAAAGAAAGCTCTCGTCATTTTCATGTTGACGGACCTCGTGGCAAGGCTTAAAACATAATTCAGCATGGTCACAAGGTATCATATCTGACTCGATATCTAAGATGCTTTTAAACGAATTGATGTCGTCTTCATTCCAGCAAGGGAGTACCTCGACTGTCCTGCTCTGCAAGAAGCAGCCAGCTTCGCAGGGGTATTCTACACGTTTCAGTAGCTCTGACAGCCGGATAGTTTGCTTACGCAGTGGCGGCATGGGGTTCATTTCAACTGCAAATTATATTGTTTTGGCATTGAAAAAGGAAAAAAAAACAGGAAGCCATACCATGAACAGGGCAAAGGGGCTCGATACAGTTGAGGTTAGGGCAAAACAATGCATGGGTGCGCTCAAGCCGATGTTGAAGAATACTACGAGACAGCGATGAAGAAGGAAAGCTGTAAGAACAAGGGATGGCGGTCCCGTTCCATTCAAGTAGGTCACTGTACATTTATTCAAAGTTTGGATGCGAGCACGAAAATTGATCGAAAAACCCCATACCGACGACGACTCAGGGTAAACAGTCCAGTTTTTCCTGGAGTTGAGAAAAGCTTGAAGGGAAGGACTCCCGTGCTGTCTATGTCCTCATACAGTAGACTGTGAACCGTATGGAGGCGATAGGCTGTCTCTAAAGAAATAACTTCTACTGTTCACAATAATGATGCTTCATCACATCCAGTGAATAGTAGGTACTCACAATCGGGATCATAATCATCCTGCCACGCAAACGAGCCATAACACAACGTATGATCTACGTGGTCGAAGGTTGGATCATCTGCGTATGGGATGAATGGCATCATATCGTCATCGTCTCCCCTAAAGATGTTCCTTGAGATGGGAGTACAATACTCATAGGACCTATGTGGCTCAAGAAGCTCGGCATGTATTACTTGAAGAGATATTGTGGAAGTTGATCTTGAGGTTCCATCTTCAGAGTAAGAGGTCACTGCTACCATTCTTTTCGTGTCCTCGTCTGGACCCTCACTAGCCTTACCGACGACATGGAGAGGTGTGTTATCGCCATCTGGTATGAGAACACGTGGACTTCGTGTGACGTGGGATAGAGAGCGGATGAAATGATCGCAGTATTTGACTTTCCAGCCACTGAATTCGGCCAGAACCTTTGCAAAGACAGTCTGCACCAGCTTATGTATCGGTGAATCATCACTTGGCTGCAACGTTTCCCCGTCCGTTTGCACAATCGAAGCGAGCGACATTTGAGTACTTTGCAAATGTGTGGTCGAGGGTGCTGGTAAACATGCATGGGGTAAACTTTCAATTCCTGTCGTATGTCACGGTCACAACATTCATGAATTGTGACATACGCGTATTTGTGACCGCCAGCTCCCCTAACACAACGCTGAGAGTTAGCTGAGAAGTCCCGCATCATGTCCAGCGCAAACATGACAATGTTTCGCGCCTACGCGCAAAAGTCTAATCCTGCTATTCTACCTCCATCAGTCCTTCTCTCACATTCCGAGACATGTTTGACGGTCTTTGACGCATTTCCGAAATCGATCTTCCATTTTCTCGTCATACCTCGTGTCAGGCAACCCTTCAACGTGTACCAACTCGCTAATCTACGTTCGTTGCTCAAATGCGAGAAAAACTGCGCCAAGGAACTCCTCACAGATCTAGGCCGAGAAGCGAACAATGTCAAGAAAATGATCGAAAGTGAGATGCTCAAGAAGTACGGATTCAAGTGGGAAATATGGATGGGTTTCCACGCAGTACCTAGCATGGAGTAAGTCTCGATTGGCTGGTCTTCTGACGCACTCACGTATATATGTATTTCTAGACACCTCCACCTCCACGTACTTTCTGCTGACCTATGTTCTCCGAGAATGAAGTTGAAGAAGCACTACAATTCCTTTCATCCAAAGCTCGGCTTTTTCATCCATTTGAGCGATGTTCTTTCTTGGTTCGATGCCGACTTGTCGTATTATAACACAGTGAGTTGTTTGTATTTCGCTCCCGTGCCTTCCCCACGGCGCTAACTGCTGCCATGTCTCTAGATCTCTCAGCTCAAGAAGAGCGAGTATGAGCCTTTACTTAAGGAAGATCTTTCTTGCTGGAAATGCGATCGCAACCTTTCAAACATGCCTAAATTGAAGTCACACTTGCAGGAAGAATTTGACAAACTGTCCGATCAAGAAAAGGCAAAGGCAGAAAGAAAGAGGAAGCCTGCCGATGATCCTGTACATAAACATCTCCCCCCCAAATGTCATTGAATGATGACGATTCGCCGCCGGATAAATTGGCCCGTGAGAATAAGGAGGAGCGAGGACCCCATAGTGATAACTGAATTCATTCATGTGTGCGCCATCCAGTGAGCTTGCTTCGGTCATTGACTCGGAAATTGTTCGTACCAGATGTTTTCCATAACTCCAATTCTATGATTTCTGACTTTCGCGCGAGACTACCACGTTGGACGCTATGCTATATCATTCAGATTTCGATTTCACTGATAAATCTATTTTTTGCGACTCCGGTCCGTCGAGGGTTGTTAGCATCATAGGATCCCCGGGCGCCCCGCCTTCCTATAGGTATTTAAACTGGCTGCAAGAGAAACAAGTCAACATTAGCTTTGACAGGAACTATGTCACTTTTTACACTTCGCTGGGGCATCATCTCTACGGGTTGGATCGCAGAACAAGTTGTTTCGGTGAGGAAATAGAACTTCGTGTCATAATTGCGTGAGTTATTGACCCCAGTTTGCCCCGAAGGATTTGCTTGTTGATCCTACCACGTACGAGCTCATATACTTTCTTTGAAATTGAGTCTCACGAGTTTCCTCAGGCGTGGTACCAATGATATAGTGCACAAAGTGACTGCTGTAGGCTCTCGAAGCGTTGAGAAGGCACAGAAGTTTATCAATGAGTTTGTGAATGGCGACAAGACCGTAAAAGCGTATGGAACGTATGACGAGGTCTATGCAGATAAGGTTTGTGGATCACTTTCGTCAAGTCTATTTGCCTCTTGACATCATTCGAGAATGTAGACGCTATTTATATAGGTATGACTTATCCAAGTTATGACCACAAACAAAATCAATATTCGACCTTACTTAGGCACACCCCATACGTACCATTACACAAACGCTTTGGATGCACTCAAGGCAAAAAAGCATGTACTATGCGAGAAACCAGTGACCTGCAACGCTGCCGAGCTGCGTTCACTCATCGCAACGGCGAAAGAGAATGAAGTTTTCTTCATGGAGGCACTATGGACGCGTTTCCAGCCACTCGCAAAGGAAGTCAAAGAGCTCATCGACTCTGGCACACTTGGCCTTCCCGTAATTGTCCATGCTGACTTCTCCGTCGACTTCGGCATTGACAGTGAGTAGCCCTCCTTGTATCGCAATATCCGTTGAATATCGCTTGCAGAATTGCCCCTGACTCACCGCATGCTCGATCCCAAGCTCGGTGGGGGTGCGATTCTTGACCTGTAAGTGCGATGTATTCCCCTCGAGCGCCAGTTTAACCTAAAGTCGCACAGTGGTCCGTATCCTCTAATCTGGGTATGTACCGTTGACTACATGGCATCCTCTGCTTAAGTTTATTATGCAGACGATTCTTGCTCTCTACGAGCACCCCGCCAATAAGCGCACGAAACCTTCAAACGTCACCAGTACCATGTACAAAACACCGATCACGGGCGTTGACTGCAACACATCATACATCATCACCTTCTCTCCCAACTCCAGTACAGGCTCTACTCTCGCCGCACAGGCAGTCCTGAGCTGTAGTATGAACGTAGCATCCCACAACCCAGGCGTTACCATCCGCTTTGAGAAAGGGACTATCATGATCGACGCGCCGGTACCTTGTCCACTCAGGTATACCGTGCAATACTTCCAAGAGGGCAAGCCAGGCAAAATCGCACGCGAGGATACCCGGACGTTTGAGTACGTCGGTTCGGGCTGGCATTTCCAGGCCGATGAGGTTGCACGATGCGTTAGGGACGGAAAGCTTGAGAGTGAGCTGTGGAGTCATGACAAGAGCATTTTAGAAATGGAAGTTTTCGATGAGGCGAGTTTGCATGACTGGGTTCCCTGTCCAAGTCTTGATCTGATTCGCATTGCAGGTTCGCTACCAGGGAGGCTACAAATTTCCTGACGGCATTGAGAAGGTACTACTTCCTGTGCGTTGTGGGTAGGGGAGGCCATGAATTAAGTAGGAGAAAACGTTGAAAGATAACAGAGAGAGACTGAAACAAGGTAGCACGAACTATGGTAGTAGTCAAAACAATGAATACACTTGCTGGTAGATTCAGTGTTAAGCGCATCGAGGCTCATGGATTTAGTGTTCAAAGCACTGAAAATTCTTGTTTCTGCTTCCCAGTGTGCTATAGGATCATTATGAAATCGAACGGGAAAGGAACAAGAAAATCAGAAGACATTATGTAGGTTGTGCACACCACCATCTATACTATTTTACAACGAGTCCGAACGATATCTTCGCTCAAGATTTCCAGCCCAAGTATATGGCCATCTTATTCAGCCTCACCTTCCTCCTCAAACACAGTAGCAGCAACATTGCTCGCGGCGAGTCTAGCAGCGCGAGAACGCTCGCTAGCCTCGCGGATGGCCCACGTAAGTTCGTAGGTCCTGCATGCGTCTGTAACGAATGACGTTAAATCGTGAATGAGTGACGAGTCTACCTAAAAACGCACCTTCGTAGGAGCTAAGGATTTGAGCAGCCTCAGGGTCCTCTTCGATGTCCTCGATGATGTCGATCCAGTTGGATACCTGTGTCATACGTTTGCCTTGGCTTCATCTTCAGGGATAGCACCACTTACCTCGGAGAAGAATGGGTCGTCATCGGGGAAAGTATACATTTGTTCGTGGTCGTCGCCAGGCCTGCGGACATACAACATAGGTTGAACGTAAGGGTTGACGAGCCTAGGAATATCATGAGAAGGTGATGTAGTAAGTTTGAATGGGAGCATACTTCAGGGAGTAGCCATCGGCATGGACCTCGAGCTCACAGCTGTAGTTGTGCCCTTGGAGGGTTGCAGTGTGAATGAAACTGCCAACCGCACCAGAATCATATTTCCTGTTGTCACGTTAGTATCTGGCTTCTCGAACACAACAACACGTCTTTACCAAGTGGCTGCAGTAACGCGGGGAATCCTGTTCTCCGGGGCAATTTTGCTTTCGTCAATGCGCACCTTCGAGAGATGACCAGCATTCTCGTCCCAATCAAGGGAATGAGCGGTGACGGAGGCTATGTCGACTTCCCCACCAAAGTACCGCGAGAGATCGCAGAAATGGGTTCCTTGCTCGATGACAGGACCAGCACTAATGAATCAATGACAGTCATTGGCTTACACGTTCTAGACCAGGACTCAACTCACCTCTTAGATTTATCCCACCAGTCAGGTTTCGCGATTGACTCGTAAGCACATGCATAACGAGCAATTGTGACCATCACGGTAAGCTCGTTCTCCTCAATGATCTGCTTCATCTTCTGAACGGCTTTCAGGTACCTTAGCATGTACCTGTGGAGGATAGGTTCATTTCATTTATTGACTCAACTGTCTATGAGCATACCCGACAGAACAGATGGCCTTTGAGTCGGAGATGGCCCTTGCGATCTGGAAAGATTCCTCCAGCTCGTGCTTTGGACCGGTCGCTATGGGCTTCTCCATGAAGATGGCTACGCCGGGGAAGTACTTCAATATTTGCATCTCAATGTCGCGACCCGGCTGAAGGGTTCCGCGAAACATCGGAGGAGAACCGACGACAATCGCGCGAGGACGGTCCTTGGCAGACATATTCTTAACAAAGTCCTCGAGGGTCTTGAACACACGCGTTGCCTGGTACGCAGAAACGACGAAGGAGTCACATTTCTTCTGGAGTACGGCAGTTGCACGCTCGATCGCAGGATCGATGAGGGCAACTACTTTGAGACGCAAACCGAGCTTACTGTGATGATTTAGGTGGCAGAGTAGGTGGAGACAAGGGGGGACTTACTGCTCGAAGCGGAAAGAGTGGTTCCAGGGTCCCTCATCGGATCCTGGGGTAGCGGGGATGAGTCAGGTACCCGTACGGCACGGATATGACACTAGTAGAACTCACCAAACATGATATTTCCTGCACCGACGAAGACGACATTGAAATCATTGGTACCGCCAACGTGCGTGGTTCTATCAGAGACAGATCAGTGATCGGGTCATACGAGTGGGAGGGTACTGACTTATCCATCGGGATCAGCCTCGATGGGTCGATGGAAGGGCGTCTAGATGGACCAGACGAATATCCTGATCCACGCCTATCGGCGGGTCTTCGTTCTGAGCCTCGACGAGAGGCAGGCTGTTTTGTAGAGGTCATCTCAAGGGTTGAGGAAAGTCTGCGTGTGGAGGCCATTGTGTCGATTTTGAGATAACGACGGGGGGGAATGGGTGGCGTATTGCAGAACCCGAAACCTGCACTCTTTATAGCAGTGTGGAGAATATATGACCAATTAGTAACTTAGGTTCTTCACTATACGTACTCGAGGAATGAGGCTGGAATGTTACTACGGTACACACGGGTAGCGTTGCTAGTTCGCACCCTGTCACCGGGACCGTGCACGATCGTGGTCCGATTTTTGGACTTTGTTAACTCGGACCATAAAGCGTGGTGTCATGCACGCTGTGTATCTCATCGGATGTAAATCGGATAGAATGTCTAAATAATGCTTATAACAACGACAAGGCAAGGAGAGTAGCGATGTGAGAAGGAATGAGGGGGTATCAAGGGGTTGAACCGAGTATTAGAGTCCATTTAAAGCTGGTCTTGCCAGCCATGCAGGTGAATGAACGGGAAAGGAATGATAGCCAAGATTACGAGCGTGCCGTGTTGTTCTGTTGTTGCTTCGGAAATCTGCTAGCTAACTCCTGACGTTTGCGTTCAGCGGCTTCTAACCGAGCAGTCATTGCCCTAAGCTCCTCTTTCAACTTCTCATTCTCCTGTGTTAGTTTCATCACGTTACTAGCTCGCTTCTGGACTTTCTCAACCCTGCATGAGGTTACCGTGACTGACTGTCCCTGTATTGGGCAATCGATGCTATGATCCGACTCACTGTGGTTCCGAAAATTTTGAAAAACCCATGATCGTGTCAAAGGAAAAAGTGAGATCAAGTTCCGCTGCTGGAATCTCTGGGAGGGCGGGAACAGGAGAACGGGGTCTGTGCCTTTGAGAGGGTGGCTCTAGGCGATTAATTGAAAGGCTGACGGTCTAAATGAGCGAACCTATGGACTCGCGTATGCTCTCTTTACCGCACCTAGAAGTGTTTACTGAATCCATGCTGAAGAGAGAAATTGAAGTCAACAGTAAGTAGCTTTGGTCAAACCAAATTTGTTTCGGAACTCATGACTATCCAACATCGGTATATAATTCTCACGTATATTTCAAAAGGAAATAAATTCTCATGAGTAATTGTCATTCGGACTTATTAATTACAAGTGACATTAGCGTTTAGCTTCAGCTCCCTCTTTCCTTGACCCATTTACTTCCTTCTCTTCGCTGGCGCTGTCGTTGACGACGACGACATGCCCAACCTGATGTCCACCGTCATTGACGGTCACGACGTGCTGGCGGCTAATGACCATATTCTAGGCCACCATGACTCTCACAGAAATGACGCCGACATTCACGACCTCAGCATTCCGCCTGCTCACTTTCACAACTCTATTGGCGCCAACATCCCTGTATCTATTAATGGATCCCACAATGTGTATTATAACTCTTACGCCGATACGTCCTTCCAGGACATCGGTCCATATCCCTACCCCTTGCAGCAAGGTCATGTACCGGATGCTGCTCAACTCGACCTTCAATATATCCTCTCTTCGGATATGTCGCATTCACACTCCAATGATTTTATACATGACCATCCTCAGTTGCAAACAAAGCACTTCCAACAATCGCAGGATCTTTCTTCCTTGGGTCCTCCTTCTGACCCTGAGTCACAACCTCAGTCCTCTCCCTCAATTTCATCTTCAGCTAGCTTTGCACATGCTCTCCACGATTTGTCACGCTCTCCAGATAATTCTCCCACTCCATATACTCCATCGTCACCCCTAAAAGTTGCCAGATACGCTCACGCAATGCTACCGCCCATTGTCCATTCAAGTCCCTCCAATGCTAGAAAGGATGAAACTGATGTGCGTTCTAGTACATTCTGATGTGCCTGTCACCTGATGGTCTTCTTAGAGCCGTTCCGTCAACAAACGCCTAAACTCCGGTGCTGCATCACAGGTCGACCCCTATGCCTCCGCATTTTTACACGACCAGTTGGGGGAAGCAAAATGGAACACGTTTTATGCACGGTTATTCGAACGTAGACTCGGTCCTATCAAGTCAAAGATGCGAGTCAAAACCAAAGGCACCGGAGGTGGTGGACTTAGTACTTCCAGTCCTGGCGCCACAGCAATTGATTTTCTCATCAAAGTCGAAGTTGTCAAAGAAGTGCTGCGCACCTACGTCCCGTGAGTTTCGCAGTTGTTTAATTGGCGAATTAACTAAAATTAAATGTCTCGCCTTGCTGTGCTCTGCTATCAGTCATCCGTACAATCCGCTGAAGTCCCTAACACATGTATTTCCGGGCTCTCCGTCAGGATCTGTTACCCTGACCCGCTCAACCATCCTGGTTCTATCTGGTTGGTCCAACACGCAGTTTTCGTATTGGGCTCGTCGCTCTGAAGGCATCTCTGTCCTAAGAGATCACGACGAGCGTCTGCAGTCAGTTGCAGTCGCCCTGGAAAAGCGCTTGAGGCAAGGGGGGGTGCTCCAAGACTTACCTGATGACGACGCCCTCAGTTCCCTTACCTATGGCCACGTGGCAGAGTCCTCACCAAACGTCACCGGCAAAGGTCTTGACATCATCATTGAGGAGGTAAAGAAACGTACTGGACTCAGTCCATTCCTTCGTGGGAAACATTCTTCCCTTGATCCGTTTGGCTCTACCAACAGTGATAAGGATACAGGACCAGGCCCCCCGTCTGGCCCTCCTTCAGGACCTGTGTACATGCCAACCTTCCAGGCAATGGAGTATTCTCATTCTCCTCCGGTATCTACGGAACCTCCTCGTCGGCCCAAGAAAAAGAGGCGAACGAGCGCTACTGAGTCAATATCTTCGCATGCCGGTTCTAGCGTAACTCACGCGGAGCTAGTGGCTAGCTCAGGTCAGTTGGGATACACGATGGAGTCAGGTGTCAAATCCGACGTAGCGAATATGATATCACCTGATGCGGTGGCGTCACCAGCTTCGCTCTCGGTATCACGTCCGCTGCCTCGGTCTCTTGGCGTCATGGATGATCCTATTGGTGCCTATCAGCTCCAGAGCAGTACGATGGATGATGCTGTGGAGAGCACCAACAGGGAGTACTTTCCCGTATCAGATTCTCGTTCTGACTTTGATGAGTTACGACACAAGCGGCCCTTCTCGTATTCTGACCTTTCCATGGAGACGCGACAGAGGCTCAGCGTCTAGATGATTTGACAAGCTCTAGACCATGATGTGCATGCCGTTTCCAGCCTTTCGGTTCTATGAAGTTCACGTGCCTCTCAGGACTTTTCCGCTGCATGCATACTTGCCTTCTGCATGCATGCTACTTCTCTTCTCGCTTCGCTTTCTCGATGCTCATCGATCATATGCCCATTCACTTTACCTGATCAGTCTACCTCCGCTCTCTAATTCTTGTACCACTATCAGGAATCATATTCAGAAAACTTATCAATCACCACTCTAGCTACGTACGATACGGATCATATCTCATTGCAGTACTTTTTCTGTGGCCTGTCCACTTGTAGTTCCCATGTAGTTCTAGAGCATCTTTCGCCGAAAACCCCAGTTGTAATAACCCACGCACAAACACGTTACTTTGCTTATGATACATCATTTTCGGTGTTCACCGATTACCATGTCCACTGTGTGATGTTGAACATCGGGCATATCATAACGACGCTGACGGCGGCATTCTTTGTCGTTGCAAGCTATGTGATCCTATTCAACACGTTTCTACCGCTCTCTGGTGTTTATGTACGTACTTGGTTATTCAAGAAAAGATGCCATCGTGGCGCATATACTAATGAACCGCTGACCTATCAGGCCCTTGACGTCCTCGCGCAAGACACCCATTACAAGTACTTTACCCTATTCATCATTCCCATGGGCGCGTACTTTGTGATTGCAAACTGGGTAGGCTGGCAGTACTACCAGAATTCTTGATTGTGAGTGCTGCTGCTGTTTGCCTCTACCTTCCTTGAAACTCCGCCGGCGTATGCAGGAATAAGGCGAGATTCCGGTATACGCCTTACACGACACACGGCACCAGATACTTGAGCATAAGCTTTCGATACAGGTATTGCAGGGTCTAGCCAACAATGGTGTACTACATGTGCATAAATAGGTATCCAAACGTGGTGCATATCGAGGAAATTGCACAAGGTGAATATGGAAGTAAATAAGTTATAAGTAAAAAGTAACAAGACTATCGGTATGCCATCATGGAGGTTCAGGTGTTCGTGACTTTTCCGTTAGGGGTCTTGGCCTCTTCTGCACTTGTCTCAATTCCTGCCAGAGTCGACTGCGCTCGGGCTCCTCCCTAGGTGTGGAGGTGTAATTTGACCTAGTAGGACTAACTTCCCTAGCATAAGAACTTTTGGACTTCGCAGGGCTGATAGCTCGTCTCGCCGTGAACCTGGGTCGTACAGGTGAGGACGGTGCCTGGGACGGTGGTATGGAAGTTTTGTTCGATCTCGTCGGACTGGGATCACGGGGTCCCCGACTCGGGGGCTTGGCGCTCTGGCGGCCAACAGGTTCGGGGCGGGTTTGGTTTGCAAGAAGACGTGCAATGCCAGGTCTGGTAATCAAAACAGAAGACCGAGTAGCGGCAGGGCGGCTCGGACCTACTTCCGAGCCTTCTGTTTCACTTTCTACACGGGTATTTTGACGAGGAAATGGGCTGCGACTCGTGCGTGCCGGGAGCTTGGGTGTCGGGTTGGCTCGCCCCGGACTAACGGACGGCAAACGAAGATAACGAGCGCGACTGTTTAAAGGTATTGAACAAACCTACGCAGTCATGTGGTGGAAAGAACTCACGCTATTTCCTTCAAGTGGGTTTTTGTTTTGTAGGCTTGGTGCCACTTTTCGAATGCTCGATCTAGATCACGAAGGTCATCCACTGGATATGATCGTCAAATAAATGAAATCTCACTTAGGACGGCATCATTATGAGTCTCTCGGGCTCTTTTGGCCAGAAGTGCCTGCGGCATAGCAGCTCTCCAGATAGCCCAATAGCTCATCTTGGTCCGTGAGGCCTGGAAGCGGATGGCTGGGAGAGACTGAACGGGTGTTAACAGACGTGTTAGGTATTATAAAGAAAACATACTCGGGTCTTTGAATGCCAAATACCAAATGCACGGAAGAGGAGATTCTTTTGATTCTGAATGGCCATCTGGCATAGCTATTATGCTTGAGTTAGGAAGGTATGCTTTGTCGAGGATGCTACAGAACTCACAAGGGGTCGAAGTTTCTCATCCATGTACCGTTCTCTCCATCTGTTCCAAGCAACCTGCACATTTGCCCGGTCAAATTCGAGTTCCTTTTCGCGCAAAGTAATGCGTTTATGACGTCGAGCACGGGCCTGCCATCAGCCAGCGATAGAACATCCGGCGGACGCTCTCTACAGGGCAAGAATTAGACGATCAGTTAGATGACCCCAACCTAAGTACTGACCGGCCCGTTTGATATCAAGATGACTCTCCATGAGGCTCAGGTCTTCAACATGGCGCAAACATATGTTCTTCCATTTCTTGAAGGCGAAGCTGAGGAAAAGGTCAGATGTATTGAAGTTGTGGAGGCGCAGACGGTCGCGTACACTATTAGTGCGTGGGCGCTCTTCTGGCTGACTTCTAGTTCCCGTAACTTGATTTCAATGACACGATTGGTCCATAGTCTTAGAGCATCCCGTTTTATTCGCTATAACGCAATTAGACTGAATTTCAAAGCTTGCAAATTCGTTCGACTTGCCAGAGATACGAGGTCATATATTTGCTGCGCTGCCAGCCGACGGAATCGCTTTTTTTGATATTTCTGGTGCCATGCTTCAGGTGAAATTAAGACATCAGAAACCAGCTGATTAGATCATAAACACGTCAACTTTACCTGTCATGAAAGCGCGAAGTCGACGGATCTCAAGGCCTTCGAGTTTCTTCAATCTTTGGTGTTCCTCAAACTTGACCTTCCAGGCTTTCAAAATCCTTCGCTGAAGAATGAAGTTCTCCACGAATCGAGCTTGTTTCAACAGCTTCATCTTTGTCCTCAGCTGGATACGCCATTTGAGTAGTGCATCATACTGCACACGAGCAAGGTTACGCTGAACAGCAAAGGCGCGGCGATTTTGGTAAATTGTATAGACCCGATGCCAAGTTCGCAGAGCTGAAGAGACACCATATGAATCGGAGCGCATGGAGAATGCAAGAGCATAATCTGTCACGACGTTAAAGATCTCTAGGATAATCTGATTGCTGAACTACGCTCACCTTCGAGATGCTTGCGTTCTCGCAAGCGATCTTTCCAAACAGCCATTGAATTTTTCATTAGACGCATGTCTCTCACCCTTTCGAGCAGTTTCCCGCGTTCGCGAGCCTTCCAAACCCTGACGACGGCTCGGAGCAAAAAAACATCTTGACGAGCGAGATATTTGTCGGCACGCTTTTCCGTGACCTACTGAAATGAGTATCGTTCAACGTTATTAAATAAGGGAACGTACACGCATTCGATCTCTGGTAGTTTTCCATGTGCTTATTGCTCGCTTTAAGATAGCAACATCGCGATAGGCACCCGCAGTCTGGCGCTCACGGCTACAAGAGGTGTTAGCTGTCTGAATGTGAAGAAAATTTGATCCACTTACGTCTGCTTCTTCCACAAGTCCATCACGATTCCTTTGATCCTGAGTGCCGCCTTGTGTGCAACGGTTTTTCCGGCATCTTTGGCAGCCATAGCTTTTTTCCAGTGCTTCCATGCTCTATGAGCAGCGCTCCCCTTGATTCTCTGAGAAAACTCATCTGCCGCAGAATCCATGCGATCTAGCTTTAACAAAGAGTTTTTCCATCGCAGGAAAAACCGTGCAACTATGCGTTCATTGTACTGCAGCTCGTTTAGAAGAGAGCGGTGGGACTGTTGCCATTTGGTCCATGCATATTTGACAAGTTTAGTTTCATGCCTTTCGCGAACCGTCTTCATCTTGGTGCGCATGTCATGACGCCACTGTAACTGTTTTTTCTGCTTATGTTTTGCACCCCAAACACCAAGGGCGAAGCGAAGGCAGCGCGCATCGGCAATAGAGGCAGCGCGAGCGTGCATTTCAAGACGCAAGGCAGTAGCATTCCGCCAGGAACGTAATGAAGAACCTAGGATTACATTATCTCGAGCTTGAGCAACTTGTTCGTTCGTTGTCTAGACTGAAGTATCACCACCTGACAGGATCACAATCGGAAAATGCCTACCGCTAGCCACTGGTAACCGAGAACCCAGATCCCCCAACAATGTTCGAGAAGTTTGTCTTCACGGAACTTATCCGCGTCTTCCTCGTCTCGTGACGTCTTAATTTTTTGCCATGCTTCATCTTCATTGATCACGCTTCCCTTGCGTTCGCGACCCTTTGTGATCGCACTGACTGCTACGGAGTTTTTAATCGGTGACGATGCACGAACTATCGGCCGATCCCGTGCTTTTTGAGGGACAGGCGTTGCAACAGCAGCGCGATAAGATGGCGGAGTAGTTGATAAAGAGCCTGGTACATCACCATCGTCGGTGGTGTCTGACATTCCTTCCCATACAGCTGGCTGGTGACGACCAGCGGCTGTTTGGGGACAGGGCGTAGATACACGTGTAAGAGTAGGTGGAAGGATATTGTTTGAATTGCGGCTTGCAGGCGTCCTTGTCACCCGTGTCAATTGTACTGATGCGTTGGGGCGCGTAGCCTGGTTCAGGCGTGTGAGGGGTCGAAGAGGGACCTGTTCGGATTCGGCATCAGAAAAAGGGGTTTCTGTTTCTGTTTCTGTTGCAGTTCCATCCTGTTCCTGATCTTGGTGTGAGTGAAGGGTAAACACATCATCGTCCTCGTCGCGGACAGGCGTTGCGAGACGGGCAGCTGATCTCGCAGGCTTCGAAGTCGGAACGGGTGCTCTGGCAGACGTCGTAGGGATTGGAATCTTCGAGGCACCGCTATAGCTATACTGCTGTTTCACCCCCTCCCATTTGTGATTCCAGCTTGGTCCCCGGAGTTTACAGAGCTCCAGCAGCCTCCCGTAATGCACCGTCTCTGTCTGATTATCCCAGCCCCGATCGTGCAGTTCATCGTTGTACGCCTTTAGTCCCGAGAGAAACGAGGTCGCGTTGGGGGAATTCTTTTGACGACTGCATCAAAAAACTCGACTTCCGCAGACGTCAGGTTGTGTAATTCAGATTTCGAGGCCGCCGACCCACGGGAGACATCAGATATTGTTGCCTGGAAAGATACTAATGGACGTTGAGCTGCAACGAGAGGCTTCGCAGGCGATGATGTGTTAGTTGGCTTGAAGCCGGGCATATAGACAAAATAGAGGTGTTAGTGGTGGTACATCGACCAAACGTGGCATCCGATTATGATCAACAGATGGAGACGCGTTCGCGATACAGGCACGTGCGCGTCTACATTTACGTAACATCAAATCGACTGTGGATCTTTGCAAGCACCTTTTTTTTCTGTCAAAGTGGTACAATTCGCTGCCTCTTGTTGTTTTTGTGTACTTGTAGTTAGGGGACATTAATATTGTCTATTGTGTATCCCGAACAAAACCAAGTGTGCCGAGTGACGAAGCCAGTAAATCCAACACTCGCCCACTCTCTTTCTTCTGGACTTGCAGGAGCTCCTCTAACTCAGCCCGCAGATCCTCATTTTCGATAATCACGTCTGCATGGATTCGCAGGACGACATTTTGTAGTGCTTGCACAGCTTCAAAGTCAAGGTGCGACTGCAGGCGTCGCTTGATGGCGCGAAGAAATTGCTGGAGGCTGTTGAACGAGACTAACGAGCGCAACTCCAAATCAATTGCTGCCGGCGAGAGGCTCTTGATGTAGTTAAACAACGCATCATCCGCTGAAAGAAGCCTTGGTTATCAGCACGAACAAATCGCGAACGGAAAGAATCATACAGCCGTTATTTTTATCTGACTCGACTAGTAACTTTTGTAACGTGCTTCGCGAGTTCGCAGCGATTTTGTCGAGTCTGCGAGTGTGTTTTTCCTGTGTCTCTTGCTTCTTCTCCTCGATCGCAAACCGATGCTCGACGCCCGGTAACGTAGGTAAGAAAAACGGGGCATGTTCGGGCTTCTTCGGCGGCTCTTTTGGTTTATTCCGTTGCTGCAAAACAGTTAATCCTAGCGTAAAACAAGAGACGAATACGAACCTGTATGACCTCCAGATTCAGTAGTGTCTGCCAACGTGCGCGAGGGAGTAACGTTAATGTCACAAGGTCTCCATCTAATTGAGACGGTGTAGAGAAGACGTCTGTGGGCTTATCTTCCACCCCCAGTGATTCCAAAGCTTCTAATGCTGTATATAAGTCAGCAATTATGCATAAAACCAAATGGACAAATAATTCACCTTCATCTTCTTCAGACCCTTGCATCGAAGGAAGCGCAACTTCAGCAATATTATCTTCTGAAATTGCACGGAATGCAACCTCCGAGTATTGAGATCGATTTGCCCTATTCAGTGTTATCAACTGAGATAAGAAGTTGATACGTAGTATCTTACCAAAGGAAAATGCCAACACTGTCGACGTGTGTGGTGGCCAGAAAGTCATTTGTCGGCGAGAACGCAATGCTCGTCGCGACACTAGGTGTGCGGAATGCGTTTATTAGCTGACCAGTAGGTATATCGAATGTCCGTATCACAGAGTCCAACGATGCGACTACTATCCAGCGTGAATCTGACGAAAACGCCTGTTACTGCTTCAGCAAAGTTCTGAAGTTCAATACAATGTCCGCAACCCACTATATCAAGTATTCGACCGTGGACGCCACATGCCAGTTCTCTGACGATTCTACGAGTCTCGATATCAATGATTCGAACAACCATATCATCGCAGACGACTGCAAGTAATCCAGAGTCTCGTTGTAACATTATCGAACTAACTGGAGTTGGCAAAACCACCACTTGGTCCAGAGTACAAGCGTGGAAGTTAAAGAACTGTAATCATCAGTCGTTGTAAGCTGAGAGCGGCGGAAGCAGCAAGAATTCTCACATTCATAGTGCCATCTGAAGTAGTGGCAATAACTGCGCGGTTCAGAGCATCTGAAGCTAGGCCAGTAATACTACGCTCGCTGGTTTTTTGTTTCGTCATGGACGAAAGCTCAAGGCGATCAATTACGGCTTGAGGGCAGGGTCCAACCTTGAACGACTTTCGCTTCAACCCAGACTGCATGTTCCACATGTGTATCTCTCCGGTTGAAGATCCCGCAAGACCGAAGTTTCCGCAAGCAGTAACACAGACACACTAAATTACAGGATTAGAATACAGAATAAAGCAAGAAAGACGACGTACCTTTACAACACCTGAGGGAGATTTCCTTTTGGAACTTTCAGCGGAGTTGAACGTGTGCTTTCCAACGCGCTTGTTGAACACTGTCCAAGACCGTACACACATCTCGTCAGCATGTGCAGTCAGAACGTCATCCCAGTCCTTGGATCGTGTCGACGAACAAGAAATAGAAGTGATGGGAGGGAATTTCAATGAAGCAAGGGGTTTTGATAGAGTCGTAGCTTTCCGTGCGAGAGATCCTGAACAGATTCAGGTTAGCCATCAATAACACCATTCTCTACTCGACACCTACCTTGCGACATCTCGTATGACCTCGAGTCTCGAACAACAGAAACATACCGCAAGGTACGGTCTGCCGACGCAGATAGCAATTGTTTACCATCTTCACCATAAAACCGAATGAGATGCGGGGGTGCGTGATGACCAGATCTGAATTTCAGGAGTCGAGGAACAGCGGTGGGGGATTCGTACAACCATTGCTATTTAACGATCATCAGTGATAAACAGACCTTCTTGTTCTCATAACTACCTTGACGCTGTTATCCTCACCTGAGCTGACGAGGACAGGCTGTCCAGGGACCCACTCAAGTGCACTAACAGCACCATCATGTGCACCCCGGATGAGATGCAGAAGCCGACCACCAGAATCCAGGTCCCAGAGAGCTATATGTCCAGATGACGAGGCGGATGCCAGAATCGAGTGACCATCTTGTATGCAGCGAGATCAGAATTTAATTTGCTCATGTCTGCAGCAACATACCACTCCGAAAAGATAAAGCTTTGATTCCCCCATTATCCATGTACATTCTCATGAGCCGTTCATCAGCACGAACGTCGTACACAGATATTTCTCCTGACATAAAACCAACACCGACCACGTCAATAGCAGGGGACTGCGTTAACGCCGTGATGGGACTCGACAATGAGTTCATATGCTGCTGAGTGGGTAATGTGCACAATTGAGAATTAAAAAATTTGTGTATACAGGTCCTGTAGTAGCCAGTTGAATTCAAGTAGTGGATTGCAGATATTCAACTCACTGTGTACGGATGTTCCAAAGTTGCATATCGCCCTCACTGCTAGCAACTAGAACTTTTATTCAGATATGTAGCAGGATGGAGAATTGATGTAGCAGTAAACCCAATATCAAACTGAATAGTTGCAGATAGGGTTCGTTCTGGATTAATGATGAGACAAACACTCGAAGTAATCGAACAGAGAGCACACCATTAGTTGATACCTCCCATATTAGCATCCGCCTACCACCTTCCGTCAATGCAAGTAACTGAGAGCCAAATAGAATGACAAATGCTAAAGGTGTCTGGAGCGGATTCGACACGCGTAAAACCTGTAACTGAGTCAACAACAAAGTACGTGGAATATCTGAAAGCTCCTACCTCTTTTCCTCGGAGATATTTGATTACATGTACACCAGACGCTGCCCAAACAGCATCACCATCCATAACTAGGCATGAAATGGGGTCTTGAACTTCCGGACCTGTGCACCATTACACAGGAAAATCAGACATGACTTCTGATCCTAAGATATACTAATAACTCACCAACAAATAACAGGCCCATCTTACCCCCCTCCCATAACGCCCATGATCTGCCGAGACAGGTTAAAATGTGTATCCGGGGTCCCTCGGTTGCATCCTTGTAAGAACGGGTTTGCATATAGAATGGTATGTGGTTTGTGATTAGACCTAAAGCGCGGAACGGCGCAAACAATAGAGGCACTCTAGGCAGGCGAGTGGGACTCGTCGCACGTTTGCGTTTTGTGCTGTTGCGAATCCTTTTGCGAGGGCGAGCTTCTATCATGTCAACATCTTCGGCGTTCTGAGTGGCCATGGACACCCTGATCGCCTGCGCTAGACTAGTAGTAAATGGAGAAAAGACCGACGAGAGTGAACGATCGCAAAAATGTATCGCTACTTCGAAAAATCATCTCACGTGACCTGCGATGTAGAGTTATAATTTTATACTTGCTAAATATAAACGCCGATGCAGTAATAGTATATAGTCAGAAGTCAGACCATGCAGCTTTGCTCCGTGGGTGTTTCACCCAGGTTGCGGTTCACTGAACTTTTATTCCATTCACAGCATGATCCAGATCATTGTTACCAGTGCACACGAAGGACGGACGTCTTGAGTCATGAGTATATTACACCATTAGCATGGATTCGTAAGTGAGAGAAGTACATACGATACTCTAGTCCATTTACAAGCTACATAATTTAGTTTCAAATCATTTCTATGCGAGCCATTAAGTGACATGCATCGCCCGAGGCCACCATTGATAAGGTATAATCAGGTATCGCCTGTTCGTCCACTTCCAGGCCCGAGACAGGGGTATCGGATGTCCCTCACTCTATGCTTCCGTCTTCTGCTTGATACTAGTAGTGTCCTCTGCCATGTTTGTTCGTGTGCGTTCAGAGGCGTCATCACGGGAAGCTTGTCTCTTCTCGCTCTCCAAAGATTCGGACTCCACGACTCGTGATTCTTCTTCTATCGTCGCTTGAGCAGCACCTTGCTCAATGTCTCCTAGCTTCTTCTCACCGCTGCGGATAACAGTGCGCTCGAGTGTGTAACCACGAATAAAGAGAACTAGAAAGAGACCGAACGCAACTAGTGGCACGTTGACCAACCAAACCGTGCTGATAGACCGCGAGTAAGCATACATGACCTCATTACGCACTGTTGGGTTCTGGTAAGATCGGTAAGTAAGCCAGAATCGAGATCATAAAATTGTTTCTGACAGAAATGGAAGAAATCTGCCTGACGCTATCATTCAAAGCCGCTGCAGAAGTGTCGATGGTGAGGCCCTGGATGCCCCGCAATTTCTGCTGGAGGACACTGGAAATGATAGCTTCCCCGATTGTAATACCTATCGTACCCCCAAGAGTTCTGAAGACCAATGAGTACCATGAAATGCACATTGTAGAGTCACTCACCGGAGGAACACAAAAGCACTTGTACTGGTAGCCATATCCTTGATGGGCATGGCCGCCTGTATGCCAATAAGCGGGGTCTACCACAGAGGCGATGATGAGTGTGGATTGTTATGATGATATAGTAAACTCACCTGGAACAAGCAACCGATGCCAAGCGCTGTGATAAAGGGGTAGATTTCCTTCTCTGCACTGTATAAAAAAGCTATAGTGATCACCTGACTTCGGCAATCATTATACACATACCTAGTACTCGTACTGGACAGCATGATCATGAGACCCCAACCAAGTGTCATGACAGTCCATCCGCACCACATGACGGGACGGTAGGATCCCGTCCGGGTCACAATTATTCCAGAAACTGCTGACATGAGCGAACTGCCTAACGAATAAGGCAGCATTCTGCGCATATTGGCAACCTGGAAACAATGACACATATTCAAATACTCACTTAACGCCAGAGCCGGTTGCCGATGCGCCAAGAACTGGTGTTGAGCTCAGTAAAGTGCATACCCGAAGGCTGTAAGACAGATCTACCTTGGTAATACATTGGAAGGTAGCTAGAAAACGAAAACCACATGAGGGTGTGTGCAAACTCTGTCTACAAAATACTCACTATGAACCTGGAATAGTCATATGAGTGATTAACAAGACCCAAGACAGATTTGCGTACATGACGTACCTGTGAAGAATACCACAGCATGCAAAAATACAGAAACCATTATCAAGCCAGTTGTACGTGTCTAGCAAACCATGAGAGACAACATGAACAGCTTCCTCGACAACTCACCTTGAAAAGACGAGGAGGGATGATGGGGGACCGCTTCGTATATATCTCATTAACGCCGGCAAGGATTAACAACGTGCCTCCCACAGCAAGGAGAGCAATAGTTTCGGCACTTTGCCCTAAAGACCAGTAAGACTTGGTTCTTTAGAACAGAAAAGATAACATTACATGTCGTTTCGCTCGAGTTGAAACCTATAAGCAGGCAAACGACACCTACAATAATCACGAAAAGCCCAACGAAATCAAATTCCCGGATATGGTCGCGGAATGGTCTTCCTTGATGGGGATTTAAATTTAGGAAGAAGAATAAAAGTGCCCCAGCTAAGCCGCCAGTCGGTCTGTCCAAGGACGTATTAATAATGAGCCTCTGATCTCACCACAAACATTGGAAATACATATCAAACGCACAAATTGATCCAGAAGCACCTGATACGCCTCGATTGAGATCTCGATCAACAACAGAGTGCGAATACTCACCACCTCCAAGTTACATGATCGGTAAAAACCTAGAATGCAGAAAACGTCATCAATTCTCAGATTTCTTCAGAAGATGCGGGGGACCTTACACCGCCGAGCAACGGTCCGATAACGCTGAAAAAATAGATAAGGTTTTAAACTTTGAGAACTTGACGAGACGATCTTACCTTGCTATGCCCCAGGTGGCACCGATGAAGCCACCATACTTGCCTCGGCTGAAAAATAAACAAAATAAAAAATGAACCAGCGTTGCTAACAAATACTCACTCTTGCAATGACACGATGTCGGATATGGTGATCTGTACGAGTTGCATGATGCCCCCGCCGCCGATTCCTTGTACGGCACGACAGACAATCAACCATGTCATAGTCTGTGCTGCGCCACACAACGCTGAACCAATCTGACTTATGATGTCAGATGAATAGGACCCATGTGCTGTGAACATACTAAAAATATGATGATGGATCCGTATAGTATGGGTTTGCGGCCTGCGGATCTCAATCGTTAATTTCCAACGATGTATGTGAGCATGCACTGAAATGACACTAGCCTACAATGTCAGATAGCTTGCCGTATAGCGGGCCTAAAGAAGCGGACGCCAACATGTACGCACTGTATGAAAAGACGTTAGAGTGTGACACCGACGCTAATTTACATATACGAACCTTCCTACCCAACTGTAGTTTTGCCCCCCTCCAAGCTCCGCTACGATTGTGGGCAGGGCGGTGGCTACAATAGTCTTGTGAAACGTGAGTTAGATTTTTACGAACAACATAACAATTTGCTTACTTGATCTAAAGCCGCCAAGAATACACTGCACATCAAACCGAAGAATACAATGCCTATTCGATTTTTTGGGACGACATGCTCTTCATCTTTTTTCCACGATGCACCTGGCTTCTCTTTCGCCTCTTGAACTGGAGATGACGGCTCCGCCATCGTTGTCATTTTGTGAGAGTCTCGTCACTCGAGGGCAGCGAGTAAATTTCAAGAACGGACTGACAGCGCCAACGGGGGATGGGTACAAGGGAAGTGGGTTCATATCTCTGGACGTCTGTGTGTAATACTTAAGGGTAGAGGTGTGCTCGAACTGTGCCGAGCCTTGCTCCGAGATGCCGTGTTCGCGCACTGAGCAAAACGATTTCGCTGACTCAGGTTCTTGTAGATGATTCACCAGGATTGGTCAAAGTTTGGCCAAAGATAGTAAAGAAAATCCTACATATGCCAAGGAAAGCCATAATACGCTTATTTATGGCACTCCGTGCAGCGTGATTCGCGTAAAAATGTTCAGTTCCGTGCCCGGCAAAGTCTAGGGGTAAGATTCATCCGCTCGACACGCACCACTGCATGTCAGGTCTTTGTCAGACATTCGGAGTTATAATTAGCTTCGGGACATCGGACACGAATTCTTCCACGGACAGACCTCTGTGTCCATTCTGTGGGGGCACTCTTTCATTTTTTTTACCGTTTTGGAATCTTCCATACTTGTCTGAGGCTGCGCACCGATAAAATCAGTGCCTTTGATGTTTCGGGAGAACTCTCACGTTAATTATCGCAAACCAGCTCCTCGGAGTCTTTAAGCTCATTAAATGGACCTACCACATTTTCTGTAGACTGTCTGTTTAATGAGGCAAGCCGTCGATTAGATATTTCTGCATCGTAGTAAATCTGCGTCCGAAACCCGATTCCAGACGCACATATCCACGTTGCGCTGATACCATACCAACAACAGGGCCTGGTGCTCGAGTCGTGGCCAGCCAAACGTATTGTGGTGACTTGTAGATTGGCGAACTGCTGAAACTCTGCGGGACTCTATCAATGAGCATTTATGTTAACAGACTGGTCATGGAAATATAAGACCTGGTTCTGGTTGACTGGAATGCCATGTATTTTTAACTCCATGCCATTTTGAGTTTTGTGACGGTTCCAAATCTATTCAAAGGTCTCTGTGGCTTAAGCAGCAGTGAACGTCGTTCAGCCTCCAAAAGCACCCAATAGCCCATGGATACTGGTAAAGCCAGTAACGAACCACGTACTGTGCCATCGACCACAACGCCAGTGCGGAAGCAGGAGTATGATGGCATGATTCATTGTTGCGATGCGCAGGGAGAATGGCAGAATGACATCGAGCGTCCTCCTCCCGTTAACTAGTACGCTTGAAATTAGTCTCCCCTAGACAACCCTTTATAGACGAAAGAAGATAGCTATTCCGTCTAATAGAAGTTAGAATATACATCGGACGTATTGGAAGATGTATCTCCGCATGGAGCCTGGATGGACGACTGGAAGTCATACAGGTGCAATAAGCACTAAACTCGTACTTGGTCCAGGATGAAGGAAATATGCGATAAATATGCAGGAGCTGGGGACCACGGCAAACACGTCCACAGACTGTTTTGTGAAGGTACTCGAATAGGGGAAGGGTGCAGAGCTCGATCTCAGCACGACCCTGGCGTTTGTGGAGTTTAATGCATGCGAATCCAAAGGCAGGGGAGGATAGCAGTACAAGCTGGCAAGGGACACTGCAACCGTTGTCGATGATTTCCTGGCATGTGACGGCTATCGCTCTTGGCCGTTCGACGTTAGAGTCGCTGCTGGAATCTTGGTGCTGTGTCAGGTCACCCGATGATTCAACCATCGGTGGTCAAATGACTGCATGTCAATTTCACCGGAAGCCCCAGCTGTTAAACATTCAGCGCTGAGGCAGTTGCAATAATCTCCAGGGCTTCTCCAACGATTCTCTTGAAACCACCACCCATAGCGAGTGAGATGTTTCCGACGTAGCAGGAGATCTGCGACCGAAAGAACAAAATCGCAGCACCAGCCGGGTCACTAGCATTGGCAGGGGGTCCAGACTGTGGCACGGCACGATACTCAAAACTCCAAGTACTAGTACGCGGGGCAATCAGATTAGTATTACCAACTGAGTCAAGCTGGCAAAATAACCGCCTATCCCTAGGGTACATGCATATATATAGAAGGACTTACTGTTGTTCACGATTCGATAGCGTTATGATAGCCAGAACTTGTGATTTAGTTCTGGAACCACGTGTCTTTCATCGTTAAACCTTGATGCACTGCTTAGTTGATATTGACTGGAACCTATTGGAAGGAATAACTATCTTCCTTCGTCTATTAAGGTCTGGCTAGGGAATCACTTTGTCGGTCCGCAATCAACCAGTGCTTGTTTAGGAAAACCAAACGTTGGTTTGAGGTTTGTCGTCGGTCTGGGCTGTCTGGAACCCTCTAATTCGGGATCCAGGGCCGCTTGTGTCACTACCGACGGACATAAGGTGTGTGATACGGGTTTGTGAGGTGCAACATTTAAGACCATAGGATGGGTGATTTGAAGGGCATGCAGCAGGATAGGGAGCAGCTGGGGTCCCGCTAGGAGATATTAACGGACCAATGAAAAGAAAGATGTTGCATTATGTAAGTGAATCTGATTGAAAAGGAGTTGCCGTTTATGAGAATACTTTGCCGAGACCCCGGATGGATGGCTCCCCGGACACCTCTGGAGACAACTGATCTTCTTCACAGACCTCGATGAGCTCACTCATTGGAGAGCCGTTCCAAGTATCGAGCTACCCTATTTCAACGAAGACAAGGCACGACAAAGTACACAATCCTACATATGCGTCATACAGCCGTGATTTCCCTGGACATGCAACAGTGACCGTCCAGGCAGAAGGCATACATATCATTGATGTGAGTTTTCCGGACTCCTGCAGAGACGCGTTGATGGAGATTTTCTGTTTTCAGCTATCTGAACTTCATACAGTGGCCTCGCACACCTGTGGATCTAATGTCGCATTCTCCGGACCTGCAAGCAGCCGGTGTACGCCAGAGGGTGATGGGCGCGTATGTACAACTTATGCACTCATCTCTTCTGCACCGGAGGTTGCTGTGAAGAACAGGAATCGGACAGTATGGATTATGAAGCAGAAAATCTTAGGTGGCACCTTAGACAAAAGTGACAAACACGAAATTGTGGTGCGTCTTACTCATGAAAACAACCCAAGTCATGTTCTACACTGACGCAATCGTTAGCTGCCTCACGAAGTCACGCATATCTACTCAGACGATAAAAGTTCAAAGATTTTACTCGTATCTTCTACTGGTGATATCAGCGTCGCAGATAATGAGTTGAACATCCAGTCCACTCTCATATGTCCGCATCAACAAAATTTCCTGGACGTGTTTTTCTTCCCTGGCACGTCATGTACTTTTCTGCCGCCTCATGAAAATCTCCCAGACACTGTAATAGTGTTCTGCTCGAGCTCTGACTCCACACTGCTTCTATCCATTGTATCTGTCACTGGCAAGGATATAACCATCATCGGCAAAAACCAGGTTTCGACCTCCCATGGAGTCTCAGGGCGGAAAATACAACACCACGTTATCGCCCTTTCATGTAGTCCCTGTGGGGTGTTGAGCTACATAAGTGAGCTTGTGTGTCTATTCTGGTTTGAAGATTTCTCACATCATCAAGATGAATCTCATACTTGGGCTGCTTACCAGCTCGAGGTAAACAGTCTAACAACATCTGTAACACAGATTGGCGAGACATTAGCTCTGGCTCAATCATCGCGTTTGAATGGTCATTCTTTTGGATGCGGCATGTGTCTCCTTTCAGTGGGTTCCTCGCTGGTTCTCCTCGCCACTATGACCGGTACGCCATCGTCAGAGATATCAATCCTTCTCTGGGACATGCGCTACGGTGTAGTTATTGCATCGCATGCTGTCCCAATCCCATCCGCTCTTGCGCCGAGTATCAAACTGGGCATTAATATGAGCTTACTGCTCGCAGATGCAGGGCAAGTATTATTAACGTTGTGCCCTGCAAATGTCTCACGGACCGCCTCGTCGACCTCCGAGTCTCCATATCGTTCGGTAGTTTACATCGTTCCCCTGGATCCGAACTTGAAATCCACCATTGCTGGTGCGATCGGAAAAACCCCCGCAACTTCTCAATGGCTAGCACCGAATCCTAAAGCTGAAACGCTAGCGGACAATGATCCTAGATCCATACTGCTTATCGACATGGCGAATCATTTGCAGCACAATGAACCCCATAAGGCGGATGAAGCATTTTTCAGATGGGTCAAGGAGCACACCTCAGCCAGTGAATCATCCTCAAGTAATGCATTGTCAATCTCGACGCCGGTGCGCAGTTACAGTCTCAATCGGAGTTTCTGATGCCAAGTTTGTTAATAGGACGGAGCTGCGTCGGAAGCTCTTTATGGCTATGGTTTTGTCAAAGAGCTTTTAGCCCTCTTCTTTGCAAAGGAGTACACTGAAAAGCCTCAGTACTCTCCGCGTGTCACGCGGCACTTGATTGAGAGTTGCGTCGTCAGCGCAGGCATGGTAGAAGGCAGGCTTCTCACAGCACTAAAACAACACGACGACTGGGTGGGTGGTTCCCGTCTCTAGCTCGATAAAGCCAATAATAGCTCGTGCAATAGGAAAGCATCATGCTGTCGTTCAACTCGGTAGTTGATATATCCGAAGGACGAAATGATCTCCCTAGCCAAGGCGCTTATTGATAAGCAGCAAAAGCCACAGACCGATCCGGAGGTTATGGATGTGGATAGTAATAAGACCTGGACCCCAACTCTATCGGCTTATATGCTGATGTGTGTCTCATATCCAACGTCTCCTGCTGCACTGCGTCTGGCCATCAGAAAACACCTGCCAGATGCGCAAGATCTCATTTCAATCTTAGAATTGTTGGACGGCTGGACGATTGGTGGAACCGAGGGTACATTCGTACCCTTTTAAAATCTGTGGCATCGAATGTTGCGATAGAACACCGTGGCGGAGCGGCCCCGCCGTACGATAAGGTATGTTTGCGCCCAGTAACCAGGATGAAGCCTGACACTCTACAGACAATATCCTTTCTGCAAGTCTTGCTGGACGCTTCGTTTGTTTCCTTGTTGCAATTCCCTCCATCGCATGAACTGCTTCGGAATATCATGTCGCATATAGAACCCGAGATAGAACTTCATGAACGTATGGGGTACCTTCGAGGGGCATTGGAACCCTTCGCCAGAGTTCAGAACCGAATAGTGAAGGAGAGGGCTGAGGGAACGCCGAGGGAAACTCCGAACGAATGGAGAAAAAGACGTAAACATCAAGAACAACAGATTGCACTTGGTGTTGGGCTGTACAGATTGGAGGAGCTTATTATCTAGTGCAGATCTGTGTCTCCGAGAATTATAGGTTGCATGGGTGTCTGCAATATCATCCGTGCACAAATATAAAGGGGCTCTAGCCGCTGAGGTTAAAAAATGATCAGATCATTAGAAACCTAAAACGACAAAATAGTAGGAATTTGCTACCAAACGATGCTCGCGTCTCGAGCCAATTACCACTTAATGCTCATAACTCTGCGAGATACGTAGGACGTGAGTATGAATGTAAGAAATGGTTTGGATTGAAATGGACAAAGTCCACTACATAAGAGGGCGTGGCCTCAGATGCTGAGCACTTGAAAATTGTCAGACCTTTGTCGACCTGGTTGGAGCTCATCATTTCACCAAAAGCCGACTGGTCCAATGTCTTGACACTACGATCGACACCAAAAGTTTCACTTCATGCCCGACCAACAAAGCCCAAGGTTGGCATTTTGAAATTCAGTAGCCAGCTGTCATGAAGGTTTTATGCCCGACAACAGATGTTACATCTTCCCCAATAATTCGTACATTTCGAGCATTACTGCTCATGAGAACTCAGCACCCCCCGGAACCTTGGAATTTCAGCGTCGAACCTACGCGTGTGTGAATGCGATGCACTAGTCTGGGTTGACATGAACGCACCATATCCAGTTCTGTTTTGTTAATTGTGCGTGGTTAAGTTGGCCCTGAGAAAGCGACCAGTTACGGATTGCCTTGGTAAGTTTGTCGTCAGGAAAGTTATAGTTGTAACGGAAAACGGTGATCATGACCAGATGAGTGCGCATTCTTGGTACATGAGTGACGGCGGAAACGCCTTCACACTCCATTATCCAGCCATTCTGGATCGAGGGGTCCCAAGAGAAGTGTTCTGAGGATAGGGACAATGCTGGACGAGGCGTGACCCCTGTAGTGTCCAGAGGAATGGACCAACAGTGACGATCACCCACCCACCTCTTCTCGTTTAAAAGAAATAGTTGGGGGTGAGTGACATGTTCCGGCCCGAATACTGCATAGACTCTCCAACCCCTCTGCACATACTTTTTAACGACATCCAAGCGATTCGACCCGGGGATCTGGATAGCCATTCGCTCCTCGAAGGTTGCAACAGGGTAAAAGGAATAAGCTGCATCGAACGTGATAATATTCATCACGCAAGCTACAAATAAAGTGTCAGAAATATGTTCAAAAGAAAGGCGACGATTTGACAAACTTGAATGAAATTGCGTGATAGTCTGGATAGGATTGCACTTTGTTGCAATGATTTGGACCTTGAGCACTACGGTCCCTGTGTCCATAGCTACAGAGCGCGTGAAGGTGTAAACACCTGCGACCTCAGAGTACTCCATGTCTGGTTCAAAATCGATCGTCATTTCTCCGTGGTCAGTGATTCTTCTTGCTGTACCATCCCAGTCAGCTGAAACTTCATCACGCCAGTCCCGTTGTTGTTGTTTCCACGCCTCAGGTTGGAATTTATACCCAACAGACTCGAGCCACTCCAGCGCCTCGTAAACGTGACCAGGATGAGCGTAGAGGTCAAGATCTGATTCGGGATAAAAGCTCCTATCAAGGAACTGCAACGTATTGGAGCCTGAAATGACTAGTCCGGTGCGTGCTTGGAGGGACCGAAATGCAAGGGGATCCGGGAAACAACGAGACAAGTGTCGGTTGATGTTGTACGCACGGCAGATAAAGTGAGTTACTGCCTCATGTGCGCGACAACATGTGCGCGAGAGCCATACGAGGGTGCGAGGGCTCAGATCGCATAAAATGAGGTCGTAAATTGGTGCTGTGGAAAATACTTCTTGCAGGAAGTACGCAGGTAACGGTCGCGGGAGTTCTGGCTCCCACATCATGCGATGGTGAGGGTAAGTAAAGGAGATTGAAGGGGTGCCAGGAGAATATCGTATACAAACACGCATATACAAGTCTCAGTTTTTGACTTCGACTCCATAACATCGGACCAGAATGAAATCCACTTGCTGGGATCTGATACGGGAGCCTATTTCTACGACCGCAATCTGACAAGTCGTAGATATGCCGCTACCGGGCTGCAGACGTGCCCATGTGCCTTGCTATATTCGCGTATGCTTTTCGCATATGACGGGCTATGCTGTAGCTGTCGGCATCCGACTCTTAGGGGGCGAAGTTCCTGCTGGTGAGGGGATTCCCGAATCAATGCAGAACATCGATCACTCAGGTAGGATATCGGAAGGCTCGAGTTTTTATCGTCTGGACGGATGCAGTGGTCACAGTTGAAAACACTGAGCTGGCATCCACCGTCAAGAACGCTGGGACACCAAAGGAAAAAAGGTGAAATACAACGTCTGAGAACGGGGCTCTGATGTGCCCAAGGTAGATCTGATGCTTCAGGGAGGCAAAGTCCTGACAAACCTCAGAGGCGAAGTGGTGATCCTAGCATTGGTCCGGCGCAAAGAGATAGGTAGACAGTGGGCATGTGTCAGCGCAAAGACGAACTGGTAAACTGCAAGTCCGCCGTCAGCTCGTATTCTGAGTACGGGTAACAAGTTTCCAAACCTCATCTCTACCCCTATTTACATCTGACAGTTTGGCAGGCGTTTGGGATACCAACTGGCGATCACTGTGGGCTGCTCCCGAAAGAACCTTGGTGACCTAGTGATTGATAGTGACAAATGAGAGGCTAATTGTTTTCAATACGCATTATCTGAGGATGCTCTAGCACCAGCGCGCAATCTCGAAAAGGTCAACCTGTTGCTCATGACAGGTGAACTCCATTGGAGAATGCGTCCTTCTCAAGTGCGCAGTCAAACCCCCAGTGCGGAGGCATGATATATTTCGGAAGATGTCAATAAAATGCGGAAAACATTAGCAAGTGTCCCTACACCACAAGGAGAATATTTTTCCTGCTCGGTAACCTGCTTCTGCCTGGTTCACATCTTGCATTTTTGTCGTACCAGCTTGGTAGACGACCTAAGGACACGTGCGCGTACTACACCTTCAAGAGGCGGTGGTAAGGGGAGATACCATGCGATTGGACCCCAGCGAAGGTTTGCAAGTAGACGAGAAGAATTGCAGACGTGAGCGGAGCGAACGGCCTCGTGAAGCTGCCCACAAAAGGGAATTGTGGGCCAGATTGGTTGTAAACTGAGAGCTGTGTGGATGTCGTTATTATCGGAGAGCAGCTGTGAATGGCACAGTGGAATCAAGTCCTCTTAGGTTTTGTATGTTGCTAAAAGTCTGGTTCAATATGACTTATTTCTTGAAGAAGTGTGCATACCAATGCTAATATCTCCGATTCCAAGACTTTCACTTCATCTTCAAGTCGCCGACGTTGCTTTGCAAGCATTTGAAGGCGTCTTTCTTCACGCTTATTTGAGGTGGGTGCCGTTGCGACTCTAGACTGCATAGCCTGTGCAACCTCAACCTTTACACGTCAAGTCATGATGTGCAAGACAAGAGGCGAATTGCGCACCTTGCTTTGAATCAAGCCCTCTCGACGATTCAGGGCGTTGAGACCTTTCTCTGCACGGTCGATAAGTTCATTGATCTGAGGCTCGATCTCGTCTGCAAGATCAGTTTTATATCTGTGCACTGTGCCTTCGTCGATTAGAAGGAATACCTGTAACACGAGTTACGGGGTGTGTGCTTGCAAGGAGAGCTAATATGGTGTTACCCTTTGGCTTTCAAGGACCTTGCGCATGCGGGGCAGATCGAATGTCCCGTTTCGAAGAAGCTGTTGGGCTTCATATGCCTGATAACGGTGGTGTGAACTGTAGCGCGTTATAATATGCACCTAGTCTCCCACCTCTTCGCAGCAATCTTCCATAGCAAGGACGCACTCGCGCAGGTTTGGCGGACAAACGACATTGACATCACCACGATATGGGTCGAGTCCACTTGTAAACACAGATTCCCTTGGTCTCGGTAACATCGACAACCTTGACATTGAGAATCTTAACAAGTCTCCACGTCGCGTCAACGGCGAGCCTCGTCGGCAAACGCGAGTCGGGGCTGGCGGAGTTTCAAAAATATGTATATAATGAGCTGTAAAATTGTGTTGTAAAATTTCTTCAGTGTCCATTCAACCGCCCGAAGCGTCAGCTAACAGCACAGAGGTTCATTCTTCTGCATGGCGTTGTTGCTTTCTGGTTGATGGAGCAAGGCGCTCTTCGGGGTGCTCACGAGATTGAGCATCGTTACTTGGTTCGCTCTCGTTATATCTTTTGCGACTGAGTCTGCCTTGCGGTATTGATTCGTTGCGGAGGATGGGAGTAGAGCTTTTGTAACGGTGCGGCGTCATATTCCTGTATCTTCCGTACCCGCTTTCCTTCGGGAAGGTTGCTACTATGTGGCTTTGACGGTCGGGTCAAACCATGACGCATACATATCCTTGTATTAACTAGTCTTTGTATATCCAATGAAACTCTGATGTTCTCAATACTCTGAATTGACTCTCAGTGATTTGTCGTGGAGGCTTGGATATAATTTTTCATCTTCATGGTTCAAGCTGGATGTACAAATCGTCAAACGTGAGAACATCTAGTTCGGCCAACTCAGCGGCTCCCAGATACGGGCAATTTCCCGTCAAAGTGGCAACCAAACCTTATCTCATCTCCTGATTTCTGTCCTTTCGACTCTTGTTCATCGTTTTCTTTCTCTGACAACGACAGTCTTATCATGGCACAGACTCAGATTCCTACCTTTAAGCTGGTCCTTGGTGAGTACTCGTCCTCATCCTGCCCGTAGTGATCATGATGCTGATGCTGTGTGGCTCATTCTTGATGATCTTGATTTTGCATGTCTCTCGAAACATCGCGTACTTCGTATTGCACTATCTGTCGCGTCTTTGATGGAAAAACTCAGTCGGTGATGGTGGTACCGGCAAGACCACATTCGTGAAGGTGAGCAATAGAGTTCCGCATCTCAGCGATCACAATCTGATTTCCCCGATACTTAGCGCCATCTTACTGGTGAATTCGAGAAGAAGTACATTGGTAAGTCATGCGCCTTACAATCGCAGAGCAGCTATCATAATCCAGTTCCTATTGATCCTCTCTTTGTATAGCCACTCTCGGTGTCGAAGTCCACCCACTTTCCTTTTCCACAAATTTCGGCACGATCTGTTTCAATGTCTGGGATACCGCTGGACAGGAAAAGTTTGGTGGTCTTCGTGATGGATATTACATCCAGGGCCAGTGTGGCATCATCATGTTCGATGTCACTTCCAGAATCACCTATAAGAACGTCCCAAATTGGCACCGCGATCTTGAGCGTGTTTGCGAGAACATTCCCATTGTACTGTGCGGAAACAAGGTTGATGTTAAGGTCAGTCACGATCATGTATTCTCTATAGCGACTTTTGACTCGATCATGTAATTCAGGAGCGCAAAGTGAAGACCGGCGCTGTCACATTTAACCGCAAAAAGAACCTGCCTTACTTTGAAATCTCTGCCAAATCTAACTACAACTTCGAGAAACCATTCCTGTGGCTTGCAAGGAAGCTGGTTGGGTAAGTCCATTCTCGACTAACGCTACTTCGATCTCGTTGATGAACATCTTGCAGTAACCATGACCTAGACTTTGTAGCGGCCCCCGCCCTTGCCCCTGCCGAGGCTCACGTTGACCCTGAGTTGATGAAACAATACGAGGAAGAGTTGAAGAAGGTACGTCACTATTTTCCAGTCTGTGGAGTGCTAATCGCTTAATCGTACCTTTTGTCAGGCTGAGGCTGTTCCCCTTCCGGAAGAGGAAGATGACCTGTAATCTCGTGAATCACCATATACTTACGCTTTGATACGACCGTTCCATCCATACTGTGGTTTTCATATTAAATCGCTCATCGACCAGCCACCAATCCAATCGATACATTCTTTCTTAACTCTTTTTCCTGCTTAGTGCAAATGCAGTTACCCACATTCATGGAGCGCTTTCGGAATGCACACACGGTTACTTCTCCTACAGGTTGTGGCAATAGAACTTGCGACAGACTGTTGAGAATACAGTTGTGATCATGCCCCGTTGCCCCCATCTGACAACTTCTCTATGCCCAGCATTAATCCACTGAGTTCTAACGGAGTAAGTTGGAGGTACAGATTTTGTGAAAAAATCCAGCCCTCCCGCTCGGATGCTTGCCATCGGATGAAGGTATCCAACGTAGTTTTTGAATCAAGGCCGATTTTCTTGAAGTCCTGAATCTTGTGCTCCAAGTTGGGCCGCAAGGAGCTGAGGAAATCCCTCACATAATCGACGGGGGGCGTATCGCCGCACGTTCCCCGTGGGGTCACGGTAACATCATGCGTTGTCCTCCCTTCTCTGTGGACAGAGGGTTCACACCTCGTCGACGTCCGGCGATCCTGTATACTTTTATTGATTAAAACCAGCTTGAGGCAAAAGTTCACTTGCTGCGGAGTCTTCATGATGAAGCACTCGTTTGAATCTGATAATTGCCTCACCATCTTGCTGATTGAAAGGCCATCAGATCATTAGTCGTGTTATCGATGCAGTGATAATTGACATACCCAATGAATGAGATCATCGGAACCTTCACCTCCAACGTCTCGCTCCTCTTCAAGTTCTCGATCTCTATTGATAGCCCTGCTGCGACGCTGCGCGGATTGCCGACGGGTGACACTACCAGCAGAAGTTACCTGAAATCAGTAAGCTTGATGACTAGACATTCGAATTAGGTTGAACGCCAGAGACACCCGCACCTTGCTGGCAGTGGGACCTGTAGTGGAAGAATATTGTGTGTGAAGTCGGCGTGCGGGGGAGCGACGATCACGGCAGCGCATTGCTATGATTGTGACGACTCGGAGCACTGGTGTGCAATGGCAGTTGGCCCTCTATCGAGGTCCTCATCTGTATCTTTATAGACAAGAAATTGACAAAGAAATCGATCAGATAAGAACGACTCATAAGGGGATAATCGACAACCACGATTTTTCAGGCTATAATTCCTTCCAGAGTCGTATCGCCCCCGCCGACGCTATGTAAAACCACTTACCCCGCATGCATTTATAATCTCCGAGGGCTGTCAGATCAGGGGCACATGCTTTGTCGCAGCGAAACATACCACACAAACTTCCGAATATTTACAAGATATCTCCGTGGATCTAAAAAAACAGCGATTAAAGACCGTACGTTGAACCGCGAAGCAACAATTGCATTGCTACTACCCCACCAGCTTCCCGCCGATAAGGTGTAATTCAATATGAATCGGCGATTTACGGACTTGACAAAAACTCGCCTTCGGTGTATGATATGGGCTCATACCAGCTCTCAGTGGCACCACGCGTAGACGCCGGCGAGTGTCTCCAAATGGACCGCTGAACTCAATTGCCGGGATAATTTTTTAGAATGATCTTCGAATGAGAATTGGAACGCTAGCATGACGAGAGAAAACACAGCAAATGAAAATGATGACGACGGGCCGGCGTGCAGCATGCACGACACGTGTAGGCGCTTGCTAGGAAGCCTAGGAACTGGGCTGTACCGATGGTCGATCCCTTGGCCACATTGGTGAGCGTAAGGCGGGTCTTGGCGGCTGCCATACAGAATCCAGGGTCTACTTTCAGGGTCTTCATTGCTGTACTGGCAGAGAATGACCTAGATAAACACTCATAGCCCTATCATGATGATAACCAACGAAGCAATATTTTTGGCACCAGTAACGACAGTATGCTTGCGCGTCTGAGCCTTTATTGCCACCATTCAACTGGTTGTGCAGAGGCCTGCCAACTACTAGGATCCGAGGATTCCGAGCGCCAACGGTGATATATATATCACGAATGCTTCGGTGATCTTCGGTGCATGGTCCTGAAATGATCTGTGGACTCGTGTTGAGCTGTCTAGTTGATGATGGCGACCCTGCAGCAGAAGCGCGCAAGTCGAAATTTAGTCACGATGATCTTGGGTGGAACGTTCACGGGTTGCCACCAAGTTGACTTATCATGTGCATGTGGTACCGAGTGCCGAGTGTCACTCGACCTATTCTTGAGGCTCGAGCGTCTGAGTATACGGTATTGTGCGAGATTCGAATTTCAACTCAACACGATGAGCGTCAACTTGAATAGTGATGTATGAACCATGCCAAGAAATGCATGGCCTTCCAAGCGCTAGTCCAGTGCGTAAATGAAACGATATATGGAAAATTCAACGAGGACTCAGCGACACTATCACCATTGCTCATGATATGAGTCCATTGGCGCCGGCAATTGTCAGGGCCTGAGCCAAGCCGTACATCCTCTGAGGAGCACGTGAACGGTCCAACTTGGGTACCAAATCTTAATACACATACCCAAGTTGCCAACCACGCGTCGCACCCACTCCAGCTTTTCCCAAGTTCAGCTTTCAACAATATGCCAGTCGAAAACATATACTCTCTCACCACGGATCAAATACCAGCAGAAGTTGCTCAGGCAACTAAATATTGCTTGTATTGCAACAACCCACTAGATTCATCCAATGCTGTGCTTATGCAGGACGACCAAGATTCCAACACTATGTGTGCTTGGTGTCGTGATATGCAACCAGAAGGACAGCAGGACAATGATGCCTTCGCAGATGATGATGCCAGCGCTTCATTTATCCGAACTACGCTTCCAACTATCTCTACCCAACTGAATAGCGGACCGCTCGGTCATATTGCAGACTTGCAAGGCATTTTTGGCCATGATATGGACATGGACGATGTTCCTACACCCAGTTCAACAATTTCTTCTCTCCGTACTCCAGGTTCTGTCCCATCTTGCCCCCATTCTATGTATTCACAATCGACCATACCCGCTACCCCGAAATCCATTCACGCCTATGCTACCACACCTTCAAGACCCCTGTCCCACCAGTCCCGCAACAATATCTCCACGAATTCTCACTCTCCGCATATAAATACCACCTACTCTTCTCCAAACCCCCTTCTCGACATCACGCATATTCGTGTGCGCTCTCAAGGCCATCACTGCTTGTATCCTGGTGCTCTGTTCCAGGGTACACAGAAAAGCGGTAGGAATAGCTACGAAGTAAATGTCAACATCGTTGTACGTCGAAGCCGAGGATTGATATTAATGACCAGCGAAGCTAACTCATTTCCCTACCAGGATGTAGACTTTTCTTCCTCGTTTCTTTGCGGATACCTCCGCATCCGCGGTTTAACAGATGACTGGCCTGAATTGACTACTTATTTTGATGCAGAAATCATAGGCAGTCGTTATGGATTCTTGACCCAAAATTGGGGCGCCAATGAACAAGAGGACATGGTTCACTGGCAGCGCTTCCCTGCATTCCGACATGTAAAAAACGAGTTAAAAAGGCCTAATCTGACCATCCCCGATCGCGATCGTGGCGCAGTCTTCATGAGATGGAAGGAACGGTTCTTGGTACCCAATCACAGAGTACAAGATATCAATGGTGCAAGCTTCGCAGGTGAGCGCCCGTCTTTTCATTAGGCGCAGGCCACAACGTGGCCGGCCCGACAAGGAACTGCAGCTTCTGACATAGCAATACGTGCTTCTACTATGACCAGGCTTTTATTATGTTTGTGTCGATTTCAATCCCCAGCCTCCTTCATCCGCCTCTACGCTTCGTCCGGTCACACAGTCTGTTCCGCTCGAGAAGGACGGAATTAATGATCTGCCGTTGTCCCATTCGCCGTCCCTCGGGAAAACGGAGACAATCCCTACTGTGCGGAAGCGGAGGGATTCTAGCGTCAGAGGAGGAGGTCGAGGCCTATCAGTTGGCCCACGATCGCATCCTCCTGCTGCAACAATGAGCGGATTTTATTTCCATCAGAATTCTGAACCGTACGTACATTTCATTTGTGAGTTCAATGCTTCTAATCGACCCTCCCAGATATCAACAGTTGTCACTTAGTCATGTCCCGGAACGCTTTAGCTCCAGCTTTGAGTTTCGATGAGAAGCTCGGGGGTGGAGCATTGCCCCGCTTGTATGGTAAAACACACTACTCGCAGAATATTGGACTGGACTTAATTCATCTGTGGCAAGGCTCTGTCTGAGTATGTTAATTTTTAGCTACCCTCTTGTTTGCTGTCCTGATATCATCTTTCACTCATACGCTATCTCTGTATTTGATGTGTTCTACGTGACATGCAATCTTATCTTTGTCTTCCACTCACGTCATCCTAAACTTAACCGTAACAACGGTTGTCAATCCTAACAAGCATCGCCATTTCGAATCATTCCGGATTTTGCGCGCCGACAAGCAACCAGCAAGTGAATACTAACAGCCGAGTGAGTCACAAGTTATTAATCATCCAAGGCAAGGAATATCTCACTACTAGTACTTACGAGGATACTTACGTAGACGTCGACGTTGTACTAAACAAATTGATCACATTACTCTCTCGCACAAGGATGTCAGCATTCTTATTTCCGGACTTGGTCCGAGAGGGTACAGCCTACTGCAACACTCCCATGGGTGTGTCGCCATACTACGCAACCTTGTTCTTTCTACCCACAACAAGCGAAATATTCTGCTAGACATTGACATGCATCGCGATACACCCCGAGTGGTCATAGTTGGTGCCGGGTACGTTCCTGCTGTTGTGTCGATGGCTAATGGGAGCATAATACTTATTCGAGCACAACAGCATTGCCGGAATCACCATGGCTGTGAACTTGAGAAACAAATTGCGCCACGATAACTTCGTAGTAAGTCATCCTGAACATTATCCTGTAGGATGAGAACTTGACCTTTTCAGATTTATGAGAAAGCAGGATCCATCGGTGGGACGTGGCGAGTGAGTTATTCAAAGCATTCTACTTAATCCGCGCAGAATGAAATTGATGTGCTTGGAACGTGGCAGGAGAACACCTATCCTGTATGGTCATGCCCTATCTTTTGAAAGTTTAAACTTGACTGTGGAATTTCCTTATTAGGGTTGTGGGTCTGATGTTCCCGGGCACTGGTACTTGCCTTTCGACGGAACCAAACCCATACTGGGAGAACTACTACATTACGCAGCCCGAGATACGCGCATACTGGGAGAAAATATATCGAAAACACGACCTGGCTTCCCACACAGTATTCAATACCCGCGTTACGCTTGTTGAATGGGACGAAGAAAACGGCGTGCATAACCTGACACTAGAAGATGTAATGTCTGGTCAGACTATACAAACCCAAGCGGAAACTGTCATCCAGGCTGTCGGCTTTTTCACAACGCCGATGTATCCCGATATCCCTGGAAAAGAGAAATTTACAGGACCACTCTGGCATTCTTCTCAATGGAGGCATGATGTAGATCTGAAAGGCATGACGGTCGGCGTCGTCGGCAATGGGTGCTCTGCGTAAATTGCATTCCTTTTCTGCCTATCAAAGGCCACGTGTTAAATGACTTTGCGGTACAGAACTCAGTTCATACCGGCTATTGCTGCCGAACCTACTACTCGGGTCATCAACTTTTGTCGCACCCCACAATGGATCGGAATGAGGGTATGATATTATTCTTGCGCTGAATACTGTGCTGAGCGGTTAAACACTGAAGTCGAATTATCACTACCCAGAGTGGGCCAAGTGGGCATTTGCCCATGTTCCGTTTCTCTTGCACGCATATAGAAGCTTTATGATGATAACGGTACACTCCAGAAATATCTTGTTTTGGCGGAGACTGACCTTTTCAATTTCAGGGTGATCTTTTATGGAACATTTTCTTGGCGAATTCACCTGTCAGTACAGTCTTCAAGAAGGTAATATAAACTTTTCTGTCTATCTGATATCTCTAATGATCATTAGGTCCTGACATGGTACATGCGACGAACCGCGCCAGCGAAATACCACGATAACCTGATTCCCACCTACCGTGAGCAATTTCCAATATTGATGATCGTGACTCCCCAAAAATTGACAACTGATAAATAGCTCCTGGATGCAAACGCTTGGTCCTTGATTCTAACTACCTAGCCGCTTTGCACCAACCCAACGTTGATCTGAACTGGACCGGAATCCAGGAAATCGTCGAGGATGGCATTGTTCTCAAGACTGGTAATAAAGTACCACTGGACGCAATCATCTTTGGCACCGGCTTTTACCTGGTGATTTTCAATCCGGCAATAACCCTCACGTGTACTTAATATCTGATATTGTGCAGGCCAAACGAGATGTAGTTTTCCGTGGAATCGGTGGCCATACTTTGAAGCATTACTTTGAATCAGAAGGTGGCTATTACGGGACAGTTTTCCCTGGGTTTCCAAACCTATTCACAATCGTGGGTTAGTGGTCGACTGATTCTTCCGTTGCAATTTGACATCATCTGATAACTTTGTCAGGGCCCAACAGTGCCTCGGCTCATGCTTCCCTTATTTTCATCATTGAGACTCAGGTATGTACTTTTCTAGAAGGTTGGAGTTACTGCGATCAAACGTGCGGTTTTGTCACGGTAGGTCAACTATATTATGAAGCTGATGAAGCCTATCATCAATGGTAAGGCAAAATCACTCGAAGTCACCCAAAAGGCTACAACCTACTACAACACCTGGATTCAAAGGCGTATGGCGAGCACGATATTCTTGTCCTGTTTTTCATACTATCGAGGTGACAATCGGACGGGCGCCAAAAATGTGGCCACGTTCCCTGGTATGATCTCACTCTACTGGTGGATCACGCGAAAGCCACGCTGGGATGATTTCAAGGTGGTGGGTGGAGAGCAGTGGTTTTACCAGCGAAGGAAAGTGGCATTGATGAACTATGCACTCGTTGGTTTGATGGTTTCCGTCGTTGGTTACAATTTCTCTATGCTATGGAAGCTTGTCCCCGGACGCTGGTGAGAATTCAAACGCAGTTTCCTTCGTAGTTTGCGCTGCCACATATATGTTATCAACTCATTTATAGTTACATGAAGAGACATGCAGATGATTGATTATTTACGGTGTCACACGCAATATTGATGGGTCAATGCAACTGTATAGGGAGTCGCTTGTTTTGGCAAGCTCGGTTTTGACCGAGGTCTGTACCCTCAACGTTTGTCCACCCCGCCGCAGAGGCAGTAGAAGGCCTGGAGGCCTTGTCCTTGCCCTGTCCACGGTCTATCTTTCTTCTGCATCATAACCTTCCATACACCTCTAATGTCTTCCAATAACTCTGGCACGGCGAATGTTGTCGGCGTGCATTACCGTGTTGGCAAGAAAATCGGGGAAGGCTCATTCGGTGTTATCTTCGAAGGTTCGCACCTCTGTAGACAGTGTCTCGGTTTGAGCTGATCATAGCGTCTTAGGAACGAACCTACTAAACTCCACGACCTGTCGCCATCAAGTTTGTGAGTGCTCTACTCCAGTGACATCTGCCATTGTTCCTTATATATCTTCTTTGGCTGCAGGAGCCACGCAAAGCGGAGGCACCTCAGCTCAGAGACGAATGTCGTTCATACCGCATTCTAGCTGGCTGCAGTGCGTACATTTGTCGGACTCACAAGTAAACGAAGTCTAATTCACGCGTATTGTAGCTGGTATTCCTCAAATATATCACTTCGGGCAGGAGGGCCTCCACAATATTTTGGTGATAGATCTTTTGGGTCCGAGTTTGGAGGATCTATTTGATATGTGCGGCCGCAAGTTTTCTATCAAGACGGTGTGCATGGCAGCCCGACAAATGGTGCGTGTTGCACAGTTTCAGATTTCTTCCGCCGTCTGACTATCAGCAGTTGTCCCGGGTACAAACTATCCATGACAAAAACCTCATTTACCGGGACATCAAGCCTGACAACTTCCTCATTGGGCGTCCTGGCACGAAGGCGGCCAATCGTAAGTTTCCTACGTTCATGGCGGATATTACATTCACATATGTCTCATAGTCATTCATGTCGTTGACTTTGGAATGGCCAAACAATACCGCGATCCTAAAACCAAGCAGCACATTCCTTACCGGGAACGGAAAAGTTTGAGTGGCACGGCACGATACATGAGCATCAATACTCATTTGGGGCGAGGTATGTGTCTTTCTGTCGTGATCGGTCGCATTGACTTATTTCTGTAGAGCAATCTCGGAGAGACGATCTAGAGGCGCTCGGACATGTCTTCATGTACTTTTTGCGGGGCAGTCTACCTTGGCAAGGGCTGAAGGCTGCCACCAACAAGCAAAAGTACGAAAAGATTGGAGAAAAGAAGCAGACGACACCTATCAAGGACCTATGTGAGGGATATCCAGGTTTGTTGATTCTTCAAGTGTCTTCTCAATGCTTCAGTAACTCTCGTACAGAAGAATTTGGTATCTATTTGAACTATGTTCGAAAGCTTGGATTTGAGGAGACCCCGGACTATGATTTCTTGAGGGAGCTCTTTTCCAAAGTCATGAAGAATAACAACGACCTAGACGATGGCATTTTTGACTGGAACCTACTGAATGGTACAATTTCCCTTGCATCTGGTAATCTTCTTATTGATCTTTTGTTAAACTATACAGGGGGTAAAGGTTGGGAGGCTTCGCAGGTAGGTGAAGTTTCATTTTCCCAAATACAAGGATTTCATCGTGTCGCGCAGGGGCAATCGCAAGTGCTTGCTCAAATACAGAATGCGGGCATAGCACCTGCGCCGCAAGACCGTCGAAGAGATTTGGAACGACGTCGAGATGTGGATTGGCGCCGCGCGTCTCAGACCGGTGGAGTCAACCTGCCTTCACCAGCGCTCGTTAGACACGGCTCGAAGCGCAAAGTCCCTAACGTGCTTACCCCTGGCGCAGGAAATGCACCTGGCGGCACTGCCACCCCTCTCTCTGCTGCTGCTCAGATTAACGTTCCAATCTCGACACCGCAAAACAGATCTAATAATGTTGGTGCGCAGCAACATCCTTACGCGAATGCAGTTACTGGTGAATACGGCTGGGACGCAGGCGAAGAACCATACGGATCCCAAGCATACGGACGCGCGTCTCCTATGGTGTCAACGGTTGGGGCCGCTCCACCCGCAATAAGCACAGTGCGTGCCCACGGCAATGAAGCAGGTGTTTCTCGCGGCGAGGACTACCGCCAGCAACAGGATGACGACCCTCCCCAACCAAAGTCAAGCATTTGGAGAATCCTCACATGCCGGTGCGGCTGATTGTCGCCAACTTCTGGCTCTTCCCCTATTTCTGTTCCATGCTATCATCAACGTAACTCATCCATCGTCAGTCATTACCTTTGACGCTTTGATATACCCATTCATTACTTGCACCTAATATCCGCTTTCACGGTTTATGTTTGGACACCCGCCATAACTTTGATCAAATGATCGAATCTTCCTCTTGACTATCCCTGTACGGCCTTACAGACTACCAGGAATGTGTAAGTAAATTGGTGACAGAAGTGGTATGCAGGAGTAATTATGCTTTGAGATATGTGCAGTAAAGCGGTTGGCCGAGGACAATTATGTGAAACTGACTATGGGATCAGATCTGGTTATTAAGGGTGAGATTGATACCGTGCAAGCTTAGTACTCCATGCCATCGGAGATAGACGAGAAGGTTTCAGTTCCCAAAATTGAGAGAACATTGCCTTGTCATTAGAGGAACTAACTTGGCTTTGAGCTCGGGTAGGATCCGCGACGAGCATTTCGGGCGGATCATTCAGATGGGGCATATGACTGCTGTGTCGTGTCCATACACGGTCCTTCCATCTCCAGCTCATGATGCGGCATATTTTGGATGGGGAGATGACGGCGACCCGCAGATTGATGTTCGATACGGAAAGAGTGGCCCGTCTCTTGCGTTTGGGTGCCTATAATAGTAGAAGAACTCCTGTCCATAGGTCGTGTTAGGAAACGTGGCTGGGTGGGAGGTACTGCTGTGCAGGATCTGACGCCAGTAAGAGAGCCTCGACCTTCCTGGTGCCTGTGAATCGGAGGAGCGGATGCAAAAGGATGGTTGACAGGGCCTTGTCCGAGAGCGTCAAGACTATCGCGCGTCTTGCGGGACTGTGCGCGGAAACTTTTTGCCATGGTCATCAATTCCACGTTGCGTCTTTGTATAGTGCACATTTTGTCCTCCAGTATTTCGTTGTCTTTCTCCAATTTGGCATTGACAACCCTCAGCTTTTCATTTTCGGCCAGCGCCTGGCGTAGCTGCTTCTGAAGCCCTGACTGAACGTTATTGGACACTGCTTGGCTCCCCGCTGCTTTCTTGGCGGGGTTGTGAGAGTCTGGGAGTAATTCGACGGAGAATTTAGGTTTGTTCGTGAGATAGACCTTGCCGTTTGACGCACTATGCAGCGCTACGCTCAGTTACACACCACTCTCCACATATGAACTTCTCACCATTTCTCTATTCTCATGGGCTCTTTTCTCGAGAGTCCATTGCTGGGGGGACCAACTACGCTGCTTCTTTGGAGGTCGACCATTTGAACCACCTGCAGAGGCATCGAGCTGCTCATACTCCTCGTCGACATCCCGCGTTTGGGTTCGAGGATGTGCGCCAAGTCTTGGAGATGTCCTATCTTCATCCGGCTACATGTGCCATGTCAATACCTAATATGTGAACACAGATGTGGAGCAAATACCAAAGATCCTATTTGAGTTGTGGTATCGTCGAACATGCTGGATGAAGGCCCATCACATGGAGGGTGGGGAACAGATACAAAGTCCATAACAAACCTTCGCTTCTTTCCATTTGCAAGTGGTACGCCTAGAAGCTTTCGAGTTGCGGGAAGTGATTCACGAACGCTGAAAACACCAGCTGCTGAACTACCTTTAAACTCGCTTGGGAGCGATGTCAATTCACTAAGACTTGCAGACTCACGGAAAAGCGATGCCGTAGACAAAGAAGACTTTTCAGGTCTAGTGAACGTTACCTCGGAACCAGAACTATTGGTCGTCTGCTTCAACTGGGGATGATGCAACCTTGTCAATGTGTTAGCTGTTGCGCGGAAACACTGAGAATGGGGACCTCTCACAGACGCGCTAGTTAGCTCTATGCATTTATCGTACCACCCCGGCGTAGTCGCATTCGGGTTGACAGATTTGCATGTACGAAATTTTGATGCGACGTATGCCAACTTCAAGCGGAAATCTGGGCGTGCGCCAGTCTCTTCGTCGTGCTGAACACGTGCATATCCTTCTCTGAATGCTGCCTTGGATTCCTTGTGGTAGTTATGCCACACTTTCGCATCATCTGACATCAAGAGTGCCGGTGCAGAATGTATATGGTAGCCCTCCAATATATGAGTCGTGCATCGTCCGACATGGCAGAGTGGGCAATAGATTATCGCACTTTGAGAACTTCATGCTGTGACAAGCACATGCGCAGTTGCTCTTCCATATCAGATGACATCTGTCGCCGTTCGTACAAAACGCAGGCAGCTACGAAGATGCCGACATGACGTGTTGATATGATAGAACTAAATACAAAATTAAGCAGCAGTCTCCCAAAAGCACGAGTATGCTCACTTTGAATGCCCCAGTAGACACTTGTAGTCCTTCGCGACATCAGGACATACCGCTCGAATGGCATGTAGGGCCTCATCGCGGACTCTTAGCAGATCGCCAAAAGGCCGGCATTGAATTGGATTCATAGCCCCGCAATTGCAGCCACGACCCTCGACGTAACAAAGCGGACAAACCACGATGCCATCTCCGATCTTCATCTCGTCATTGATCCCAGGTGAATGAAGAGCACAGGGCAAACACTCAAAGAAACTCTGGAAGATATCCGCGCCGCAGAAGTCGCAGCAGATATTGCTCTGATGGCTGGTATCAGATTGCGAAACATGCGGCATATCTTGATGCTTTGGTGAGTATTCTTCCCCGAGGACATCATCAAGCAACTCAAGTAAGTCATAGAGATCATCAGCGACTCGCTCAAGATCCGAGTTTACAGTGGGCGATGACCGGTCAAGGTGAGGAGAACTTGTCTGCTGTTCTTGAAGTTCCCGAAGAATCTGCGTCTGACGGTAAAGGGCGCGATATATATTCAACTTGACCTTGTATGTCTCCGGTCGGCATACACTGCATAAGTATGTCAATGAGACGCAAAACGCACTGGCATGGTAAAGAGACGTACCGATGGTATACAGGAAGTTCATGATAGAGAGAATTCGATAACCCCTTGAGAGTCATACGCGACCAGGATGTTTTCATCGTGATGCCACCATTGTTGATGACTTGGTGACAGCTTCTTGGGGGAACAAGTACTAAATCGCCAAGGGTTTGTTCTGCGATGTAGATTTTGAGTCTCGACTGCCCCAACTCTTTCAGGGTCACAACATGTGTCTCAAAGTCTAATTCCTCGTTCATCTTCTGGAAAAATTCAGCCATGGCTGGTGCAGCTGAACTCTCTGTCATGAACCAGAAAGACGATCCGCCATTCTCAGTATAGCACATAAGATTTTGGCCGGAAGATGCACATAGATCCTTGTGGAAAGGAGTAAACGTGTCCCCTACTCCGAGGTAGCACATCAAAGTCTGTACATCGCTCTGATCAAAGATGATTATCTGTATAGCAATAAAGTGTATCACGAAACGAACTGACCGAAAGGTACTTTAGGTAATCATTGGTTCCGTGAGGCAGAAGATCACTTGGAAGGACGCTAGACGTTGATAGCCAAGTTGCCCACTCATGAGGGCATTCCGCATCCTTGCCATAAAGTCGCTCGTTTTCTGGCGAAAGTGAGATGGCACAAAGAGCGACATTATACAGCGCACTCACCATTTTCGTTAACATATACTGGGGTCGCACGAAGTTTATGGATGAGCTCGGAAAGGGGCAGGTCGAAATCAGTCCAGGTGCGGACGTTACGTGCGGACGCCCCTTTGGATCCGCACATTAGTCGAGCGGCACGCGTTCGATCATGAGAAATAATGCCATACCTGGTTTCCCATGCACACTGAGCCAATCCAAGGTGAACAGATCGGCAGGCCAGCTGTAATGCTCATGAAATCCTTCAATGATTAATGGGGCACCAGATTCTTCGTGTGTCCGAATTGTCTGCATCAGCATCGGATCGTCAAAACGGACCCTATCCACTAAACAAAAGTTGGGCGATTTTTTGATCAACTGTGCGAGGGTCCAGCCCTTGGTGGAGATTAGTGGCTTGGTTAGGTATCTAGCACCATCGTTAACGATGGAGTGGCGTCTATGTGGGTCCGAACAGAAGGCCGGACTATGTGTCGCGTCTGATCGCAGCTCCGAATGTGAAATTGGTGCAGTAGTATCCGACATGGTATAACGAGGGATAGCAATCCTTCCGACTCCTTCGTCTTCAAAATGAGTCCTTTAGCGGACGGCAAGAAGCGAATTGTTTTCATCTGACCTTCGATTACATAATTAATGGCGTCTATTCTAACGCCAAAATGGGATAGCTTCACGTAAGTCCGCATCGCACTTATGTTCTGACCTTGCACCATGTCTAACACTGGAAACGAACAAGTCGTGCAGGAAGCAGAGTTTGACTTCTGGGACTTTGTCAACTGCTCCATATGTCAACTCCCGTTCACATCAAGCGATCGCGGACCACCCGTTCCATTTTGGATCACAGAATGTGGCCATGTTCTTTGCAACAATCATCTCAGTAAGATGCTTCCCCCCTGCCCTCAAATTTGGTGCATTGGAGACTCGTATTAACTTTCTAATTCATCCAATGAGAGCCAGATCAGAGCTGTGCGCGATGTAACGCCCAAAACATCCAGCTGGTTCCCCTACATCGAGATGTATGTCTACTTCTGTATAAGGACTCGGAGATACCTGGCTTACTTTTTGGGAAATGCAGCTGGAGCCCCCGATGTCAGATTGGTTTAGACCTCTCCCTTATTCACTAGATTCGATAGCAAGTGCTGTGAAAGTGAGTCTTCTTGATGTAGTTTCGCTACCATTTAGACTTCACTTCAACCTGCACCAGTTTCAACAGGACACATTCGCTGGTCTCATTCGCTACTATCGGCAAGCTTGTTCCCAGCTAAGCCAGACGTGCGAACGTATTCGAGCGGAAAGAAAGGCTCTTCGAAAGTCCGTAGACTGACAGTTTATAACACCACTAATCCTCACCTGGGAACAGAGAAGTAGACAGTTTGCGGCGAGAGGTGGAGCACCTACGCCAGTGCGCTTCTGGCTTCGACCCTGCTCATGCCCAGGAACCTTCATCCTTCTCCAATGCGAATGGCAAGCGTCCGATAATTGATGTCCACGAGTAAGTGAAAGACTGCATTTATTTGAGGTCTAACCACGCCACCAGTTTCAAGGCAAGCTCCAGCCCTAGGTCTATCGCGACCCCAATCGGGCCTAGAATCACACTGCCGCTCGGGGAGCAACCAAGTTTCACCCGTCAAGATCATGGACGAATTGCCAGCCAGGGCCGTCAACCGGAACGACCCGGCACGAGTCGTTTTGTAGAGTAAGAACATCAATAATTTTCCCATTCGTTGATTTCAGTGTTGTATATCAGACAATATGCATACAGTGGTGAACAGGGATCACGCATGCAAGCTCCTCAGCTCTCTCACGAACAATCGGTACCTACCCGGCGCCTGCGATTGGCGTCCGGGGAACAAGGTCATCATTCTATGCCACCTCCACCCCCGCCAGTGCCTGGGCCTCGGGGTCGCTTCAGACCTGCGATGGGTTCGACGGACACAAGAACCACAACGACCCCGAAACCCCAGACGGCTGGACCGCAAATGACACAACATCAGCCTCAGCAACGCTCATTCGCAGTCCCGCAGACTCCTCACCGCGCTAGTAGCACACACTTCACTGGCCAGACATCTGACCAAATGCGCTCACTCCAGTCCAACCGTTTCATGCCACCATCTTCGCACGGACCTTCAAACTCTGGTGCAGGTGCGGCAACATCTTCGAACGTTCCGGGGACCTCGTCTGGAAGACATAGGATGCCATTCGTTTCAGGGAGTACTAGTGGATTTGGGTGACCTTGACTTTGTCGTACAATCCTCTCGATCGAATATGCAATGAACCGTCTACTTGCAATTGTGTTATGGGACTCTCGATTGAGTACGTATAGGTACATGCAAGAAGACTATAAATAACCTCCCCGACTCCCAACGTTAGTGGAGGGGGGCTCTTGTCGAACGCGATATCTCCCAAAACCTCTCCAGGCTACACCTGGGTGCCTTTTGGGTTACAATTATTTGACGCCTTATCAATTATTTGTCAGAGGCTTGTGGAGTTGTTATTCTCTCGCTGAGCCCCTTTTTTCCGTCATGCATGTCTCGGTGGGCCACTCCTCTTGAGCGTTCCCATGGGGTGTTCTAGAGTTTTCGCGTTGACCTCTCTGTCGACATCTCTCTGGTACCTGGGCCTTGCTGCGGCAATCGAAAGTAAATAATTTTTTGTTCCGCCTCAGCATCAACATAAAACAGTAGCGCATGCAAACTACACACATCAGAACGATATCATAAGCTCGGTCTGCCACTTTCAATTCTTCCACATTTAACTTTCAAGTCATCCTTGGCCGCATTGGAAGAGCTGACGACCGAAGGAATGTTTATCGACGATTTTATGAGGCTTCAGCGAGGCTGGGGAGGTTACATTATTTTCCTGACTGTCATTCTGTCCTTAGCTTGCGTGTGTTCTTCTGGCCTCCAAGTCCGGCCCCATTAATATCATTTTTCGTTTGATGGTAGTTTTGGTCAGTCTGTCGAGAATTTATGTTGGCACGTACACATCTCGGGAGTATATATTATATTTGTGAGACGACGCTCGCGAGACGAGAAGGTGAATTCTTTTTCATGGACAGACTACCACATAAAAAGGAGGTTTCGGCGCAATGATTGGGGACTCCGAGGTACCTATACACTGCAAAAATGTTGTCAAGAGGTTTCGAACCAACTCCCAGTGAAACAGATTTTGGCTCTGTCGTGGTAACCACTCAGCTAAGACCGCTTAGGTGGACCTCTGAGGAAACCGACCACGAGTCGATATCAAGGGGTGTTCCGATAGAAAAAAAGCCTCCCATTCGGAAGGTTTCAGAGTCCAAGAGAAACAGATTTTGATTCTATTGTAGTAACTACTTCGCTAAGACCAGTTATGTGGACCTCTGATTCCGATAGAACAAAAGCCTTGTCATCGGCAGGTTTCGAACCTGCACAGTTCAAGAGAAACAGATTTCGACCACCTGGCTAAGACCAGTGTGAATGAACACCTGAGGAACTGCCCGTGAGTGAATGTTAGGGTGTATTCCGGAAGGGAAATGTCAGCAGGTTTGACAGATTTTGATTCTGTTACGGTAACCACCTGGCTAAGACAACTGGGTTAAGATGGATCTCTGAGGAAACCATGACTGGCGGCCCTCCATGAGCGAATCTTCAAGGTGTGTTCTGGAGCAAAAAAACAACCTGTTGTCGGCAGGTTTCGAGCCTGCGCAGTCCAGGATAAACAGATTTTGATTTTGTTGGGCCAACCACTTGGCCAAGACCAGTTAAGAGTGCCTCCGAGGAAACAATATGTCAAGGTGTGTCCTCGATAGAAAAAAACTTGTCATCGGCAGGTGTCGAACCTGCGCAGTCCAAAAGAAACAGATGTCGATTGCGCTGCGGTTACCACTTTGTCCAGGACGAAGCCGAAATCGAGCCGCCCAAGTTGAGATGAACCTCCGAAGAACTGTCCTGTCTATGAGTGGATACAATGAGGGGAAATCATTTGTCGGCAGGTTTCCAATCCACACCACCCAAGAGAGCAGATTTCTAATCTGTTCAATGGTTCCAGTTGACTATGACTAGCATGACTATTTGAGATAGACCTTGAAGGATCCATCATAGGCATGGTAAAAGGAAAAAAATAATCTCGAGCAGGTTTCGAACCCGCAACAAATTTCTAATCTGTCACGCTTACCAGTCGGTCAAGGACTCATCTTTGGGTCGAAGAACATCTTGTATTGAAGTTGGATCACATGAAATTGGCAGTCAACTAAGGTTACGTTTAATTCGATTCGGACACAAAAACATGCCCGAGCATCATTAGGTAATATTGTTTAAATTTGGTCGTGATGCTCCACTTCGAAACCGTGCAACTGCACAGCTATAATTCGAGTCCCGCAGCAACTCTGGTTTTGTTGTCTCGCACATCATCCATCCACTATGTCTCAATACAGAGACCCGTATCCTGAGCAGCAGCAAGGGGGTTATGACCAGCAGTATGGTGATGCATCATATAACCAATATGACACCAGGCAACCACACCAGGCGTATGACCAAGGAGACTTTGATCCCCATACAATGGGCGAGTACAGAGACGATCCCAATGCGAACCCACAAATTATTACCACATCATATGCTCCGGAAGTAAACCCTCATGAGCAATCGAACTTTGCGAAAGAAACTGGACGGTAAATCGCCAGCTCCTTGAGGCTCCCTGACCTATCTGACTCCATTTCACAAGCCAATCTCAGGATTTCAAGACCTGGAGACGTGAGAACACTGGTGGTCTATGGACAAGGGTGAGCAACTCAATGTCTCACTTATTTGGTGATGCGTTGGAACCTGAGCGCCGCTTGTAGGGCAGCCGAATTAGCTGCTTAGGGAGATTCTGCTGTTGCACGATAATGATTGCTGTCCTCCTCATTGTCAGCATATTGCTTGCACTGCTTATGGTGAGCCTTACAAAGGGAAATGTCTTCTATACTCAAATGTTCTTGCAGTGGGTCCGTCCTCCGGATGCTATTGTTGGTAATGTAGGGCCGTCTACCACTCAAAATGCGGTAAGGCAACCTTTCTTGGTGTTTGTATACGTTTCTCATTTCTATCAGGTTCAACTAGGCTCGGGAAGCATCACAGTTAACCTGGGCATTAATTTAACGTACGTTGACTATACACTTTGTCTGATCCATTTCATGACCGGAAATACAGTGTTGTCAACCCAAATTACTTCTCCGTGTCTTTCAAGTCCATAAATGCAAATGTAGTTTGAGCTCTTTTCACCTCATTTTATCGCTCACAATTCATCAGGCATATTACCCTATCAACAATACTCTTGTCGGAACTGGCAATGAGACTGACATCACCTTCAATTCCAACTCGCAGACCAACTTCACATTCCCATTCTCGCTGGAATTCAGTACCAACATGTCTTCGAGCACACAAATCTTGACTGATCTCGCTACAAAATGCGGTGTAGGTGGTGGAGCAGTGCAAGATATTACAATCGATCTTGATATCACGGTCCGTGCACGTACTGAAGTGTTATTTATGGAGTTCTCACTTGCGTTTCCTTTATTCAGCTTGGATTACGCGTCTTATTTTTCGTGGTTTACCCGGTGCTGAACATTCCCGCCAGTTTCGCGTGTCCGATAACTGCTTCAGACATTTCGGTATGATCAAATTTTCCTGGTGTAATTCGCGTTTGACCATGTCTTCAGAGTTTGATTCCATCCGTTACTTCATTACTGCCTTGATTCTCCTGGATGAACATGTTGCTGCGCAGCCCGCTTTTGTATATCTTCTTGGACATAGACATGCACGTAGTTACACCGATTCTGCCGCCAATCTCTATAAAGGACGGTCACTATCTTACTATTTGACGCTGGATAGGTTTCCCAGTCACGCCATGCATGTGCAGTTCCTAACTTTGGCTGCCAAAAATTCACTCGTCCCAGTGCCATCTTGTGACATCTTTACCATCAACAGACCCTCAACCATCGCTATGTCACCTCCCCTGCAGAGCGCTAACTAGTCAATGAGGCGTCGACTCAGAACCTCGCACTATCGGGAGTGGCAGCGAAAAATCTCGGCGAGTCGAAATGTCTTCCGTACTTTTTTTCGTTGGCTGGCTGTATATTGCAACATGATAAAGCTTTATGGCTTGACGGAAGTTGCATTTCTACAGCGCAGTGGTTATTTCAATGACAACAGAACCTTGGTGTTTAACCAAGCTCAAGATTTCTGGGGTCACTCAAATTTCAAGAATGCATGGGTAGCGCGCAGCCTGGCAGCGGAAGTAAGGTGCTGCCATAGATTCATCTATGATGCATGGTGCGCGTACTCTCTTAGAAGTATGTGCTCGTCCGTTCTTTTTCCCATACCCAGTCACCTGCTGCTTCGTACACCAGCATTCCGCCTTGATCCTGCCCATTCATGCACATGGATTTCCACTAGTGTGGTATCGTGTAACATTGGTACCAGCCTGTCCAGTTCATACAGAGTCCCAGCGTTTCAGCTTCATTCAGCATCGGGTTGAAGCCCTGTGAAGAAAGTGAAGTAAGTCCTAGATCACATGGTATACGGCTCTTTCGAAGTCGAACCAAGGGGTCACTTGATAAAATAGTACAGCCGCTCGACAATTTGTCCACAGCACGTCCAGATTCACAGCGAGCGACCCGTCCTTTCCCAATTACTTTTCGCTAAGCAACCTATAGAGAACCAGCTCGGTGAAATCTGCTAGCTTCCAAGAGCTTTGATACCACAGGACTTCTCGATCTCCAGCCTCCCCCGCAAAGAAAGTAGATATCACCCCACTGCCTGAGCTGCCAGTGCCACGCTACATGCAAAAAAAAATCATCTACCACGCTGGTGAATTTGTTGTCAAATCCAAGACACGAACTACTGATACTCACGCATATCCTACAGGGCAGTGTGTGCAATAAGTTTGATCCAAGCAAAGTAAAGGATATGTCTCACTTTCAGCATTACTGGTAAATATTGATGGTCAAAGCAGCAACACCGGTGAGGATAAATGAGAATTGCATCGTTTTTACAGCAGTTTGCGACACTAATGGCACTGGCGTGTTGTGGGAAAATCACGATTGAGATTTGGGACTTAGTTTTTTTTTACCATTCTGTGTTACATAATGCCGCGTCATACGGAGATCTTCATTTTGTTCTTTGGTGATTTTACGAAGCTTTTTGAGGGAAACGCCCGCACGATGGAGCTCACGGTGGATGGTGGTGTAGTGGAGTGCAATGAAGCGGTTGCATAACATGAGTCGAGTGATCTCGTCGAGAAACCAATCTGGCCGGTGGTGGACCAGTTCCACGAGGTACTGAACATCCTCAAGATTCAGCTTCCTCGGACGACCTGTGAATTCACTCCGTGGTTTGACTACATCGCCGGTGTGATGATAGAGCTTTCGGATGCGGAAGAATGTGCGTCTCGAGAAGCCGACGCAATCAAGGATTTCACGAAGACTAAGGATATCTTGCTCATACAGGCGAATGGCAGCGAGTTTGACGTCGGATGAGATCTTTCGGTTGACCATACTAGGTGTATTGTTGTCCGACGTGGTGCAATTGTTTGAATTTTTCTCTAAGTCTCAAAACGGTGAAAATTTTCAAAGTCCCAAATCCTCAATTATGATTTTCCCACAACATGCCAGTGCCATTATATACGCACACAGCTGTAAGTTGTGAGGAGGTGACATGGGATCAAATAGATTCGAAGGGGATGGTAGAAAGACGCCTGGTCTTTATGTACTGAATGTTGTTCTTCACGGTGACGTAGGAACAACCTATCCAAGCCTATCCACCATGATGTCTGCAATTCCAGTCGATTGCCACCTAATATCTACCTTGTGAAGCAAGATCCATTAGCAATTTGGAGTGGAATCATTATCGGCGAAGCAAAGTTAGTCCCAGCTCACAACACTCCTTTTTTACAGATGCCATTTGTAATGCCAGCGTATCGCGACCTATTGGTATTCTGGCGTGGAAATTCGCTGGTTATGCGCCTCTCCTGCGTACTTCAATTTCAAGAGCTAAGATAAGAATATGTGTTTAATACATGCACAAGTAACAGGAAAGGGAATAGTAAATTTTCTTATTCTTGTCCTTAGCTTGTCGGCAGCGAGGAAATCCACGGCCAAACTACCGGCAGCAATATCGATCTCATGTGAAGCCAAGAGAGGCCATTTTTGACAGTTTCCGGCTGATACCGTGATTGGATACTGCGTCACCACTAGATCCGCCTGTGATGTAAAAGTATCACTGAGGTCTCGTTACTCCCGCGAGGTTCACGTTCAATGCACCCTTCGAGTAGCTAGTCTCGCATGCGTGCCGGAATGAACCGCCTCAACACGACCTCGCGCACAGAATAATGTGCGAAGCACGCGGGCGAAGAGAGAACTTTTGGAGATACCCGTGATTCCGCAGGTATGGTGATGTATGATACGACCAGCGTCTATCAACCAGTTCAGACAGATATTAGTGACAGAGATGGGGACGGACCTTTTGAACTTGAGAATTGACCCGGTTTATTGTGCTCAGCCATGACCACGTGAATGGTTCTGCGTTCTGTAGCTTGAACGGTGAGTTTGCCTGATCTTCGGGGTCTTCATACACAGGGATGACAACAATTGCGAATCTAAGGAGATGTCAGCGGAACCGAGACAACTTTGAATGCAGAACGAAGTTCGCTGAGAGAACACTTGGGTTCAGGAGGAGAATAAAATGGAGGGTGAAGATTGAGTGAACACCACACGCACTCGGCATGCTGGAATACGGGGCCACGCTTGTACAGCAGGTAGTCGACGCAGAACTTGATGCCGCTTTTGACAACCCAACCAAGGGAGCGGTAGTGATGGTATGCGATATATGACACGAGAAAGGGATTGTCGAACCGTGGAGGTGACGGGATGTTCGGTTGTGGGACCGATGATGGTATGTAAACATTTTGGAATGTATTCCATATTTCAGCGAGGGTAAAAGACGTATTCTGGGTAAAAACAATGAAATTAACTAGCTAGTTTCGAGGAGGGAATAAGAGGGCATACGGTTTCGGGATGTAAGATTGTCAAGCAGTCAAGTGCCCAGACAAGGAAAAAGGCCTCTTGGAGCGAGAGTTGGAGATGCTCGAGGTCTTGTATAGGCTCAATCTTTTCCTCTTCGTCTGGTGCGACATCTAGAGGCGATTGTTCCGAAGGCACGGATGTAGATGCTGGTTTCCAGGTCGCAGCAGAGGGTATTATCCGTGTGCCATCCGGCGCAATACCAGGCGCGATAACACGACCTTGTTCATTGAAAACAGTCTCTGCTTCAGCTGCCGCAGCAGCAATTGCCTTTGCACGATCGAGCTTGAATTGCTTGCGCTCTGCACGGCGTTTGGCGGTGATCTCTTCGGATGTGAGTCCTATGCCAGTCGAGAGTTAAGATGTTCGGTGCAGTACAAAAGAACGACATACCCTTGCCCTTCATTTTTCTCGCATTTATTTGTCTCGCCGACCAACTGGGTTCACTCCTGGAGAGGTCTCCTTTTCCAAAGAACCCGCGCTGCCATAATAGGGTAGCGTCGCCAGAATCTGAGACCCAAGCTGAGCGGGTGAGCGGGTCGAATAGCGCGGTGCAGTGAGGATTGAGTGGCCGTGTCAGGGAGAGTCCAAGAAATTTGTATGTTAGCTCTGGAAAGATGATTGGGAGGGGATGAGCGTATACTCTAGAAGTCTCTGCGCGCCGCGAAGAAGGCTTGGAAGACGCTTTCGAACGGGAAGTTTGGTTGATCAGTGACATCACGGTGACTTGTCAAGGTTAGGGTTGTTTGCGTCTCTTGATCTTATCAACTCAAGTACCAATTTGACTCATCCAATGCCTGTGTTGCCAGTGAGCGACGAACCTTTACCAAGGCTTTATCATGCTTGAATGCTTCATTTCGTCTCGACAAGTTCTTATCCAGACTGATAATCCAGTTCATTAACTGGGGCATGTATTTTCCGGAACATCATCGACAATGCCCGCCATCTCGACGTTCGCGTATGCAGCTTTCGAGATGCTGTCATCCCACGCTCATTCTCAGTGAGCTACAACTTGCAGACGAAGTTTGACGATGATCATGACAAGTATTAAATTTCAGGGTGTCGATTCAGGCAGTTTTGCTGAAAATCGTAGGATTGATTTCACAATCACGTGACTCGACGCGCCTCGCCACAATCCAAGAGTGTAAATATCCGATGACCTGCGATTCAGTGCCTATTATTATTTTGCGCGTACACGAATTTCTTTATACGAGCTTCATCATTCTACCAGCCTTCACAACGATTTATACCTCTACCGTCCTCAATGGTGCTGCGTGCGTTACTGTCACCGGGTTCCTCGCGTTCTCGTTCTTCAAGAAAACGGTCGTGGACCACGCGACTTAGGTCATTCAGAAAGCCGAATGCGTGCTATCGTCACTATTAGTCTCGTCGCGGTAGACCTCGGCTTCTCGACGGAGATTTTCTTTCTTGCCTCCGGCAGAATCGCTCGGAAGTTACTTAGTGGCAATTTCGATCAAAAACATGCCCCCGATTCATCACCCTTCCCTGGCAACAACATTGCCGACATCTATACACATTTTGTCAAGAGCTCAGAAGCACAAGCGATTCCCAATCGAGTCCGGCGCAACGCTTGTAGCCGATGACGACGACTTCATCAACGACCTCGACAATGTGTCAGATTCCAAACAGTGGTTTGATGACGATTGCGAGGTACGAGGCTTTATGGCCTACTAAACATCTTCGTTTAATGCTTAAATCTTTAGGATCGCAACCTACTCCAAGGAACGGACATCGTCACCATCGAAAACTCCGATTATCCCTCTCGACAGTCGCAACTGGTACTCGAACCGTTCATTCTGGGGATGACGGCTGCACACCCCGACCTTCCCCTCCAAGATAGCTCAACGACAATAAAAGTGCTGTTTCTCAGCAGTACTACCCCGTCCCAGTCTATCACCCTACCGCCCAAGCCTCCAGATACGAAGCTCATCGTCAACCGGCGCCAACAGCAAGTATGACACGCCCGTCACTAAACTCAGTACGATACTCATGTTGGTTTACCCAGCACCGTGCCCATTTGCGGGCCGCACGCGCACGGACTTATATTAGTAAGTAATTTCTCGTGACTCCGCTTCACTCACCGATTTCATATACTGAGCCACCTCAAGCAACTCCGTGCCGGGATCTTCACCGATAAAGAAGTTCTTCTCGATGGCTGGGCCGATGCCATGGCAAAGCTCGGTATTACCTCCACGCTGGCACCCCCCAACTAGAATGGTACAGGCCAATCCACATTATTATTTACCAAAGACGCGCACCAGCCTCCCTCGCTGTCCCCTGTGACTTGGAGCAATCCACGAGGTTGAAGGCCACCGCTAGCCGCGCACACCATCTCAATGCGCCGCCTGGTATCTCCGCGATCTTCGACGTCAGAGGTCCCCTACGACCGAATCCTGCAACCTATCGACCTCTACGTCCCCTATGATGTGGAGCTTCACCGCTCAAGAAGTTGAAAGTCACCGCTCACTGCTCGCGATTCCGAACACACATCCAGTGTGTCTCTTCCGTTTCTCTCACCATGTAAACTGTTCTTTCGATTTATCTCTCTTTTTATCGATATGTACTTGATTGCGTTTTTCTTTTTTACTTCTGGACTTATCTCATTGGCAATGTATCCCATATGTTCGTGCATGTACGATGTCGAGTATTAGATAGTGTAGTTTCCGAATCCAATTCTCTCCTCGAGAACACGCCTGAGTTTTATCGTGTGAGGCGCAAATGAAACATGTTTTGAATTTTCGACCAGGCGTAGGAGCGCAGCGACAGGCAATCCGGATGTAGCCGAATTCCAATTTCTAACCTTGTTCCAACACATCACCCAACAGGAGTTCAAAACGCGGTACCCAACAAGAGTGCTGGAGGGCTTTACAGGATTTAGGCGGCCCTCGGTCAACAATCCCGGCTGAATTACCATGTCGCTCCACCAGCCTGAGATTACGGAGTCCCGTCCCAAACCCCTGCAAGGCCTCTTAGGAGGGATTGGCATTGCGCTGTCCGTTCATTCTCTTCTGGTGCTTAATGGATCTGTCCTCGGGGTTTCTGCCTTTGTTCACTGCTCACTTCGAGGAGATAAAGTAGCGATGGCTTCCGTCTTGGGTCTGGTTCTAGGTGGTATTGCAGTTGGTATCATCGGTGATATGGACACCCCGGCACCCCGCACGGCGTCTTTGCTTCTCCGAATGGTATTTTCTGGATTGCTCGTCGGTATTGGGACCAAGGTAATTTTAGCACTTTTTTCTCCGAGGGTGTAATCATTCATCGCCCAATTGGTCCATAGCTAGCCAATGGATGCACCTCAGGGTTCGCCTCCTCGGTATTTCTATTATGCGCATGCGTCTGATTATTTCTCAAGCCATATGATTTGCGGCTTGTCCCGATTTTCTCTTCGGTATGCTCTGAACTCGTCTCCTCAGTATTTGTGGATTCAATATATTCAAAGTTCCCTGGTGGCAACAACCACGTTCTTTGCAAGTGCTGTAGCTACAACCTACTCCGCTTACGGAAATGACGCTCTTGGAACATCTGGGTCTTTGGATTGGACCCTCGGTGATAACCAGGGACGACAGTTCCTGGGCGCAATTCTTTCCCTCGCGACCCTGTGGTTTGCGTACACGTGCTCGACTCTCAAGAATGGCACTGGCAACAGTTCAAAATTCGTGAGCTGGAAGATCCATTCTTGTGCTAATCTTGTGCCGAACACCCTCCAGTCCATTCTTCGGTATCTGGCGAGCTTGTTGACGTCATTGGCTTTCACGTTCTCCCTCCGCCTTGGCAATATGGTCGATCCACACAAAGTTCTGGCATTCTTGGCGTTACCGGTGTCCTCAGCATTCGACCCGACGCTGGCGTTCGTTGCAGGAAGCGCTCTGCCTTTGGCTACCCTGCTCTATCGGTATGCACGTGTGAAACAACCCAAGCTCGGTGGCAAATGGAACGTCCCGACCTCCACCAAAATCGACTGTAGGCTCATACTTGGTTCAGTAATATTTGGGATTGGCTGGGGGATCGCTGGTGTCTGCCGTACGTTGACCGTGGACCTTGGCAACAGTATTACCAATCTTTATTTCAGCTGGCCCTGCTCTAGTCAATTTCGGACGTTCTCTGTATGCTGGTATTGGTTTTGTGGAGTATGTGGCTTGGCTTTTGTCCATGGGTTTCGGTGGTATGCTTGTTAAGTGACGTGATCATCACAAGTCGCTTGATGCTGAAAGCTATAATCACTAGGATTTTGTCTCACATCACAGTTTTTTTTTGTCATATATTCTGTTTCCTTAATGCTAGCCTAATGCAATGCGTGTGTAACGGCGCCAAAGCCAGCCCCGATTTGCTTATGCCTGGCATATTGTGTCCATCAAATCAAACTAGTCTTTTAGTGTTCCGGAGGACGTTAACTAACTTGGGCAGCGTCCTAACCACTTTGAGATGGTTACCGCAACAGAATCGAAATCTGTTTCTCTTGGACTGCGCAGGTTCGAAACTTGCCGACGACAAGGTTTTTTTCCATAGGAACACACCTTGATACCCACTCATGGATGATTTCCTTGTAGGTGCATCTTAACTGGTCTTAACCAAGTGGCTACCACAATAGAAGCAAAATCTCTTTCTCTTGGACTGCGCAGGCTCAAAACCTCAGGCTGCCGGCAACGGGTTGCTTTTGCTATCAGAACACGCATTCAATGAAGATTCGCTCAAGTATAGTTTCCTCAAATCCTAGCGAAAGTGGTCGCAACAGCAGAATCTGAATCTGTCTCTTGGACTGTGCCAGTGCAGGTTCGAAACCTGCCGATGAAATGGTTTTTTTCTATTAGAATACACCCGAAGACTTACTCATGGATGGTTTCTTCGGAAGTCCATTTCCACTGGTCTTAGCCAGGTGGTTACCGCAATAAGGTTTTTTTCCCTATCGCAACACACCTTGACATTCACTCATAGAAAGTTCCTCGGAGGTTCATCTTCAGTAGTCCTAGCCAAGTGATTACTCGATTCAAGAACTGTTTCTCCTGGATTGTGCAGGTTCGAAACCTGCTAAACGAGAGGTTTTTTGACATTCACTTGTGGATGGTTTCCTCGGAGGTCCCCAGCCATTGTGCCGAAATCTCCTTTTTATGCGATAGTCTGTTCATGAAAAGGAATTCAAGGCCTTCACGCCTCGCGAGGGTCATCTCAGGAACATAAGATATATCCCCGAGATACGTATGTGCTAACATAGATTCTCGACAGACTAACCAAAACTGTGGGGATTTATAACCAAACGAACACAAGATATTAATGGGGCCGGACTCGGAGGCCAGAAGAGTACATGCAAGAGTGAGTCTGACAGTCAGGAAAATGATGCGACCATCCCAGCCTCACTGAAGCCTCATCATGATCGAATCGTTGATGAACACTCCTTCGGTCGTTGGCTTTTCCAATGCAACCGAGGATGACTTGAAAGCTGTATGTGGAAGAATTGAAAGTGGCAGACCGAGTCATATCGTTCTGATGCGTGTAGTTTACATGCACTCCTGTTTTATGTCGATGCCGAGGCGGAAATACTTTCGATTGCCACGGCAAGACCCGGGCACCAGACTGAGATGTCAACAGAAGCGTCAACGCGAAACTCTAGAACACCCCATAACGGAGAGCTCAAGACACCATGCAACCGAGGCATAACAAAAAAAGGGGGCTCGGTGAGAAAATGACAACCTAACAAGCCTCTAACAAACAAGGTTTCAAATGATTGCAACTGAAGAGGCCCGAACATAGTTGCAGCTGGCAGAGGTTTTGGGAGACGGGAAACCAGTTCGTGTTCGACAAGAGCCCTCCTAACGTTGCAAGCTCGTCATCTCAAGACGAATAATGTATATCATACACACCAACTACAATAGAGTAAATAATAACAAGCCAGGTCAAAGTAGTGTCTGTATAAGATCACACAATGGAATGAAACAAACATGGTTCATAACATCTGGTGTGCACATTCCTTCCTGCAAGGACAAAAGGCTCACGCAGGTGCAGGGATTACTGAAGGTCCCGCAGTAGGCGTTGCAGACTTGGAAGGACCCTTACTTCTTCCCCACTTCACATGAACTCGTTCGTCCATCCATGTCTAGGCCATTCGCCCAAGCTTCTGCTGCCCTCTCAGCAGAATCACGATCTTTGAAGTTGATGAATGCACATCTAAAATAGGTCTTGGCTTTGGAACACCACTGAAAGGCAGACATTCTAACGCACCGGGATTTTGCGACGTGGACGACTGACCGCAACTGTGACGAAGATATTTGAGGTAATGAATTGATGACATGAGTCCGTATGCTAAGTTCCGTTGCAGAGGCTGGGAGAGAGGAAAGGAACAGAGAGGTCTGTTGTGCCAGACCGTCAACCACTGCGCTAGAGAGGAGGGAAATCTCACTTACGATATTCTCGTCTTCTGGTGGCTTCAAACCTTGCGCCTCCGAATGATTGGCCAATATTTTTCGTGCAACTGGATCATTGTTACCATGATATCTATCCTGAATATTTTGGTGGGAAAGTGCGTTCTCAACAGGTTTTTCATGTCTGGCAAAGCAAGCCTTATCAGGAATTGAAGCGGGAGAGTCATTGTATGTGAGCTCACCGAAATGGGCACTCGTCTCCTCTGTTACACTCTCCTTTTACGAAGAAGGAACAGATGTGTGGGCGGTTGCGCTTGTAATATGGGTTTGTCCGAGCTAGCTGCTTCAGCATTTCCTTCCCAGCAGATGTAGCCCGCGTCCCAACTTGCATCAGGGATTGATTCCCATCCTCCATCTGAATATGACTTGACAAAACGTACGCGAGCCGATGCTGGATATCAACGCACCTTATTCTCCATGTTCTGCGCATAGTACTCCCGGTTGATGTCACTGGTTGGTGCTTCATTCTGAATGGCAAGGGCAGTGTCTCGAACTTGGGTCGGTAGTCCGTACTCAAGATCAAGAAGGCACGTCTGGCAGACATTTTTCACTTTGGCACACGTCTGACATATCACAGTGGTTTTGTACCGTGCGCCGGAGCCTGGATTCCATCGGAAAACTGTGAACGGGCGAGCACATGTGCCACATGAGCGACCAAACTCTTGTTTCGACTAGCCATCAAGCTAGGCAGTCAGTATGTTGTATTGGTCATAGAACCCAAGACTGACCATTCGGATGAACGGGTTAGGTCCCAGACCTGCTCAAGCGCGTTAGCTTCTGGTCTAATCACGTTTGATAAATAAACCCACATGTTTCACAAAGAATGGGAAATTCACTTTGCTCCCAACCAGCCTTGTTGATATCGGCCTTGGGCATCTTAATGGGAGTGTTAGGATATAAGCAACGACGTCGATGAAGTTCACTCGAAGACCAATGATGTTACGTAATCACAGTTGTCAGCACATCGCAATGTTGGCGCAATGGATATTGTTTTCTTTCGCAACTATCTGTCTACGGCGCAGAATCACAAGCCTGACCTGGAGGTAGGATCACTCGTGAACAAAGTGTGATGATGCTTGCATTTGAATGTCTACTATTACATTGTGGATAACCATGCAGAAATGTAAGATGCTATACCTTCACATGCCTTTGTAAGTGACGATGAGTGACAAGCTGAAAGGCAGAGTCGAAGCAGTGACCACAACTTCTCCACCATCAGGGACAAGATCTGAGACTTTCTTCTCTAAGTTCGGGCGCGTAGCTTTTTCCAGCTGGGTGGCTGTTGGAAATAAATTGGCTTTCCCGGTGTTGCGAGAGAGGGTTTCTTAATCTGACTACGCCAGGATGAGCCATGGATGTCAATGGGGAATGAATACATACATGTACTGCTTTTCGGTCAACATTTCAATGAGCTGCTCAACAGTCCAATCTCGACTTATGGATATCTCCAGGGCTTCACCTCCGCAAACAGGGCAATGATCGCGCTTTTCATGCTCAAAGGTGTATGAATATACTCCTTCGGTCCCAATAAGCATGAAGTAGTTGTTTAGATAAGCCGCTGAACTTGTTGCAATCTTGAAAGCCTCATTACAACATGAAGCTGCGAACGCTCTCATCAGACAGATCAAGTATGGGCGGGGGCTGACATACCAGCAATGATAGGCATTAGTGGAAGCGATTGCAGGGATGACATTCTTGACAACACCCTGCGTAAGTGACCAAGTCACGCCTTCAATCTTGAATTCCTTTGCACGAGCAGCAGCAATAGAATATAGCCATCCGATGTGCTCAGGATCATCAGTGTCGAGCTTCTTATCTACTTTTATGTGAAATAGAAGAAAAATGAGACGTGCAGCGAGACTGACCTCCATGCACACGAGGCCATTCGAGCACAGAGGCCCATTCTATACAGTGCTCAGGGAGACGGGGTGTGTTCGCGATGGTGCAGATGGGGAATGTAGTTGGTTTGTTCAGCATATCAAGGGAACACTCATAGCATGATGATACAGTCGGAAGTATGACTCGAGCTTGCCCCTTAAAACCTTCTCACAGCTATTGAGGTCGCGCAGAAGGTAAAAGAGACTTACTTACCTTCGGTACCACCGTCTATGAGGGGCTTTAAACTCTCAGGATTCTCAGGGTCCACTAGGTTAACAAGAGTAGCATTTATCCACCGACGCGCTTCCACAGAATCTAGACCACAGATGACGAGGTTAAACTGCGAATAATAATCGTCGTCCTTGTCTTGTATTTTGCCATAATACCTGCACGCCTCGCATATCAGAGATTGTGCGCCACGTGCGCAAGAAATTGCCAACTTACGGAGTGACCTTGACTCCTGGCACTCGTTTCATCACATACTCTGCAGCAACGATAGCCTTCGGTCTCCCAACGTCCGCGGGTCTTAAGGAAATTGATCCCTAGGTCGGTACACACATGCCATCTCATAAATGTGACATACCTGAAGAGAAATTGACGATTAAGATTGCTAATGTCGATGGTGTCCATGTCGATGAGATGGATGTCCTTGAACCCAGTCAGAGCAAGATTGGCGAGTATCTCGCATCCTAAACCACCTGCGCCGATGACGAGAATCTTGCACTTGTTCCGCAAAAAGTCCTTCACCTTTAGAGCATCTTTTAAATATGAGTTGTCTTAAGACTGTGGGACACTCACCTCATCCCCAGCCAGGAATGATGGATCAGTTCGAGGGCCAGGTCTGTCAAGGATCTGGTCAACATGGTAATACCGGTCTTGCCAGTCGCTTGAAGTCGCTGCACAGTTCACATGTATTTCCGTAGCCATTGAGAAGAGTGGAAGGAAGAATCGAATTGTGTTTGACCTGCTAGTGGCTGCCAACGAGGCGCCCACTAGGATCAATATTTCCTTACGTAATGAAAAAGTCTCTTCGAAGTCTACATCCATGGAGTCAAGATCATTGGTGAACTTCAGTGGACACCAATATTTGCGACAACGTCTAGTGCTCTCCATTCTCACCGGAAAGAATGTTCGAATTGATAAAATTCGCTCCCAGGATAAGGATCCTGGTCTGAGAGGTGTGTTTAGTTCTTTGCAGCCTGGTATTTCTTGACGAGTAGTGCCATCACTCAGACTACGAGGTTAGCCTCCTGCGGCTGCTGGAAAAAGTCACTAACGGGTCCGTAATTGAAATTTCAGTGACCGGTACGATCTACTTTACTGTCCATTACGCTGGAACTCACTCATATGCCCTCAAGGTACCGCTGTGCTTCTCAAACCAGGAGTCGTGTCCGGTGGTCCCATTATTCATGATTGTCCACTGTCACGTTCAATAGGTTATTTCTTGGAGCCGCTGATAATGATTGCGCCCTTCTCAAAGAAGCCGTTTCAGCTGACCCTGCGAGGCATAACAACAGATGAAAATGATCTTTCTGTGAGTAAGATCCCGTCGGATTAAAATACATCCTAACGGTGTTAGGTTGACCTCATCCGTACTGTCACACTACCTCATCTCCAACTTTTCGGTATCTCTGATGGATTGGAGCTTCGGGTGAGCGGGTTGTTCAATCTATGAAATTGCACCTTCATATGTCTGTACAGATAAAGAGACGTGGTGCTCCTCCAGAAGGTGGAGGGGAAGTACAGTTCCTCTGTCCTATTGTTAAAGAAGTAAAAACTCTGAACTTTGTTGATCCTGGCAAGATCAAACGAATCCGAGGCATTGCGTGCGTTCATCTTGCCTTTTCATGAAGGGCATACCACACTGAAGTATTTTCCCAGGCATGCCGTCCGTGTAAACCCGCAGTTCTCTAATCGCATGATCGACGCATCACGTTCGGTTCTCAACCGCTTCATCCCCGACATCTACCTGTACTCCGACGTTTATAAAGGAGATGAGAGCGGAAAGTATGTGGGCTAATTGAATATACTTCTGCTCTACTAATCGTGCATGAAGGTCACCGGGATATGCCCTGAGCTTACTCGCGGAATCCACTACATCTGCCATACATTGTTCTGAAGCTGTATCCACACCAGGTGAAACACCCGAAGATATAGCTCTGTTAGCAACTAGGGCCCTTTTGTCGGAGATTAGACATGGAGGATGTGTTGATAGAAAACATCAATCTCTAGTCCTGTTGATGATGGTACTAGGTAGTGAAGATATCGGTCAATGTAGGATGGAAGAGCCCTCCGTTAGAACGTGCGCGACATTTAACTCTCCTGCTTCTATCGCTCACATCATGACAGCATTCAATTTCTCCGTGATATCAAGATCTTCTTCGGCTCCGTCTTCAACATCACACCCATAGATCCCACAGATTCCTCCAACACCGAATTGCTCTACTCCTGTCTTGGGACTGGCTACGTGAATGTGAACCGGTCACTAGCGTAGCAAGCTGTCCAGCAAAAGTATATGTATTCATGCTTTATAATACCACGCAATGAATTCGCAAGCTAGATTGATCGATCACCATTCACAATACTCTGTCAAAATGTCCACACCAAACTTCAAACAAAATCATTGTCGAGAATTTCGCCTGGGATTCCTTCGTGATAGAAAAGCAAACATAAACACTTTACCAAGATTATCAAAGGACGCCGTGCAATGGATGCATGTGGCAGACGCATATCAACGATAAATAATGGACACTCTTCCGAAATCTCCATCTTCATCGCCTTTTCCACCTCCAATAGTTACTAGCCATTGACGTAATTGAGGCCATCCAACCTCGAAGCGCGTACAAAGTTCGTCTGTATGATGATCTCCATCGAGAAGTGGAGACAGTTCAGGGGGTGGAGGAGCATTCATTGGACCCGAAGAACTTTGTGAATTTAGGGCGCGAGTGCGAGAAGTAGAAGGGGACCGTGATGGCCGTGGTCTTGCAGGAAGTGCGTTCTGCGATTCCGATGAATGACGGTGCGCAATGCTTTGACTCCCGGCAACACTAGATGGTGGTGGTACATGACTTGTGGGCTGTTGATAAGTTGAATGTCTTCGGGTATCAGACATGACACGGCTACGGCGCTCATGATTGCGCTCAGGGCCCTCTGGGGAAAGAGGAGGTTGCCGCATGATAGGGCTGGGTCCAGCCCGCGGGAGTGTTTTGAAACGTAGCTGCTCGAGAACTTTCTCCGCTGCACTCGTTCGTTGTTGGGCTCGTGTGACCTCCATCTGGTTTATGGGAGAACCAAGCATAGGTGCAACACCAAACGCATCGGGACGACCACTAAATCGGGGAGTCTCCCCAATTGGAGCCGAAGAACTTGTAGGACTTGCGTTCGACGGGGAAGAAGAGAGGCTTTGCCTTCTTCTGCGAGTCGGTGACGGTACATCCGCAGGGAGTAAAATTGGCCAACGATGCACCCGTCGTAGAAATCCCTGGATGGACTTCAAATTCAAGAACATAGAACAATTGCTGGGAAATACCTTGATCACCCCGAAACTCGTGAAACGTCGAACGTCAATGCCAAGTTCAGAGACATTGTAGGTCTCCATCCAATCCAGTACCGTTTTCCCCGACTTAAGCCGCGAATATAAGCGCAGAAGTTTTGGCCAATCTGGTACTACTCTTCCTGTTCCACAAGTGAGTCAGGCATTCTCGTAGAAGGGATGTACGAACCAGGCGCGTGCTTCGTGACATATAGCCCACATTCGTCCTTGACATGGCACTCGTCTGCAAGCCATTGCACATTCTTACGAAGAGTGTACATGTTAGAGTATTGGAAGATGTCGACGGTCATGATGACTTGATAGTAACTGCGAGATCTGATGAGGATAGGATTGAAAGTCAGGGTGAAATATCTTACAGCAAGTGAGATATTGCTTGGCGGGTAAGCTCGATATCACAGTCGGATAGGTGTGCAATGCGACTGACGTGATTCACACCATCAATATGTCTGCACACCTTGATGCATAGCTGTCAGGACAGTCGATCTACAAATAATTCGGCCTACCTTGCTCATCGTTAGATCCCAATTATCTTCTATGCGCTTGGACAAGTTGATAAGAGCCAGAGGCACCTGCCAATCTTTTACTGGGGGTGGATTAGGATAAAAGGGAAAGATCTTCAGCTCTATTGAGTTGAAGGCATCAATTGGAATCGATGTTTCAGAATAAGAGTTCAGATCCTCGTATAGTTGCTCGAGGACAGCATGCATGGCTGGCGATGATTTTGAACAGGAGAGAAAACATGACTCTTCCTACAATTTCATAAACACGGGATTTTCTCGTGTAGGGTAAAGAGCTAACCTCAGCAGGCCGTCAGTACACGGCTGACTTTGCGAACTACTGGTTCATAGCAACTTAAATCTGCAGACCGCTCGAAGACAAAGCAGACATTGTACTGGAAGTAGTTCCGCTGGTAATTGCCAGGAAGCAAAACAGGAAAGCCCATGATACGGTATTTGCGGGTAGCGCAGATAACCAGCCGCCCACAAAGCTCTCCAGGAGGTATCACATACTTTGAGATGTCGTCGAAATTGAACAGAACACGACTAGAGGAAGAAGAGCGTTGATGAGGCGAAGGGACGTTGAGCGAACTCGCACGTCGACCACCATGAGAATTAACAGAAGGACTTGACCTTCGCGAAGGCCTTACTTCCGGTTCCAAAATGGCAGCGGCTATTGACGGTGAAGGGGAAGAGGTCACTGAATGGTTAGAGTTTTGATTTGCTGTCGATCCTGTGATGAGACCTTCTGGAACCTGATACACAATTTTTGGTCCCTTCTGTAAATCGAATACAGCGTAGAACACGCTTTGTATTCTGGGAAGAAACGTATCTCCTTCTGAAGGCATATAGGTCAGTGATAAAGCGAATATGGCGGTGGCTGTGAATTCGCGACTTGACTTAAATTAATATCAATACACTCGACCGTGACCAGACTCGTCGGACCACGTCTGCATATCAGGGGAAAACCACAGTATTTACTAGTCATACTCGTGTCCGCCTTGAGAGTTATCTTAGTCGTGCTCCTGGCGTTTGACTTCCACGACAAACATACAGTCTACTTTGATCATGGCTTCCCCAATTCCTGCTGGGTTTCGTGCCTTGCCACTGTCAGCCATACAGCTCTCTTTAGCAGCTGTTTTGAAATGCGGCCAGTCATTTCGTTGGACATGTTACCCCCTAACCTCGTCCCCTGGTACAGAATCATCTCCTACTCACGAGTACCGTCTGTGCCTAAGGGACCGTGTAGTATGCTTAAGACAGTCTTCCGACTATCTTTTCTATCGCTCTGTTTTTCCGGGAGAGCGTCTCTCTGCAGAACGGGAGAGAGTTGGCGATGAAGAAACGTTGATTTGGCTCAAGGACTATTTTCAGCTCGACGTCGACTTGGTAAAACTTTACGACCAGTGGAGTGACCGAGATCAAGTCTTCAATAAACTTAAATCTCGCTTTTCTGGAATCCGGATGTTGAGACAAGATCCTTGGGAGAACCTGGTATCGTGCGTAGCCTACTTCTGCACTGGCCTGGAGGCTTGACAAAGTTTTCGTCATGCCAGTTTCATTTGCTCTTCTAATAATAACATACCCCGGATCACCAAGATGGTGCACGCTCTTTGCAAACAGTACTCTCCTTCCCTGATTTCCTTGCCACCTCCCGAGCTCAGTGAAAGTGACTCCCAAGGTCATGCGGCGTATCACCCCTTTCCCCCGCCCTCTCTCCTTACCGCTCCTGGAGTCAAGTCCACTCTTCGGGGTTTGGGCTTTGGCTACCGTGCTGATTATATTCAGCGCACTGCGAAAATGCTCGTGGACACTCACGGTTCTTCGGTGTCCAACTCGGAGTCACGAGAGAACTGCGAGGAGTGGTTGACCGGATTGAGAGACATGAGCACCGAAGCTGCTCGTGAAGAACTTCTAAAGTTCGTCGGCGTAGGACGCAAGGTAGCAGACTGTATTCTTCTCATGAGCTTGGACAAAGTCAGTCGATCTCAGTTACGCTTGCATCTAATCCTGAATCTATACTGTCCTAGAAAGAAGTAATTCCAGTGGATACTCACGTTTACCAGATTGCCATCAAGCATTACGGGCTGCGTGCCGTAGGCGGCTCCAAAGGAAAAGGTGTCATGACCCCTCGAATCTATGATGAGGTGGCCACTAAGCTTGCCGACATTTGGGGTGAATATGCCGGTTGGGCCCACTCTGCACGTATCTATTCGAAGTTGCCTTTCTTTTTCACGTTGTTCATTCTCCTTTCCTTAGGTGCTTTTCACCGCGGATCTGAAAGCATTCTCTTCGTTCGGCATCGAACCACGGACGCCTGCTACATCTATCGTGGATGTGGGTACCTCGTCGTTGGCATCGTCGTCGTCATCCAAACGAAAACATAGCGAAACTCGAAACGAAGTTGAGATGCAGAGAAAACTCAAGTTGATGGGTGTTGCTGTAGCCGCTGTAGCCGCTATAGTGCTACTGTCATTGCTGCCACACATGATGACCCGAGTTGGCTCGAGGATGACTCGGATGACCTGAGTTCGGTTGAGGAGGAAGATACAAGTTCACCCACCAGCAGGCAAGTGAAGAGAAGGAGACGGAGTTTTGATCAATAGATGTTTTCTAAATCTGAGATGGCACTCATGAGTGATATATATTGGATCTATGCTCCTGTGGGGTTCATATTGCTCTCTTAGTAGCGTTGACCGTCCTAATGGCATCTATTCAAGTTACAGTAAGCTATACTGCGTTAGTGTGCACTAGGTCTGGATGCCAACCACGCCACCTGACCTATTCACATCTGTCTGTTTCTTGTGAAGAGTCTCATTGCATGGCGCGATAGGCACGTATATAGTACAATGTCCAGACTCCAATGTATACATGCAAACACTAAACGAAGCTGAGCACGAGATGTTGGAGAGGTCTGACACCCACTACACCATACAAATAAGATGCGTGCGTTCATAATCCTATCCGAAGTACTCTTCGCATTACCGAATCGCCATCGTTCTTCCTGAATAATGGCAGAACGGGCACTGTCTAAAAAGCTGCGGTGAAGGGTCAACCAAAAATTGTTCGAGGAATTTATACCATCAGTTTGTTTGTACTTGTGTACCCCAGGTATACTTACCTCATGCAAAACACCCCTGAAAGCAAATTTTGTGCGATCAAACGTCACCATGTACACTGGACAATCAATCCAATTGCTAATGGAGCATCCCAGAATTTTGAGTTCAAAATTAGAGTGTCTTGTATCAGAAAAAAATCATAGTCATGAGAGTTAGGTCATAGTAAAAGTTGCTCCCAGCCAACTGCGCAACGAGGCCAGGCCGTCAGTAGCTACTCCTTTTTTCATCATCATTGAGCTCTCCGACATTTACCCATGTTCCTGCAAAATCAACTTCTCCGCCTTCCCAATCGGCAAACTTGAAAATTCCGCCAGGACTACTGCAATCTAAACCTCCCATATCTGAACGTTCGCCTTCAGCGCCCAAGCCTTCGACCCCCATACCGCTGGACTGAGCCTCTCGTCGCTTCTCCAGCTCACGTTCAAGAATAGTTCGGACGCGTGAAATGGCAACCTCAGTGGGAGAGCCTGAAGACGCAGCTGCCTTCATAAGGTCGCACTTATTAGCGAGGATTAGAAGTGCGGGTGATAAATGTGAAGGAGGAAGCGACGTCATTGCATTAAGGACATGGTGGAGGTGTCTAGATGTTGCACTTCGTTAGAACTATTGTGATTATGAAAGAGTCAGATATACGCACTCTGCTACCGTAGACCCATTGCGCGATATGGTACTTGCATCCACTACGAAGACAACCGCTCTGGCATTCACTAAGTGCTCCTGGAATTGGTTTCTGATTCGAGGATGCCCAGGGATGTCGATAACCGGCAAGATGCCTACTGGCGAGAGAGGCATGATAGAAGTATTAACTTGCAGTGACGTGTGCGATGGTAGCGTTCCAGTAAATGCGAGCTAGATACAGTTGATTCAGGGATAAATAATCGATGTAACTTCAATGATAGATCACAAACAGTAGAAAGGATTGCTGTTTTGCCAGCGTCCGAGGGCCCAACAAGGAGAAGTGTGGTACCTCTAGACCTTGATTTTCTTCGAGAGAATGTGATAACTTCAGAGCGTAAGAATTTCTTTCAAAATAATGTCGGTTGAAACGCACCAATAAGTAAACCCACGACCAGCGCCAAAGAAAGTAGCAATAAGCTTTGGGGTGAAAGACCGTTGGTGAATGGAACCACCTCGGGAGTCATAGTCTCGTCGCTCAGTGACTCGATTCCCATAATATACTTAACGTCCCAGAAGGTGGATAAGTAGGAAGAATTACCCTAGTACTAGTGCTGCAGTGCGATAGAATGTCACGGACGTGTACTAAGTACTAACAAATGCATGCTTGTTTGGCGTTGTTGAAATCAGAAGCTACACAGCCACTACTTCAGAAAGAAATACCGTAAGGTTTCGTAAGGTTGTCGTAAGTGACATCAAAGGTGTAGTCGAAGAACAAGTTGAATGTGGAGCAATAGTAACTGTAGCATCAACCTAACTACGGCGTCTAGAGTTCAACGCTATCAGCATCGTTCCCAACTCCAACGCGTTCATTCTTCCGATAAATGTCTTGAGAAGAAAGTTACGTTGAGCCTTCTCGGGCCATGTAAAGAAGTCCTCCAGATGGTTTTGATCATAAATTCCAGCAGAAAGGAAATCCGGAACAAGTTTTACCAGACTGGGTGTCATGGAGTTAAGAAACTGAAAAACTGCATGAGAGCTTTGAACGGGTAATACGCCGTGCGAGTGTGCTGAGGCGGGAGAAGATAAGCTCCCGCTGCGTTGGGGAGCGATGACAGGAGAGCAATGCATTGTGGGTGACGCCGTGATTTCTGGACCAGATGGGAAGGCATGTCGATCACGGGCAGTAGCCCTCTTTCGAGTTCTCGTGGCTACACAGGCTTGTGAAGCAGCGGTATTGAGTTGACGGACGGACAATCGATTTGTGTTCTGTGGGGCATTTTGAGAATCTAAATATCTCGCGATACAAAGTACAGAGCATACTTTTGTGCGAAGGCGTCTGGGCTGTTGTCGGACTTGGCTGCCAGCCCTCTCACGAGCGATTTTACGCTCATACCAGTGTTTCCGGTATACTCGTTTCAACAAATATATCCTTAAGTACCAAACTAGAACCCAAGAATTGGGATACTTTTCTGCAACTTCTGGCCACGTAGCATGAACCTGAGACAAAGGGTGGAGTAATGAAGCAATGCGACAGGAGATTCGATTGAAGCTCACCGCCTGGTAGAACAAACGAACCATTTCGGGGTCCTGGTGCTCATATCTATCTTGTATATTGAGAAACCTGGCGGCTGAATCTATGACGAGAGCCTTTCTTCAAAATCAGTCAACCAGATACTCAGAAATTTATATGGCACGTACACGCAGTCTCTGCCACTGCCGTGAATCCATCTTGGATGCCATTTTGACATCCTGGACATCCTTACACTGTCTCGCGGGTTGGGAGATAAAGACAAGTTCTGTGCACATGTCTGGGGCTGGCGATGAAATGATAACACAAAGGGAGATGTCTTATACACCCCCGCTTACTCCACCTTTGGATGCGACACGCGCGTGAGCGGCGCGGGAAATACCCGCGAATAAATATAAAAGTACACTAGAAAGTACACGAGTCCGACATATGAATTGATAATTCAGCACAAGGTTTCAACAAAATCGATCACTGTGGTAAAATCAGATGAGAGATACATTCAGAATGGATCAGAACATGCCTCTTTAACTTCGCTCGTCGGTCCAGTAATGCCTCTGCTAAACGACCTTCTTTGCGTGCTCGCTTGAGCTGATGCATTATTCAGAATGTTACTGATAATCATATAAAATATGAATATCGACGAACCTCTCTCTTATCCTCTTTCGACACCACCGAGCGTCCAGCTCCCCAGGCTTGATGCATATGACTTTGAGATCATTCAGATCACAAACCGCTCATCGTAAGTGAAACGTACTTGGTGGAAGCCTCGTCTACGACTGTCAACTCTGAGCCCGCTTCTCTTTTCTTCTTCTCCTCATGGGCTTCCTTCTTATACTTGCTCTGGATCTTTAACCAAAACCGCTCCCGAAACCCGACTTCTTCACTGTCGCCTCGCAGCTGGAGCGAACCTCCTGCGACCTCGTCAACACTGAGATAATTTTCATACACGTTCATGAAGGCTACCATGCCATCGGGTAAAAGAACAGGTGTCCACTCCTCCTCGGGCCCTCGCGCTTCCCTAAAAGCACTGACAATACCATGCTTGTCACAAGACAGAAACTTTCCTTCGCCAGTGCCCGTCCGAAGGTTGATAGTAGCCGATCCCGCGACGCGCGTTGTAACCCAGACCTGAGCTACCTCTGTAGGTGTACGATCAAGTAATGGCGGGGAATCAGATGTCGAGTCCTTGTCCAGAGATGACAATATAATCTTGTTTCTTGTAGAATCAAAATTCACTGATATGGGCGAAGGATCAGAAGGGTGTATAATGAAAGTAGGCCCGCGAATTTCAGTTGCATTCTCTGGTAGAACCCAGGTTTCCGGGTCCTCATCTTCGTCTACACGTTTGTTGGCGGAGCCTTCATCGTGGTGTTCTCTCTTGCGCTTCTTCTTTACTTTGTCCCCTTTGAATTTGAGCTGTGTGGACCGAACTTTCTCCATCGACTACACGCGGCGAATTGTGTGCAGTCAGGAACCCTGCATCATATGCCGTGGTATATCCGGCAAAAACCGACGAGCAAACTTTGAACCAAACAATTCGTTCCATACACCCAAATTGAACTGCCCGACACCGTTATCGACGTCCTCCTCAAGATCAAGATGAAGTACAACCCTGGTCAGTGCTGTCTTTGTACTCGCTGGTGTCCGTTCTACTTGTCTATGCCCCTCGGAGTGAAATTTTATGCACAGGAGAAGTTGGATGGAGACTCGGAGACTTGGATGAGATCTGTTGGGTGAATAACTTACTGACGAATGAGTCTACATAACAGACGTCTCCTCTTCGCGGCGCAAGAACCGCAAGGCCCATTTCAGCGCACCCTCCTCGGTGCGCCGCAAGATTATGTCGTCATCCCTATCCAAAGAACTTCGGGCAAAATACAACGTACGTTGGATCTGTTGAGAAACGAGGCACGGGATGTTCATATAGTACTCACTAGACGCGGTCACTACCGATCCGCAAGGATGACGAAGTACGAATTTTGCGGGGGAAGTACAAGGGTCGGGAAGGAAAGGTCACTCAGGTGTACCGCAAGAAATGGGTCATTCATGTTGACCGTGTGCAACGCGACAAATCCAACGGTGCTACTTCTCCCATTGGTATCCACCCCAGCAAAGTCGTGATCACCACCATAAAGCTTGACAAGGATCGGTGGGTAATCCACGTTTTGTTTATGTTTATCGTTCTAAAGTTCTTTCCACTAGTCGGGCAATTCTTGACCGCAAAGACAGGTCAAAGACTGCACAACCCGCCGCCACTGAGGATGTTGAGATGGTGGACGTAAGTGACTACCGTTAGATTTGACAGGCAGCCATAAAGACTGACCGGTTCGTCTTCCAGTGATTTTCTGCAGGCGTATTGATTGTCTTCGGCTTTCCTTGTTGCATTCACAAAACCACCATGTATCTATGCGCACTATCGCACATGATATGCACCATGACCCTCCTGTTATACTTTAAGACAGCTGTCTCAGGCCATAGTGTACGGATTGATCCAAGTTATCTTTGCAGCTGGCATAGAACACATAGTACAATGCAATACTAACTATGGATCAGAAAATGACATCCTCGTCCTTGGTACTCAGCAAGTCCACTGTTGGTTCTTGTTGTACATCCAGCCGTTCCAACAGTCCCTCCTCTTCAGTTATAGCTTGCCTTTCTGCCTTCCCAGCATCTCTCTTCTTCTTGCCTTGAACTTTCTTAAGTCTACAAAGCATCGTTGACGTCTAAGCTTGACCAGAAGGCTCGATGCGCTCACCTAAAGAACTCCTCGCGATCCATTTCGTCTAGCTCACTTATGATATATTTGATGGTATTGTCCAACCGCGGAATGATTATATGTTCAATGGCGTTTACTCTCCGGTTTGTCGCACGAATAACTTCATCCAAGATAGTGAACGCCGTTTGTAGCGACGCAAGTTCCACCAGCGTTTCGAGAGCCTTAGCGTACACCTCCTTTGCTCGCAGAACCTGTTGACCTCCCCTACCAAGACCTGTTAGATTGAAGTCTGTGACGCGAAGATTAGAATAGAAATGCATAGAAGCTCCGAAGCAACTACCAGATCCCGGTACACGATCAACATCAAATCCTGGGAGGAGAACACCGGAAACGTTCTCTTGCTTCGCTTTGACACGGAAAGTGGCAAGTTTCGCTTGCTCCTGCACGATATAGGAAATATCTCCCGTAGTATACGTGACCTCTGCCATCGAGAACGACGCCAACTGCATCACTCTACCCATCTTCCGTTTTGCCTACCATTTAATTGTCAACAACTTGAACGGGTAACATCGGGTAGAGTAACGCACCTCATCCACCTTTCTCAGTATTGCACGAAATCGCGTGGTCAGGGCATCACGCTTCTTTGCCAGCAACGAATGCCCGGTCTCAGCTCCCTTTAAACGGAGTTTTGTGTTTGTCAAGGCCATACGCGTAGCGAAGACATTCTCCCTAGGACCTGCTCCAGACATTGTTGTGGGGAGTGCTGAAGGCGGGTAATGAATAGAAGCACGATAGAAGCGGCAGTACGGCTTCCCTTTCTAGGTCAGTTAACACACCAGAAACCCTGACAACATACAAGCCGGGATAGCTCAGCTGGGAGAGCAACAGACTGAAGTTCTGGAGGTCCCGTGTTCAATCCACGGTCCTGGCATTGTTTTTGCATCCCAATCAATAGTGAGGTAATTTTGTTTATCTCCGGTGCTTTCACTTCACAACAGATTCAGACATTTTACCTCAGTCACATCTGCACGAAGTTCACTCGAGCGTGCGTCGATGAACGAATGCAGAGTGTGCTAATCGGCCGAGTTCACCATTGTTATACTTGAAGACAGCCAACGATGTCTATTAGAATATCAGAACGTCTTATTATCATCTTGCTTGTACATAGTCGTCGATCTTCAAAAGTAAACACACAGTCTCCGTCGAAAGCTCAATCGCGCTCGTGGAGACGAGAAGAGGTTGAACAACATCCTCCTCAAGAATATTCGAGATTAGGCCCTAAGGTGTATGCAGTCAGATAATCGAAGCAACTCAAGGCTGCAACCACTTACTGTGCGGACGTTGATACCAGCATTCCGGTCACCTAGAGCATGTCGGTTGCGTAATTCCGTGACAATAGCAATCGGGTTAAGTCCAGCATTCTCCGCGAGCGTCGTCGGTATCACTTCCAATGCGTCTGCGTACGCTTGGAAGCAGTAGGCTTCCATGCCTTTGAGTGACTGTGCGTATTGAGACAACAGCCGGGAGACATGGATTTCAGGTGCACCGCCACCACCGATGAGCGCCCTGTTTATCAGATCAGAACCTTGACCCGTAGAGACAGGACACTCGAATCTCACCGTTTCTTTACGAGACACCGGACAACACAAAGAGCATCATGCAGACTGCGTTCACATTCCTCCACAACAAGGTTGTTGCCACCCGTAGCCAGAATACTAACTGTCCGCCCACGGTTCTTCACGCCAGTGATCTTGACAACTTTGATCCCAGCATTTGAAGTCTCTTCGACTAGATCTGCGTAACCAAGTTTGTCTTCTGTAAAGGCCTCGATATCGGCAATAGGTTTGCATCCGAGACTCTTGGAAAGAAATTCGATCTCGTCACGCTCAACATCCTTGACTGCAAGGATGTTGAGACGCTTAAGGAAGCTGAGGGACGTATCGTCGACTGCATCACGGAGGATAGACTTTTGGATCAGCAGGACGTTGCAATTCGCCTTCTTGATCTTTTTACAAATGTTGAGCAGGTACTGACGACCCTCTTTGATGACCTTGTCCATTTGTCGGTAGTCATTAATCACGACAGTGTTATCCATCTAATAAGGTGCTATGAGAACTGAGGCGAAAGGGGTCAAATACACATACATCAGGTTTGGGAGCACTGAGCTGGAACTGGATAATGGCAATCTTGGCCTTCTCCATGCGAGTAGGACCGCCAGCTGAAACAATTACATTTTGGTTGAGGACAACACCATCTACAAGCTCAGTGTCTTCGATAGTGCCACCGACTTTCTTCACAACCCTGATGTCACGAAGGTCTACAGTGGACGATTGAGGTGTAACCAACCGCGTCACAGCAGCCACTGCGATGGGAGCAAGTGTCGAAGAATATTGAGAGACAATCTAATGAAGCGCGCGTCAGCAAAGCGCTACCACGATAACTTCAGAGATCCTCAGCACCTTAGAGTTCAGGGAAGTGCTCGCTGCTCGGAGGAGACTGGTTTTGTCACTGAGATCAATTGGCGTCGATATCTCAGTGAGATATTCGACTGCTTTGACCGATGCTCTCAAAAACGATTCTGCGATGATGGTTGGATGTATGCCTTTCTGCAGCATCTTTTCCGCGGCCCCAAGAAGGCTACCTGCTAGAACAACGACCGATGTTGTGCCATCACCTGCTTCCACATCTTGAGCAGCTGAGAGGTCGACCAGCTAAAATGACGTAAGTAGATGATCAGCAAGCATCACGGCTCGGCGCGCACCATCTTGGCAGCAGGATGTAGAGCTTGAATACTCCGTAGAATTGTTGCACCATCGTTGGTGATGATGACCTCGCCCTTCGAGGTTTGAATCTACACAAATGCAATATGACATTTCTTCACCATCAACGAAGTAACATCAAGCCCCATACCATTTTGTCCATTCCCCTTGGTCCGAGAGATGTTCGAACAGCATCGCTGATGGCTACGAGAAGGTCAAGCATGCGAAACGATCGCAAATAAAACTCTTTACGTACCTTTAGCAGCGACCAAGTTAGACATCCGAAGCTCCATTGGCTTGACCTGTGGACGCGTTCATTCCATCGAGTCATCGCGATTATGAGTGACTAATACCTTGTCATTGAACGCGGCATTTGAGCCTGTGCGAGCTGCTTGAGATGCTGCTGGTGCGATCTTTGATGTCATTTTGACTTCGTCGAAGGCTCAGTAGATTTTAAGCGGTAGACGATGCGCGTAGACAAAACCAGAATCGCTAATTTATTATTAGTAGTCGCGGGGTTTGCCGCCGTTGGGTATGCGTACGCTCGACTTGAAAGTAACGTTGGCTCTAGCTACTCCTCTCTCACACTTCACGATCTCAGTTTCAGATGGACTTTGTGAGTACATCTAACAACAGAAATGATCAATACATCTGATCAATTCTCATAGTTTGACGATCAGGATGGCATGGCAGGTGGCCCAGGGGGTCTTTTCGCTCAGTTCGCCCAGTATGCCACCTCTCTTTGGCTCCTGTGTCAGGAAACCTGACCAGCAGCTATGTCATTCCAGAGGATTTGGAGTTCCTATGGGCACTCGAATTAACCGGCCAAACCCTCGTTCGTATAACGTGTACTTGAAGGCCTACAGTGTAGCGATGCTTCCTGGTCGGGAGCGAGAGAATCTTTCCTACGGAGGAAAGAGTGCGTAATTGGATCTCATCGTACACTGAATTTGTGTAGTAACGATTTTCTTGCAGTTATCATGCCTCCATCAGCCCTCGCACACTTGACTCACCTCGATCTCGAGGGACCTTGGATGTTTCAGCTCACAAATGCGACCAATCCAGCCGCATCCACACATGCAGGTGTACTCGAGTTTATCGCTGAAGAGGGAATAGTCCATCTCCCCTACTGGATGATGAAGACGTTACGTCTCAATGAAGGCGACCCAATTCGCATAACTGGTGCTGAACTCCCGAAGGGCAAGTTCGTCAAGCTACAGGCGCAATCTACGCATTTCCTTGAAATATCAGATCCAAAAGCCGTGTATGTGTACGTATTTCGGCATCACTGACTCAGCTAACATCTATCAGGCTTGAGCAAGCTCTGAGAAACTTCACTGCGCTCACTCAGGGTGATATAATTGAAATATATTATAACTCAATAATCTTCGGCTTTCTTGTGATGGAGGCGACACCCGGTGGAGGTGGTATAAACGTGCTAGACACTGATCTAGAGGTCGATTTTGCTCCCCCGGTCGGTTATATAGAGCCTGAGCGTCCGAAACCCGCCCCTCCTTCCACTATGGCATCCAAATTGAAGATCGACCTCAATTCATCGAGTCCCGGTTCCTCACGACCGTCTTCATCACTAGGTGGTGGTTTTGTTGCTCCTGGTGGAACAGCTGTAAGCAAAGGTGGCGATCATTGGGAGAGTTTCAAGGGCAAGGGAGAAACTCTCGCCGGTCGGAAGACGAAAGGCAAGGGTATCAGTCACCGGGGAGTCGAAGCAGTAGGGGGAGACAGCAAGATCATCAGAACTGAGTGTGTTTCAAGCAATCTGGTCGCGTCTGGGCATGCTAACGATCTCAACAGCCAACAGAAGATTATCAACAACAGCTCTGCTGAAGCAGATGTCAAGGTCCCCGCTGCACTCAATCTTCCATTCGGAAAACTGTTTTTTGGCTTTAATGTCGTCACATACACCCCACCAGAACCCAAGGCTCCTTCCTCTCCTAGCCCTTCAGCTGTGAGTTTTGAATATAGTTCCACCTCAAGTCGATCTCACAATTTCTTCAGCCCTCTTTCTCGGGTTCAGGCAATACCCTCACGGGCCGGCCAGTCACATCACCGTCAGGTGCGAAAGGAAAGGAAAAGGAGAAATCATCTGCAAAGTCGCAATCGAGCGAGAAGGTTTGGGGCACTGGCAATACGCTAGGTTCCTCTCGGTCCACCCACATTCCACCAAGCTTCCGTGGGCGTGATCTTGGTGGTCCTGGGGGTAGACCGCTTCCCCGACAAACGACGGCACAGTCGAAGCGACGCAGTCCGACGCCAGACTGGGGTGTAGACGATGACGACATGATTGACATTGACAGTGATTGAATTGGTGGTTGTAATATAGTTAATTCCACAAGGTGGAGAAGGCCAGACGATGGTTCGTCTGCATGTATGGAGGATGACGTTGTACGTAGATACTTGAATGATGGATGTGTAATTCATAAAGTGAGCAGATTGTCGGGCCCGAGTCAATGTTACATTGATGTTACAACATGACAACCCCGACACCCTTTCCTGGTTCTACACCATCAACGGCTGAAACACCTGCCAGAGGTGCTGTTCTCCAGTTGTACAAGTAAAAATTAAGGAGACCGTCCCCGGCGCCGAACTACCATAAAACATAAGGACTGGCCGCGTTCCCTTCATAAATAAAATACGTACCTTTAAGTTCTCCAAAAAGCTACAGTTGTCCATGAGTGTAAGGGCATTGAAGACGTCAAATTTGGCCTGGTTCGCGATGATCAGTGCATCTCCTACAAGAGCTTCTAATCGTTTCTTGAGGTTGTTGTCCGCTTCCGAGTCTTCAACAAACGCCACATCAGATGCATAATAAAACAAGTAGGCAGCTTCTAAGAGCCCATGTTTCGGATGATTTATAATCGTCGAGGGAAGAGAATAAAACGAAAAGAAGTCGGTAATCCGGCCGGTGTTTGCTTCCTATAGTGTGCATTAGAATAGTAACAGGAAGCACATGAATAAGAAATTGACCTCGACAACATACGTCCACACCACCTGGCCTGGTCTTCGATAATGCTCTGATGGTTCGTCCATACGGCCTCTCCCACTCAAAAACTGATGGCGGATCTCGTCAAGGGTCATGATTGGCCACATGCTGAACCTCTGCATGTAGCGTGTGAAGAGATCAGCGACATCTGAGACATCTCTTTCCTCCATTTCACGAAGGCCGCTCAGTTGAGGCTTAGCCACCAATTTGTAGACGTGAATCATTCGAGCAAGCGTCATGCTCCGAGGAACGTACGTAAATTTGACGTCGACAAGTTTCGGGATATTCAGTGAACGGTGGAAGTAACTGATAGACTCTTGAGCACTTCCGCTAACTATACAGAGAGGCGACATACCGGCAAGTGGACACAGGTGTCGGAAGAACGACGCCAGCGGTATAGATGGCCTGGAAGACACCCGTTAAATTCACTTGTCGTGTGACCTCCTTGATGAGCACGGGGGCCAAGCGTTTCGAGCGCAGCTTCTTGTGCACACACAGATAATTAATCTCGCACGCCCGAACAACGCTGGATGGTTTTAAGTTCCTGTAAATCATCACGATAAAGATGTCGATGTCTCACTTTCCGCGCACACGTAACGTAACCGGCACACCAGAGATAAAAGCTACCAGTTTTTTGTTCGAAGACACACGCACACCAATATGCCAATCTTTGAGGTAACCCGGGGGCTTGAGAGCCCTAAATGTTCGTCAGATGCACGTCCCACTATGCACTGACAAGCTTACCATTCAAGAAACTCGGCGCTGTATTGGAACCGGAATGCAGCCTCATCGTCTTCGACGTAATTGAGAGATAATAGATCGTAAACTTCTTTGATCTGTAGAATTGAAAGTCACAAAGACAAGACATGATAAAATTGATACACATACTTGCTTAGAGTCATTAATGTCTAATATGGACCATTCGAAATCTTTCGGCAGAGGGTATGCGTCTTGTCGCACTTCTTCTCGAGATTTGTCGGGTTCGATGAAACCGTCATCGAGCGAATCATCGTCACCTAGGGCCACCTCTTAGCACGTCTTAAAATCGAAATATATAACACAACGCATACCAAGCTGTGGGACTGGCTGAGTGGCCCAAAACTGTCTCGAGACTTGAATTCACGGTCCACATTTATACATGAGTTGTTGTACATACCTTATGTTCTCCCATAGCTTTCTTCCCTCGCCCAGCGATGCCCGATTTGCCTTTGATGACATCCATGATCTTCATCTGCTCCAATGCTTGCCTAACATTATCTTCATTGGTAGCTGGGGTATTCGGCCCGTGCTCAGCAGCGACACGATCCACGACGTGACTGATGAGCTCTTGTGGTATTTCGTTCTTGCCGCGCACCGCGTTGAGAACCTTTGCAGCCTTGGACTTTTTCTTCTTCTTCGGTTTGGACGATGAAGCCTGAGGTGTAATTGCACCATCCTGTTCATGATCAACCTCGGGTTCCGGGGTAGAACATCGATCTTCGGGGTCAGATCCTTGGGTTGTATCGATTATCTCTTTGATTTGCACCTTTTGAGAGGATGAAGACATTGGAGCAGCGTGGTGTCACAGAATGTTGTCACAGGACACGCAAGACTACTACGTGCCAAATTGAGCGGCTCTTTCGGTTATCCACTCTTGTTGCTCAACAATCACCATGTTCATCGTAAATTGGTTCTGGGACATTCTTGCTCAGCTTGGTCAGTCGTTCCAGCCCAAACTTTGTGTTTTATTGACTGTTCCACTTGGCTCTAGGGCTGATGCACAAGAACGCCAAAATTCTCTTCCTTGGTCTGGACAATGCTGGCAAGACGGTGAGCAGCGCGTAACTTGTGCGAACTTTGCACGGCCCATCGACATATTTTACAGACGCTTCTGCACATGCTGAAAAATGACAGACTGGCCACCCTTCAACCCACCCTTCACCCTAGTACGCCGTCTGCATTTTTAATGCTCTTCCTTCCGTAATGCTATGCACCTGCAGCTTCCGAGGAACTGGCAATTGGTAACGTGAAGTTCACTACATACGATCTTGGCGGACATCAGCAAGGTCAGTATAGCACCCTTCCCTGCGACCTCGGTTGTTTACCGAACACCAACTTGCGTTTCAGCCCGTCGCCTCTGGCGCGACTACTTCCCTGAGGTCGATGGAATCGTGTTCTTGGTCGACTCTGCAGACTTCGAGCGCTTCGCTGAATCAAAGGCTGAGCTCGACGCTTTGCTTTCTATTGAGGAGCTGGCCAAGGTTCCGTTCCTAGTTCTTGGCAACAAGATTGACGCTCCTGGCGCAGTCAGTGAGGAGGAATTGAGGCATCACCTTGGGCTGTACCAAACGACCGGCAAGGTGGGTTTTTGTATCTGATTGGTGTGGAGAGTTACTGATAAGGTGCGACGTGGTTGCAGGGCAAGGTCCCATTGAACGACATCCGACCCATCGAGATATTCATGTGTTCAGTCGTCCAGAGACAAGGGTACGGCGAAGGTGAGTAGCCTAATCTGTTACGGTTGGTGCGTAAATGACTGAATGACGTGTCCGCTCAGGCTTCCTATGGCTCTCGCAATACGTATGTACCCCATTCATGTATCTCATTTTGAACTAATATATGACCTTTTCAGATATGATCCTACGCCTTGGTTGGTGATTGAGGGGATTTAGTAGACCTTCACTAACTCCCGTTCTCCCTTGTCCTTTGCTTTTATTGTCGTTGTGGACTGTCATATGCTATTTTTCACGCTTCATACCTTTGGAGTTAACTAGCTCGGCAGACTTAAACATGTTGAGTAAATATTTGAGCATTGGTCAGCATGTCTTCTCAATGAGAGCAACTAATGATTCAAAAGATTGATCTTGTCGTTAGCTTTCATTGAATTTAAGTGAGACGAGACACGCAGCCAAACGTTGAAGCCTTAAAGCTTGGATGTTCGGTGTACGCGGGCCCATGTGAAGATCCTCATGGCATAACGCGTGACGCGTGCCTCGATCAGTTAGTGAAGCACGTCTCGTTAGTCCCTTCAGTCTCAGTTTCAGGACTTGTTCCCCATTCTTTCTTCGTCTCTGCGCTCATCTTCAATTTGCGCGTCGCTCAACGATTTTTATATCTACTAAAGAGCTCAGCATACATGAGCCCAAGTTTGAATTCAGATACTTGCATCTTTGCCGGCGACTCTGTGGTTGTAGTGACCACCACAAAATCGAGCCAGCCGCAATTTGTACCTCAGCGGTTATTCTCAAACACTGGGGAATGTTTTCATCTGTCTTGCACACTGTCTCGTTCTCACCATAATTTGCGTCAAGCTACTAGGTCTCGGGCGTTCGTGCGCCATCGTTTGCTGTAGCAGTGTAGCACCCCCACAATGTATGCCACTTATTCGTTTCTGCCTCCTTGCTGTGAATCATTGGTGTACGTCGACGTCCAGGTCGTTCCATATTCATACAAATGCAGACCACGCCTAACGACGATTCTATCAGATTCATACTGGGCTTAGGTGTCATGGGCGAAGGAATAGCCGAGTTCTGCGCATCGCGAACAGCGTTAAAATCATCACTTGTCATTTGTCTCATGGGCAGTCCTCGGGCCAGAGGTCTATTCGATACTTATGGAGCAGTTTCCTGCCGGTTTACCACTTTTCGGATCACGAGAAACTGCCGTCCCTCAGGACAATCGGATTCTCGATATGGACTCTGAGCCGATAGCAACGATCAAAGAGCTAGTTGACAGTCATGTTCGATTTGCGATCATGGAAGATGACGGTGATATAGAATATCAAGGGTTTAGTGACGAAGGCTTAGTTGAAGTCAAATGGAAAGAAAGCTGCAGAGGGTGTTCTTCTAGCGCGGACAATAATGTTGAAATGGGGAATTGAGAGGATATTGATGCACTAAATGCCAGAAGTGGAAGGTGTAGAGCGGGTATGTTCATACTTCCCTGCGGCGTTGCCTCTCGCTGGTGATAAACCAGACCTTGGATGAAGAGGAGGTTATTTGCAATAGATGAGGTTGCCAAGCTTGAGCAACGGCTGGCGACGAATGGAAACAATAAAGATTTTAATTGAGTCGCTCTCCAAGTGGCATCAGTACTTGGTAGATTAACAAGTTTACTCGTCCAGGATAACGCCGCATATGTCGGTATGAGCGCTACTCAGGTGCCTGAGTGTGCTGGTTACATGATACGAAGGGTGTATATCCACTCATGATGACCCCAAGTACCCATGCATGACCAGCGACATAAATCAAACTCCTGACCCAAAGCCCAAAGAACACATCATCACCGAGGAATTCCAGCTTGTATGCCTCTGCAAGCCACAGCGCTTGCGTGCCCATCCAGACTACTCCACACATCACCCACTTTTTCCACGAAATGGTGATGCGAGGTACAAGTAGGGGTATGAAGAGGGTGTACCAAATAAAGTATTGAGACGTGCACACGCGGTTGAAGAGCACGAATGTGAACGTCTGTACAAACCACACGAACGGAAGGTCGGCCGAGAGTCGGCCAAGGATGAGGCCAGTCCCGAGGGACAACGTCAGTTGGGGTATAAGACTCGTAAACGGCGAGCGGAGCAGCTGGCGCCAGATGGGTAAGTCGGCTGATGTACTTCCAGAACTAGAATATGTGAGGTAGATGAGGTAGAAGTAAGGAGAAAAGTTGTGCCGATGATCACGCCGGTCTGTATGATATAAATATGCCTCGTAGAGGAAGGGGTATCCCCACCTGTAGTAGTGAGTAAGGTTCAGTGCTTGGAGATGATGCAGATACTTACATAGCGTAGCATACTGCTCCCAGAATAATAAATGTCCCTCCGCTAAGCAGGGCGAAACAAAGCGCCTGTCTTCCAACCAGACGACGTAGATACGCAAAATCCCACCCTTCTCCATCGACATGCTGCAAGGTAATCACAGAGACACAGCTAACCCCATATATAATCGGGTAGATTTTCCAGTGAGCGCTGAGTCCCAGCATCACGGCGGCAGCGTTGTGTCGACGTTCAAGTGCGTAGAACAATGTCAAGAGGACAAAAGTGCAGAGAATCGCTTCAGAAGAACCACGCGTTGAGATAGTGAATACAAGAGGGTTCAAGAGGTGGGTTGCCGCTAGAAGAGTTGCATATGCACGCATAAAGCGTTTCGAGTTCTCTGCGGAGACATCTGGTGCCAATGATTTAGTATGGGGAAGGATGTGCAACATCAAAATTTGATAAATGAGGGCGCCGTTTATTAGATCGCATGCAGCAAACAAGTACTTTCCGAATGACGGGTGCAGCCACTCATTTGGAAGGAGAAGGATGGCCAGTAGTGGAGTATAGCGATAGGTCTCCCGAGCATACGGACTATAGAATCACTGAGCCTGACATCACCAAACAGACCAATAAACTTACTCTCCGACAGTAAAAAAGAGAGGTGCAAGTGGCCCCTTTGCAGTATTACCCTGCAGTTTGGGGTAAAGGATGAATCTGGCAGCGTCACTGAATACACGATAGTCGATGTCGGTGTACTTTACTATCGAATGCGCATCGTGCCATTCGCTGTACAGTATGAGCACAACACGAAGGACAGCAGAAATAACCAGCAGCTTTTCAAAACAAGGGATACGGCCCTGCCATGTAGCACTGGTGTTGGGTTGCATGTGGCCTTGAAGCTCAGTACTAGTTACTGCTAGTAGCTATAGGTCGGAAACTCCGTCGCGTTTGAAGTCACGTGATACGCGATGATTCCGAGCGCGCTAAGCCCACTAGCTGGCAGGCGGCCTGCCTACGACCATATTCGTAGTATCTGTCTGATGCTGGTACCCGAGTTCACCAACTCATCCACGGGAATATTAATGTCAGACGATCGCCCCCTACTTGGCGCAGGCATCTCCAATCCTCATTATGGCACTAGCAATGACTCGGATACCCCGCCACTTTTCCAGCATCGTCTCTGCACGGAGACGCCAAATCCTGTTCGGTTCAGAAACGGCCGTTTCGGGTACCTCGGTAAGTGGGTATAGAGTTCTCGTGTGTTAAAGGCCACCAACCTGGGATCTGAAGCTTCCTATCCCCGCTAGCCCTCCCCCAACCGTAAACTACCCTCCCGGTGGGTCATGGTTACTGTGAGCAGCTGGCCGGTTCGCCGTTTTGCGGTTGCAGTCGTGCCTCAGATCCTGTACTCCCACTGGGTATATAGGCTTAGTAGTATTATTCCTACACAGAACGAGAAGGTCGGCGCGGTCGGGGTAGCGGTAGCCCCTGATGAGAGCTTTCGCATGTTCGAAACCGCTGCCATTCCCGCCATCTCAGTGTCCCTCTTGCCCTAGCTACCAGACCTCTATCCTAGGAGACGGGTGACTGCAGCAGGTGCTACGAACATGGTCTGCCTCGCGACGTTCTGCTGGACGCTCTGGCTTGGGCTTCGCTTTCCAAGGCAGTCGCTAACGTACGTTGATCAACATAACAGACCAATTATGGAGAAGAGGCTTCTCGTAAGCTGGACTTCCGATTAGCCTTCCTGGTTTTGATTTACATCGTGAATTGTGTAAGTGTGATGCACCATATACAGGCTAGTGTGAAGTTCCGCTAGTGCCTACTAAGCTCTTTGTGCACATCGTAGATGGATCGTAGTAATGCAGCGTGCGTGGCACTCCAAATTGCCTTCGGTAGTGTAGCTTAACTGCACACTTGCAAGTGCAGCGAGGTTGCGTGGTTTCGAGGAGGACCTCGGCATGACAGGGAACCAGTTCAATACACTCATTAGCATCCTTTACGTGGGATATGCATTGATGCAAGCTCCTTTGTATGTATCAGCCTAATTTTCCTCTGTGGCGTTTCCGAGAATTCAAAAGCAACCTACTCTTAGATCGCATGAAAAGGCCATCAATACACCTCTCAAGCTGCATGGCACTATGGGGTGCCATTACCATTTTCATTGGTATGTGCCTTTTCCATCTAATCCGTATCGACAGTAACGAGGGTCATGGAAGGCGCATCACGAACGTTAGTATCTATGATCCCTGCAGCCCTGTCCGCTCTTCAGTTAGCATTACTTTAGGTATCATGCTGCTCTTATCTTGCGTTTCTTCCTCGGATCTGTTGAGGCGGCATTCTTTCATTGTGCCGTATTTCTTCTCTCACGATGGTGCAGTTACTCCATACCCTCCATCCAGCATATTATGAACTTAATCTAGGTACAAACGCGATGAGCTAGGGCTACGTACGGCGCTTTTTGATTGTAACAACTCGATCAGCTATGCTTTCAGCACCCTTGCAGGCTAGCAGATTAACAGGGCTAATTAGCAGAGGCTATCCGGGAGGTCAAATTAACCTATGTAAATTAGCGTAAATTTGCAAGTCTGCTGATTAGCGCTAATTTACTTGTAAATTTGACGAATTTAACTGTTAATTAGGGTAAATGTGGTTCTACGGCCATACATCCCAGGTTTTTGCATCAGGAAGTGCCTCTAACGACGACGACGCAACAATGGACGATGTTGTTAACACCTTGGCGTGGGGATTCACGTTTCGGGGTGTTTCGTCCAGGAAGTCCCGGAGATAGGGAGAGCGCAACTCAATATCTGCATTTGCCCCTCCAAGCAAGAAGTATGAGTCGTCAACCTTTTCAAGCTCGCTCGGCAGTCCTCGCTCATCGTTCAGCCACTCAACACCAGCATCGGGAAATTTGGGATCACCAGCATCGTTGGGTGGATTGGAGTTGAAGGGTCTCGGTTGAGGTGGATGTGCGCTTGCGGAAAATGGTTTCGTCCATGTCTCGCCATCGAACAAGCAATTTTTTGGCGGGATTTGCATTCTGCATAGTACGAGTGTGATTCACTGATTTGAGGTTGAGGTGCTAGCCAGAAACACATACCTCAGGTTTATAACGATGCCACTGTCGAACTTTGATATGATCTTGAAGTGTCCCGAGATTTTGATTAGCACGACACAGAGAGTTCAACCATGCGATGGTGGACATGGTGTGTTCGTGTGCAAGTGCTGTCTCCGAGTCAACCATTGGTGACCCTCGGCCAGTGTTTGACGTTGGCTAATGGCTTGCCTCAAAAATCGAGCAATATTGCAACATTCTTATTCCAGCAGATGAACACTTCAAGCAGATCGGCCAATACAGCATATCAAGCAGATTAACCCTAATTAACAGGGCATTTTGGGCCTCCCAGATTAACACAGTAAATTAGCGCTAATTAGCATACACCAAATTTACAGGACACTACCTTGCAGCGTCAGGAATTTTGGCAGGCCTAGACGGCACTTTTGGTGTTCCGGCTTGGAGGTCTGAGGCGACTTTCGTTTCCTCCCAAAATTGGAATTGGGCTGATCTTACTGCTCAAGGTGGCTATTCTTTGCGGAGGGTACTTTGACCATCGTTGTTGCAGTGTCTGCAATCTGGAATTTACCAGATTTTCCTTCCACGCCGAGTGTCTGGCTTACGCCTGATGAACAATCTTTGGCCAAGCGACGCATGGAAGAGGAAACTGCGACTGGAGATCGGCACCAGGCCCCCGTAAAGATATTTTCTGGATTAGTTGATGCTCTCATGGATTGGAAAGTATGGTGGCTTGGTGCTACCCTTTCTTTTATGGTAGCTTCTTTGTCATGCAGTAATTTGTTTCTAACACTATCCGCTACAATGGGTTACAACCCGACTATCAGCCTCCTACTCTGCGCACCTCCGTGGATTCTGGGAACTGCAACCTCATTTATTGTGGCCTGGTCGGTTTTTACTTGTTGGGATCCAAAGGTGAATTAGCAATGGCAAAGGCACTCCGATGCAACTGGTGACCGCTTTTGGCATATCGCCGGTTACTTGTCGGTGCCGTTGGATTTATCACTACTATTTCTACTATGGATACGGGTGTTCGATATCTGTCTATGTACGACTTTGATTTCCCTCATTCAGTCGTTTCATTTACATGTTCCGTGAAGGTTCTTCATGACCTAGGCTCCAGTTGCCTTTGTTATCTTTGTGACCTGGGTCTTGAATACCTTTTCCCAAACGCAGGCGAAACGCGCTGCAGCCACCGCAATGATCAACTCTATGGGGATATGTGGCAATATCGGTGCATCGTCAGTTCACATCCAACTCCTGTCTATGCTGCTATTGACACCGTCGCAGGTACTTCTGGCCTTCCAGTTGGGGACCTTCGTACGTCAAGTCATATCTCATTGCATCTTGACGAGCGTTATATGCATTGCAATGTGCTGGGCATTTAGGCAACACCTTGCCCGGTGTAATAAGATTACTGAGGCCGAAGAGCGGGCTCTAGGGCTACCAAAGGGTTTTAGATATCTCCTGCAGTACTCGCAGGCCCACTACCACGCTAACCATGTGACACGAACACCATGTTTGTTGTGCGCAGGGACACGACATTCGCATCTGACTCGAACGGGATCTAAATAAGTGAATCTGTCACGATGATATCACTTCATACTGCAAGGAGATGTTGCCGATACCTGCCGCAATCTATCAATCTAGTGTATGGAATTCAGAGAGACAGGCAGCGGTCGTAGTTTCCACCTTGGTTTGCACCCCACCATTCCGGAATAAGATGCGCTTTTCCAGCAGCTCCTTGAACTGCAAAGGAGAGAATGAATACCATGACCTGTGTTCCACCATCGAGGGCTATAGCACAGTGTGATGTTAACAGTCAAGATAAGATGGCCACGAAACGTACCTGCGCCGACTAAATAGTTGTATTTCACGAACCAACGCGGGTATCTAGTACGGAGCCACCACTGACACAAGAACGAGACCATGTAATAAGACATAACTGAAGAATTTATTCCGACGGAAAGTGCTCCAATGTAGTAACTGTGTAAAAAATGAGGTTTGAATATAAATCATCGATGAGTTCAGGGCGTACCAAATGATAGGGGTGTAATAGTAATCCATGCGCAGTCTCGGCCAGTAACGGTGAATAATCCAGAAAGGAAGAGGCGCAACAAGGCCAATGAGATAGGACAGAGGGACCCATTGATACCTTTTACCAGATGAAAAGAGCTCGTGAGCAAGGCCACCCCACGCAATTGCTTGCGAGTTGTATGATTGAGGTTGTTGGCCAGACCAGATGTTTGTTCCTTGTACAGATAGCAGAATTTCGCGTTGACTGTCGATGATAGAATTCATTAATACTAAAAGAAGTCAAGTGTGGCGAATGGATAAGCAAGACCGCTCTCTAACCATAGTTGAGAACGGCACCGAGTAAGGTGCCAATGATCTGGGCTATGAATGCAGCTCGAGGAGGCAGTTTGGCATCTGAGTGTCCGTCAGTGGGAAGTACCTTTCCCGACAAAGAATGTGCGCAGACATTGAGCAATCTTCAGATCACGCAGTAGCAGCAAAGCTTGAGACACAGTATTCTGGACGAGAACGCGAATCAAATGTGAATCAAGGCGACCATAGGGATACGGACATAGCTGTAAAGGACCTGTCAACGTCAACATCAGTATTGGTAAAAAATCGGAAAGTACATCAATACGAACAAAGAACATGTTCGCCATGGGCCTTCCGTTGTGCAGGTAGCCAGCAATCATCTGGACCAGGGTTTCTTCGCCGAAAGATCAGCTAGGATAGCTATAGCGCAAAAATAATACGTGCGGATAGAGAGACTAAAGCCGGTAATGGCGCATAACGCGCCGAAGAACAAGATAGACACGGCGGCCAAGAGGACCGCGATGACGAAGCCCCACCTCAAAAGACATGGTAAAATATTTCGTCAGATGGAGAATGAGATATTGCTCACCAAGGAAGCGTGGAATCTGTCTTGTAGATAACGACCAACCCGACAGTGAAAGAGAGAACAAGCGTCAAGAGGTACCAACTATTCGGAGCATCTGGATACTGTATTGCAATGTGTCACCAGAGAGGTCTCTATCTGATGTCAGAAGAGCTAACCTTCAGCATCTCCTGGTAGTGTGGGTCGAGGTCCTCAGTGTTGGCAGGGACTTCCCTCTGTCCACTGTGTTTCCAGAACTTCCAATCGAAATTAGCACGCCAACTCCTCAGCGTATCCATGTTCATCCAAATCCAGGCTGGACGAAGATCATCTTTATTCCATAGGAGGAGGTGAGTGAACGTCGCAGCCAATCCCTGTGGTGGAAATATGAGCGAAACACTTATAGTGTCAGTAGCGATCCTTCATGTTGACATACGAGGTTCGTTGACAGAAGGTTGATAATCCAGGTACCAGCATAGAATGGCAGTCCCTGTTCCACCACTAAGGTGGTATCCACCTCATAATTGGAGTTCATGATCAAAGTCTGGTTGTAGACAGTCCCATTCTCATAGAAGAGGAGCTGCGCCAACTGATCGCTGCATTGTCAGCCTGGACATTAGAAAGCGCGACAAGGATATTACGTACAAATGGGAAGTCCTGAGATTCCCAAATGTTGTTGTAGAATATGGCGACGAAGACGACCCTTCATCTCCCTCAGTAATATGATCCACCGTGACCTAATTCACATACATGCAAATGATGTAACCAATGAAACTGGAGAGCTAGGAGGGGTGTTATCGGAAGCGTCACATGTGCAGGATTGTCAGCCAACCTGAGCACTTAGTGGAATAGCCATCGGGTTGCCAGCATTACTCGAGATGTACTAAACCAAAGTTTAACCCCGAAGATCAATATATGTATCCGGACAGAAAGCTGTACCTGCCAGTCGAAGCATATCGACAATAGACCGAGGCCCTCGTTTCCATTGGAACCACCAAACACGCGAGATACAGCAGCATTGTTAGGAGCAGCGAGGCAGAATATTGAGAGACCGGTGAGCAGTGGGAATATCCATTCAGGAAAAATCTCCCATATAGAGATTCTGAGTTCGAGACAATTAGAAATTGAAGATTATGATTTATCGATGAATTTTAAACACACGCAGTAAAGACGAAGTAGAAGACCTTGAGCCTTTTGCGTGCTTCGATGCCATCGCGATAGAGAGCGTCGAACATGGAGAGTAAGGGGAGAACACTAGGGTACAACATCTTCGACGGATAGAGGAGGATCCCTGGTCACAGTGTCGTAATTTAAGCCCCAAAGTATAGCTGCTGTTGGACATAAAAGTACCTCGCATCAGACCGCCGATCCCATAGCTGTGGTTTGCGGTATCAGCTATGGGTACAGTAAGGAACGCGCCAGCGCAACGCACCCGAGCAGTTGAGAAGTAAACAACAAAAAGATTGATGAGACGGCATTAGGCGTGATGTTATAATACAAACTAATGAGTCGTGAATCATCACCGACAGAGGAATCGGATTGCGAGCCCACCGTTGGACAGCGAGAACTTCCGTAGCCAACGCAGAATTCGCAGCTGCACTGCACATGATGATGATGAATGCGTTCTCCTTCTTATTAAAGGGCCCCTGATATTCATAAATATGCATAAACGTCAAGGTCAGAGCCACTTGGAAGACGCACCGGATTCAAGTATCGGAGCAGTCCGTGGCGGGGGATGAATGTCTCCATCGCAAGGCCAATCACGTAGGATATGATGGCGAGGAACATCAAAGACACATTGATGGTTTGCTGGAGTGTCAACCCGAATGAGATGTCTGAGGGAATGTTTGAACAGGAAACTCTCACAGGTTTGAAGTAATAAATTTGAGCTAGGAAGCAGCGCAAGTGAGTAAGAGCCTTGACTGAATGACCTCGACTGCTTTACCCAGGGAGCCACCGAAGGCGGAAAGGCCAAGGCCGATGAAGAAAGCCCGAAAGGTCCAGGGATTCAGGCTAGGATCGTCGTCCACAGAAATGACGCGGGTTGCAATTTCTTGCTCGTTCTGAAGGACAACGTTCTCGTCTGTTTCAGCTTCTTGAGTGGAGGTCTCGATATCCCCTTTTATGTAGCAGGATTTTTCGTCGGTAGCACCAGGTGTCCATTCCACCGTATCAGTGGTCATAGCCACCAAGAGAGGATATGAGATACCGAGGCAGATCAAGGTAACATCTGGTCTTTAAATATGCAGCAAAGTCGACAAAACCTAGCAGGGGACGGGCCAGCAAGAAGCTGTGCGGAACCTATGTGGCGGAATATTCAGTCTATTATGATTATCACTGTGATCTGCCACATCGATTCTGTGCAAAAGACAACGGAATTTTGAGGAATTTCTCAACCAAAAGAATCAAGAAGTGGCTAAGACCTGTGCCAGCTTGTGAATCATGATCTGAATTTAGTCGATCTGCCACGTCAATGTCGACGATATCGCGTCACCAAGCTCTAGGTCCCTCACCAGCCAGTACGGGATTCCCTATCATGATACACTGCAAGCGCCTGCAATTAGTCGACTTAATCATGGATGTTTGACTGCTGTCCCCTTCGTTGTCAAAGTGTGGACCATCCCATATCAGTTTCCGCCAGCCAGAACCATTCGAAGAAATATAATAGTCGTTTATTGGGTCAGAAACTGTGGAGTCGGTTGCTCAGATCTAGCGCCTTCGTTGGGTGTGCAATTAGCCTATCATTGCAGCGTTGCGAAAAAAAAAAGACGCCAGTGAGTTCGTGGTTCCCGCAGGAAAAATGATGTATCATGTGCATGAAGACGAACAAATCTGCCCCTTTCCCGCTCCCTGTCGCTGTACGAGCAGCACATCTGTCATCATCACCGCCCAACAAGTTGAGGTACCAAATGATTGGGGCTCGGTGAGAAATACGGATGTTACTAACATCGGTTATTAACATCCGGTTATTAACCGGTTAATAACACCGAGGAACGTCGGATGCACTTTTAGCCTGTTAATAATTGTTGATAATTATATATGGGGAGCGGCAACTCAGCCAAAGAAAGTGTGGCATTATGTAAGCAAGAAATGCGGTCAACGACATGACCTTGAACGCTATAACTTATATATCAAACTACGACACTCGCGCAACACCAAAATACACAGTACAGCTGTAGAATTATAGTAAGTCAAAGTAATTAGTGAAATTATTACACTCAAAAATTCAAGGCTCCTCATCTTCACTCTCACCTGTCTCCAAAGGAATCTCCTGTATGGTTTCTCTGTGATAACACCACCTTCCTTCAGCTTCAAGGTTGGCTCAGACATGGTGTGTGAAACAACAAATTTGTTGACTGCATTCTTGACTGTGCAAACCTTTTGTCCAGGGACACAAGCAGCTTGCATGGACAGAGCTTTGGTCCTTTTGGTAAGTTCACCATTATGTTTTTTGAGAGTTCTGATGTGCATAACACTAGCATCAGCTTTAGCAGTCTGCTGACAGCATTCTGCTTTGGCTTCTTGTGCATGCTTTTGCAAGGTTTCAGCCTTTGCCTTGGTGCGCTTCTCATGCCAAGATGTGTTTATGGTGCATGATGTGAGTGCCTTCATCTGCTGCATTAGAGCTTCCAGTTGTGAGTCAATGTTTTGCAAGGAAGTGTGTGCTGGTGGAGGTTAGGACATGATGGAGGTACTAGGGGTGTGAGGACTTGGAGGGATGTTTTCATTTCTGGTGCATTTTTTTGCATGAAGCTGAGCTAACTGATCATTCTGGGCAGTAGAATGTCTCTTGGTAGATTTCCAACAGTCCCCTGGGTGGTATGGGGAGGGCATTGAGAGTTCTACAGTGGTCTCTGAGGATTTGTGATGCAATGCAATGTGTTTATTATGCTTATGTAATGCCATATCAGTCTGCTACCTGTGACTTCCCTGTTGTGACTGAACATGATATGCTGGGGGGTTGAGTGAAGCCTTCCAAGGCCTTTTTTCATGGTTTAATTGTAATGGCCATGGAAAATTTTGAAAAAGTTGGTTGCATGAGCTTTTACTGAACATTACAGCCTTACAATTCGCATATTTTTCCTTTTTTGCATGGAGAATACAATAAGCTTGATATTTTGCAACAAAGTCTCCATATGATGTAGTCTTCATAATGTTGTGCTTGATGTCCAGTGGTTGACAGTTTTATTAACCACCATTTCAGCCACACGCCCCTTTAGTGGGAGCATGCACTGAGTTTGAAATTGGCAGAGAGTTGCCTCTCCCCATTATATAGAGCATCCAGCATCAGCCAGCACCATGTAACAATAGCCTAGTAACTGAATCTTGTCTGAGAGCACTCAAATTGAAGGTGTTGAGTAACATGTCACAATTGTTACAGGTAACATTCAAATTCACAATGCCCAGCTTTTTTCTTGTCCAAAAATATGGCTGAGTCACTTGCAATGGAGGAATTTGTCAATATCTTCAACAAGCTTGACATTCTTCTCACCAACCTACCTTCCCAGCTTCCCTTGGCTAATGACTACTAGGACTCCCAGTACCCCTCCTTTCTATCATTCTCCTTGGATCCTAATATACTTGAGGAGACAATTGATGAGGTAGCATCAGGAAAAACCTCTCTCTCTAGTTAGAACAAGTTAGAACAAATTTTCGAAAGTTTTGCTAATTAGATAGATTTGATGGTCAGGAGAATTTAATTGGTGCCCTGCTAATTAGCACTAATTTCTGTGATCCTAGAGGTAATTATTGAAAGTCTTGTAGTATCCTTTGATTACAGTAGACACAATTTTCAGACTTGATAGCACACATAATGTTCAAATGAATTAGTTTTGAATTGCAATGGGTATCAGCACGAGCACAGTAAGATGTAAGCTAACTAAAGATGTAAGGAATGAGCATAGTTCAGATGTTACTATGAAACAATAAAATGAGTTGGATTGGCCTCAAAAGTCTGACTTGCCACCTGGTGTCTGACTACTCATCATCCATGCCATCAATGTCTAGGAATGTGAGGCTGACATCCTGAGCATAACCTCCAGGAGTGTCTAGGCAGAGAGAACTAGACAATGATCAGCAATACTGCTAGCAATGCTTACAATGACTTACTGGACTTCCTTGTATATGTCTGACATCATCTTGTGAAACTTGATGGGTGCTGTCTCTCAAAGTCATTCCAACACTGAGATGTGGTAGTTGTAGTTATTACAAAATTGATTACTGGTAAATTTGAATTCTTCACTAGACTTATTCTTCCTGGCAAGAAGAGCTGTGCAGATCTAGCAAGTCAAAACTGTTAATGGTTAAATGAGCACAAGAAATCAAATTTACCGCAGTGCAGACAATAGCTAACATGGAAATGGGGATCTTGGGGCGATGTGCCTTATTCTTTGTAATATTGAGGAACCACTGAGGAAATTAAGAGTCAATGGACGTCATATTTTTGAAAAACATCTCATAGAGGATGATAAAGATAGGATCTGTTTGATACGGCTTCCTGTGAACCAGGGATGAGAGCCCTTGCACCTTAATAATGTTTAGCATCAGTATGTCAAAGTGTGCTAAAGATGAGAATAGACATTGAAAGTTTGTGGGAAAATGTATAGATGGTCTGGAAGAAGGTGCTCAAGGATAGCACTGCACTTGGGGCTGAGCTGAAAGTAGCCTGCAATGTTCTTGAAAGCCATCTCCTTGATATCTCTGTGAAAGAGACTAGCACGAGCATTGATCTATAACAAACTGGAGTTAGCATCCATAATGGCATGGTGAAGAAAACATGTACTAGACCCACAAGTGCACCTAAGTACTCCTTGTCTGTGCACATACATTTCTCAATTGGTTCTGTCTTGAGATATTGTGTGGCATTGATAAGTATCTCTTGTGCATATGTATTCTTCATGATGACTTCAGGGTAACCATGACTGAAGGCAATGTATGCCTTCAGCTCAAGAATGCTGCATTGAATGACCCTATGAAGGTCAACATTCTGATCAGTAAGACATACTGACCCAGTCTTGGTGTAAACAAGATGAGCCATGGGATCATGATAGCCTTCCTTGGATTGTGCATTGGCAGTATTGCAGGTGCTGCCTTGAATATCTTCGGCATTCTCCTCCTTCACAGGTATGTCACTCTCATTAGTAAATGGCGAGTCTGCTAGGATCAACAATGAATCAAACTCTGAGATAGTCAAGACTGACTCATTCCACCTGGGGGTCTGACAAATAAAGAATTGTGTCTGAATCTTAGTAGATTGATAGAAATATTTCCGCTTACCTCCATGGCATACTTTTTCTCTCTGGTGCTTGTAACCTTGACCTAGTATTGAGGCTTGTCAGCTGCTTCAAGTTGCAAGGAAGTACTTGGCACCTTTGATGAAACCACCTTTGTCTGTTTATTCTTATGGTGGTCTGAATGTACAATCAAAGGAACCTTTCAAGTTGAATGATAATGAGATCCTCCTGGCACTCCTCATACTTATGCAAAGGTTTGACTCACCTCTTTGAACAGAGCCTGAGCAACAGACTCTTCTGGCTCCAATAGGTCCAATTCTTTGCTTCCACTGGATTCCATGTTGCTGGCATCCAAGTCACCATTACCATCTGATTCAGAGTCCTCTAGTAGTTTGAATGTCTTCAAGTTACAAACTACAAAAATCAATACTTGGTATGAATCAAAAAAAAGGGAGAATACTGCTCTCTAGTACCTTTCTCATGCTGTTGATGCAATAGTCAAGGAGGTGGCTTGAATTGGTACTGAGATGGTGGAGGTGGGGCAAGTTCTTCCTCATTACTGCTATCCAATTCCTCAATTACTTGGGAAGATTTTTTTTCTGATTTGCATGTCAGCAAATTTTTTTTCATTGTTCAGAGTCAAGACTTACTATGGTTTTTTGTTGACTTCCTTTGTTTTTCAGGCTGAGTAGATTCAAGTTCTTTGACTGTTGTTGGAGAGTGGTCACACTTAGTAGTGCATGACTTGCTTTGAAGTTGTTCCCACACTTGCCCAGCACTGATTGATCAGCCCCATATCACACCACTACCATGAGATATATGTACTTACCAGGATTTTCCAAAGTTTTGTCCTTTGCCTTGTGTCATGCTTAGATTCAGTGAGTTCAATTTAGCCTTGTGAATATCACTACTAACTTATGGCATGAAGCAGTCTGCTGCATTGAAAGTCAAGTTCAGGTTGGCATCTAATATAAGGCGGTAATCTTGGAATAAATAAGCACAAGATACCAAATGAATGTGGTATTGTCTTTCTGCTTCAGAAAGACTCAAAAGGTGAGTAAGTGTTCTTGAGTTTTGGTTGTAGGGATGACTGAGACATGTGATTTACAGTCTGATTATATATGATCCATTGGCTGAGCAAGGGTTGACATATGAACCTATCCTTGTCCAGCTTAGTTCAAGTCTGATTATGTTCCAGTGACTTTATGCCCCAAACTTTCAGCATCTGGTATTCTCTCTGGGTCAGTACTGACAATATGATACCAGAGCTTGTGTGCACATGTACTGATTCTGCCATTGGTGTGTTCCACTCCAGGACCTTTTCTCTCTCTAGTTATTGACATGTCTCCAGGATCCTACCAGTGGAACAAGGGCCAAGTTGTGATCCTCCAGCATTATTTTGTTTCTGGTGCTGGGGGTGAGCTTAACATGATTGTTGACCTGATATATTGTGAATATGCAAATAACACTTGGACCTTACTGTCTTTAGTGATGCTGCTAGCTGCTAGCATAGGTACTGAACTCAAATGACACTGCACTGTGCATATTTTGAGTTGTCGGCCACACAGACAAGGTTCCATAGCATACACAATTTGTAAGTGAAATTCACACTGACAACACACATTCATTTTTACCAAATACACCAGCAACCTATACCTGCACCTTTTTCACCCAGGACACTTACTCTCCTCTCACATATTCTCCATCACAGACAAGGCTTCACTAACAACACACGTGCATTTCTTACCAAATATCCCAGCTACATCCCTCACTCTATTCTTGTGTGTTCTCTGCTACTGCGATGCTAACAACACACATGTGTTTTTTTTTACCAAAGTAAGTCATTTTAATTGGACAATACACATGCATTTTTTACCAATATGCCAGCTACATCCTTCACTCTCTTCTTGCACGTTCTCTGCTACTGCAATGAGGCTTCACTAACAACACACATGCATTTTTCACCAAATACACCAGCTACATCCCTTGCTCTCTTCTTGCATGTTCTCTGCTACCATGATGACTTCACTAACAACACATGCACATTTTTTACCAAAGTAAGTGAATTTTTATAGAACAATACACATGCATTTTTTACTAAATACACTAAGATCATGCCTGAAATGACTTGCCCTGCATGTAACAAAAAACTCACATTGATAACCAGTTAGAGCCAGCACCTTGCTCAAACCAGCAACCCTGTTTTTCAAGCTCTCTACCTCTCTTCACAGGACTTCAACCTTCCCCATACTCCAGAACCAAATCCTCCACAGTTGGAAGGAGAATACTTTGGGATGGATGATGATCTTGAGTGGCAAGGGCTCAATGGCCAGATGAACTTCAATGATTGTGGTGATCTCACAGATGAGGAGCATTCAGATGATGGCAGGGACAATGATGGCTTCAATGAGTGGGAACCTCCTCCAGCACAAGGGCCTCATTCCACATGCCTTAATGGTAGTGAATCCAGCAACTCAGAATTACCTTGCATCCCTGATATGCCAGAAGAGTGAGAAGCTCAGTGTGAAGTAGAGCAGCAACTCCATGATCATGAGCAGGAGCCTATCATTGTTGAGTATCCCTGTCAATGAGCTGGACAGCCTGTGTTGATTTAACTTGGCAGTCCAGTAATTCCATCTACTGTGCTCATCTAGACAGCTCAAACACTGATAACATCTATGCTCCATTCACCTCAAAAATTGATTGGGAAATGGCTCAGTGGGCAAAATTACAAGGTCCCAGTTCAACTGCATTTTCAGATCTTCTGTCTATTGAGAGTGTAAGTTTGTCATGCTCTTGTCAAATTGGCACTATCTTATTCTAGAGCCTCTATGGTGCCATTCACTTATGTACTGCCAACTTTGTACAGATGCCAAATTGGCTGATTTTTTTAATCTTCAATTTAGACCCGAGATCTTTGGGTCCTTGACAGTCTTGTATGTACATATGGGTGATAGAATGAACAAGCAACAAATAGACCCATTGTCCCACTATCTCCATGACTTTGAAGCACAAGAAAGCTGCTGTCGCTCGTGCATGAGTTGGGAGGGCAGCACAAAGAAAGAATATTCCTCTCTTGCCATCTTCATCAGAACCAGCACCTGAAACTGATTTCAATCTCTCACCAACTTTGAGTCAGATTCAGACTGTGGATACACTGGAGGAGTGAATTGCCATGATTTTGACATGGATTCTAATGGATATGCAGATGAAGAATGGTCAGATAGTGATGAAGAAAGTATGGTTGAGTTTGAAGGTGATGAGTTGGAAAATAACCTGCAAGAGCTGAGAGAAGAGCTTAATGCTCTCATCAACTCCAAACCTTCAAAATATGGTTTGATTACTGGTGTGAAGACAAGTCAGCAGTGGAAAAAGGCAGAGAAGAAGAGAGGGTTTGGCCTGACTTCCAGCAGCAGAAGTCTTTTGTTCAGGAAGTCATTGAAGCTGCTGCTGGCCACCTTTGCATTTTCTTACTGAAATTTCATTGTGAACTCAATTTTATTGAGTTCTTTTGGGGTGTCATGAAGAGGTACAGTGGCTCAAAAAACTGTCCACATGTTTTGACATTTTTCACTATCTATGATATTGTGTGAGAACAAACAAATGCCTCAAGGACATGCTTATACTACATTGTAGTATGGCTTCAGGGCTTTCATTTGAGCCCTACACCGTGGGAATCGGTGGAGATATGGTGGAGATACAAGGCTCACAAAATGGTGACTCATGTGGACAGTTTTTTGACTCAAGTATTTTACAATAATAACCAGGTATTCTAGTATTTTGTATGACCTCCCTTGGCTTTAATTACTGCCTCTATCCTTCTAGGCATACTCTCAATTAATTTCTGGCAATCCTCAGCTGTGATCTTCTCCCATTCCACTGCTACTCTCTCCCAAAGCTCCCATACTCCTTTAGGGGGGTTTTCATAGGCTTGAAGCTTTTTCTTGAGTGTTCCCTAGAGATGTTCAATGACATTGACATCAGGAGACTGTGCTGGCCAGTCAAGAACATTAATGTTATGTTCTTCAAACCATTCCTTAGCTCTTCTGGATGTGTGCTTGGGATCATTATCCTGTTGGAAAATGATATCTTCTTCATCAATCCCTGATTCTGCCAAGCTAGGCAGCAAGTAGTCATTTAAAATGACCACATACTGCTCAGCATTCATCTTCCCCTCAACCTCAGCAAGCATTCCCACACCATTCCATCCCATACAGCCACAGCCCCATACCATTAAAGAACCTCCTCCAAACTTGACAGTCCCATTAACCTCTCTGTCTGTTAGGCCATCTCCCTTCTTTTTCCATACATATACCTTCCCATCTGACCCAATCCTATTGATTTTGGTCTCATCTGACCATATAACATGCTTCCAGTCCTCTACAGTCCAGTGTTGATGAGCTAAGGCAAAGGCTAGTCTTCTCTGCCTATGTTTGATGGAGAGAAGAGGCTTTTTCTTCTTTGTTACTGCCTTGAGATGAGCTGCCTTGAGAACATTCCTCACAGTTTGTGAAGAGACAGGGGTAGTGATAGTGGAATTGATATAATGGGTGGCTTGGACAGCATTATCAGCCTTTCCTGTAGTGATATGTTGGATAATAGCCCTTTTGTCAGTAGAGGTAAGCTTGGATGGATGTCCTCCACAAGAGTTTTCCTTGTCTGGGTGGCTTTCTTTGGTAAACTTGGCCACAGTGGACTTGCATACTCCAGTTCTAGAGGAAATTTGGCGAGCAGAGAGGCCAGCATAAGACAGAGAGAGGATATTATCTCTTTGAGCAGAGGAGATGGCTTTCATGGTGATTATGACTATGACACATGAGATATTCTGGTTTATATAGTTAGATATAGTCATAAAATAACATAATGACACCACTTCATGATTTTTGTGGTGTCATAAATAATGATTTATATAGTTTTTCTGGTTTATATAGTTAGATATAGTCATAAAATAACATAATGACACCACTTCATGATTTTTGTGGTGTCATAAATAATGATTTATATAGTTTTAATATACACTCAAAAAACTGTCCACATGAGTCATTATTTTATAAGCCTTATGTCTCCACCATATCTCCACTGATTCCCACGGTGTAGGGCTCAAATGAAAGCCCTGAAGCCATACTACAACGTGGTATAAGCATGTCCTTGAGGCATTTGTTTGTTCTCACACAATATCATAGATAGTGAAAAATGTCAAAACATGTGGACAGTTTTTTGAGCCACTGTATCTCCATGAAAACTGTGATTATACATATGCCATGCTAAAGGAGAATATGCCAAAGGCCATGGAGTCCATGAAGTTGGAGGTCATTTGCCATTGGGAATACTGCATGTACCAGTGGATGGATGCATACAGATTGGGGCTTGGCACAGCCAAGGCACAAGCTTGTGTAAAGGAGTTCAGTTTGATGAAATACAAGTCTCACAGGTGCATTCCAGAGGCCATTGCTCATGCATTTGATTAGTAGTCACTGATAGGCACCAAATTAGTAGCAGTTGCAGATTTTTAGCAATGATGAATCCCTCTAAAGGTTCAATTCAAATTAGTATATAGAGCATTTTTACGAGAGGAATTTTTTGTTTTTTTTTGAATATTATAAAAGTGTTGCACAAAGTTGGTGGTACATAAGTGAATGGCACCATAGATCAGTGAAAATATCAGACTCTCCTTCAAGAATTCACATGAGCTGAACAAGATTATTGACAGTGAACCTCTAGGCCATCCCAAATTCAAATGTGAACAGATCATTGTTGCTGATCAAGCATTTGATACTTATTATCATGATATAATTGAATGTATCAAAGTGCTCTTTGGTGATCTGAATTTTGCCCAGTATCTTGTCTTCATGCCCAAATGCCACTACACTGATGAAGACAAGACTGTTCATTTATATCACAACATGCACACCAGTAAGTGGTGGTGGAACTGCCAGGTTTGTAAAACTTGATCTGTGAATTAATCTGTAACTAGCTAACATGATATTCCTAGAAAAAGCTTGATGAGGAGCATCCTGGCATAACAGTAATCCTGGTCATAATCTCATCAGACAAGACCCAAGTGACCATGTTACACAACAAGACAGCATACCTGGTATACATGACTATCAGCAATATTCTGAAAGAGATTTGTTGGAAGCCATCACACCAGGCCCACATTCTCCTTGCATACCTCCTGACCACTCACCTCAAATGTGTCACAAACAAAGCTTCTCAGTGTCACATGCTTGCAAACCTCTATCATGCTTGTATGGGACATATTCTCGCTCCCCTCAGCACTGTTGGAATTGAAGGGATCAATATGCAAAGTAGTGATGGAGCCATGTGATGAGGTCATCCTCTGTTTGTGTGCTTTGTTGGAGATTATCCAGAGCAGGTCCTAGTGACTGGGGTCAAGACTATGACGTGTCCAAACTGCAATGTTCCCTCCGATGAACTAGGTTTATTGGCTGGGGCTGTGAACTTTCAACCATGAGACCTGGCTGCTGTGCTTGATGCACTTGCTACTCTTGATGACAGTGGAGTAGTCTTTGTTTGTGCATGCACAGAGGCTGGTATTAAGCCTATCATTCACCCTTTCTGGGAGCCACTACCATTAGTCAACATCTTTGAGTCTATCATGCCAGGCATTCTCCATCAATTATACCAAGGTCTTGTGAAGCACCTGCTTGGTTGGTTGTCTGATGTGTGTGGTGGTGAAGAGATAGATGCACAATGTCAATGCCTTCCCCCTAATCATCATATTTGACACTTTGTCAAGGGTATCACAACACTTTCATGATTAAGTGGTACCAAGCATAGACAAATATGTCAGTTCTTGCTTGGCATCATTGTTGATATCAGGCTCTCAAACAATATGTCCTCTGCTTGACTCCTCTGTGCTGTCTGTGGGTTACTGGATTTTATATACATATATCATGCAATACCCATCTCACAGTTCTGAGACACTGGTTTTCCTCAACAAGGCTCTCAAGCTCTTCCACAGGAACAAGGTCATATTTGTTGACCTTGGCATTTGGAACTCATTCAACCTACCAAAGCTTCATTTTGCACTTCACTATACTCATATGATTTGCACATACAGCACAACTGACAATTATAATACCAAATCCATGGAGCATCTCCACATTAACCTTGCAAAAGATGCCTACCACTGTTGTGCATGGTATGGAGTTCATACCATGACATATACAAAAAGAAGTATAGAAGGAGATGATTAGGAGAGTGTATGAGGATATATTTCTCACTTATGAGCTTAGTCATCTATTTCCCTTTATTTATTTACTTGTATTTATAGTTTCAGCCACTTGACTACATCAGTGAACCACTCAGATATGTTTGTAAGCATGTCATGTGACTGGTAATATTCTGATTTGTAAGGATTTTTCCATGACTTATCATGTTTTGTCATGATTTGTCATGCTTTGTAATATTTTACTCATGTACTTTAGTAAGCAGCTGATTCAGCACACCAAAAGGCTTGGTTTGTAAGCATATTCTTACCAATCCAGTGATGAGTCATTGCTTAGTAAGGATGGTTTCTAAAATGTATATAAGGACTCCATTCTCACATAATCAACAAGTTTTTCCCTCTTCTTTCTTGTCTCAAACCATGAGATTCATAAGATTTGAAGTGCAGGAGTTTTCCCTCTTTCTGTCTCAATAGTGTGAGATTATGAAGAAAGTGAAGGCCTCAAGATTGCCTTTGAAAACAATAGTATTTCTAGTCTAGATTGGTTGTATACTTACTATCTTACAGGGATCGCCTATACAACAGTCTATCATATTTAATTCAGCAGAGGTCCATATTACCTACTAGGTTTAAGTTAACCTGACAAAATATATACTTCCCTTTACTATCAAGAAGTGATCTAGCAAAGAAGTAATTTATTACCCTTTGGCCACCCACAAAAAACATGTTATCAAGTAGAAAATCTGTTGACCATGAACTTGAGGAGCTGGCACCTTAGTCTTATTGAAGTACAATTGTGATAGTCATTGTATTTCACCTCAACTTATATAAGACCCTCAAGTAAGAAAACAACGGTCTCAGAGGCAATCAAAGCATCAGCATCAGCTTTGACTTGGTCTTCATAATGCATATGTGAGTAAATTTTGACTTCCTGAGGAGCACATGTCCCTCTCATTTCATCTCCACCAGCCAATGTGGTCTCAAGCCTTAAGACACTGTGAGATCCACCTGATCAGGCCAGATGTGCAACATTTGTACACCACCAAAACCAGTTTTAGAAATTTTTTTTAACAAGGTATGTGTATAATATTGCAGTCATGCAACTCATGTTATGATACACCCTGCCCTGCTGTACTCCCCTCCCTCTCTTGTCACCTATTGTTTCCATCTGACTCATATTATGCTTACTGTATTACATTGTGTGTCACTACTGCCGCCATTAGATGCTGTCTACATGTCCTATTTCTGTATCCATTTCCTTTCTTGTATCTCTGACTTGTCACTTTATCCTTATTAGGCATATGCTTGTATTCTTACTTACTTGCACCTGCCCTAAACCTTCCATAGCTATTCCCTATAAATACATGACTCTACTGTTGTAATCTTACTAAGTTTTACCTGGAACTTCCTTTGCTTAAGACCACCAATCTTAAGTCATCTGAACTGTACTTTAAGTCAGAGGCACTCCCTCTGTCTTAGCTTACCTTGAACGTTTGGCTTATCACCTTATGTAGATTCTCAGCAGAGGTCCTGACTCTTATTGAGTTGTCTGTCATTAGAACTATCCTAGTTTGTAACAAAAGATTAAAGTCCAGAAATCCTGTGGTATCATCACATGTCACTGAACCCAGAACCAGAAGCTGTTCCCATTAGAGCTGCAGAAAGACTCGCTTCCATGACAGGAATTGCAGAGCACCCTGACTTCGTTAACCCCCATCTTTGGAGTGCTAAACCTCAGCAGAACCATACCACCTATCCCACCTTTACCGCCAGCCATGTCATCTACAAAAGCAACTGAGATCAAGATTGAGACGCCACCCATCTTTGATGGTGATAGAGAGAAATCAGAAGGCTTTTTGCTAGCATGCATTGCCTACCTTGACATTAATGATAAGATCTACATTGATGAGAAACAGAAGATCATCTTTGTGACTTCATTTATGAACTTGGGCAATGCCTAGTTATGGAAAGAAGACTTCCTTCATCTTGCTCAAGACCCCAAGAATACTATGACTGGTGGCACCATCATCAGTTATGGAACCTGGGCCGACTTCCTCACCAGCTTTAAGAAAGTGTTTAAACCTCTCAATGCTTCTGGTACTGCACTGGCTAAGCTGTGCGACTTGAAACACCATCCTGGGGAGCTTCAGACCTTTATCACTGAATTCCAGATGCTCATGCATTGCACTGGAATTAGGGAGAATGTGGCTAAGATCCAGTTTTTCTTGGATGGTTTGCACATGGGTTTACTCGTTAAACTCTATGGCACTGGAGATGTATCTGAATATTTTGATGTCATAGTCCAGACCTGCATCAACCTTGACAACTCCCACCAACATCTCATGGCTGTTTGCAACTATAACCAACCACAGAAGAAGAAGAGCTATGGTCCCTCCCACTACACTCCCTTATGCGACCCCAATGCTATGGAAGTTGATTGTCTCATGAAGGAAGAGAAGACCAAGCACTACCAGAATGGCAAGTGCTTCATGTGTCACCATAAGGGCCATGTATCCCATAACTGCCCAAAGAAGAAGAACAGAAAAGCTCCAGTTTGTTGCACTGAGCCTGCTGAAGATGACAAAGAAGCAGAAGTTTGTTGTATTAACAAGGATTTTTGATGTGGAAGACTGGATCAACACCAGTATCTTCCAATGTACCTATTAGACTTGTTTGTGGTGTAGGAATCAGAAAGGAACTTTGTGTTCCTATTTTGCTCATCTCCAAAACTCAATGAAAACCATCAAAATGACAGCTGTTGTTGACTCTGGTGCTGCCAGAACCTTTATTTCTGAAGACTTCATCAAACTCCACAAGATTTGCATGCATCAGCTTATGAAACCATTCCAAGTCACTACTGCAGATGGAAGTTATGCAAAAGGAGGCGCTATTACCCATTATTGCACCCTCATCATAAAGATTGATGAATGATCCATGCTTGGAAAGTTTAATGTCACTAGACTCAGTCACTGTGACCAGATTCTACTAGGGATCCCTTGGCTGTGTGCTATGGACCCAGTAATTTGGTGGAAAGCCAAAAGCCTTAAACTCTCTCATACTGAGAAGAGTGACCTCATTGAGGACAATGTCAACACCAAATGGAAGAAGAATGGCCTTCCCCCTCTCTTCCAGAAACCTGTCAAGAAGCCCATTGATAAGATGTGGAAGAACTCCCATCTAAAGAAAGAGATGACACCAGTTGTAATGCTGCCAAAGGTGCCTCCTGTGCAGTCCACCCCAATTAGAGAGCAGCCAAAGGCGCCTCTAGAACTACTCTCTCATGTGACTATCAAAGAAATCCTAGACAAAGAAGCACCCCTGGTATTACCCAACCTTGACCCCATCCCTGATGATGATGACAACTCTTTTAACACTAAAGATGATGTTTGGACCCAGGACTACACACCCCCAGTACACGAACTTGCCACCTACCACCTTGATGATGATGAATTTTTGGTTGAATACCCTGTCAATGCAACTGAGCTCCAGGTCATCACCAATGTTTCTATGGACACCCCATTAACTAAGGATGGTACTAGTCTCATGGAACAGAAACCCATGGTCACACCTCTGTCACAGCCCACCAAATACATCAAAACTAGTAACAAAGCCCAGCAGTTTGCATTAGCAGCCAGTGTGATGATCATACCAGTGCTAGGCATGTATGATCACCAGCATGGTTCTTCTCACTACCAGGAAAGGAGATAAAGCACTGATCATTAATCCATATATATCAACTCATCTACCTTTAGTATGCTCCTTTGACAATAGGCATGCACTCCTCCCACAACCTGCACTCCCATTTAGCTTTGGTCTGGTCCTAGGAATCCATCCTCCCATGTCCTATCCATGTTCACCTATCTCCACTGGTGCATTATTTTCCCAAATGTCATTACTAAACGAGCTGCAGGTCTTATTACATGTTACTCACATTCTGCAGCGCGTGATGTCTTATTACCTATAAACTCATCATACACTAACTATGCTACAATTCTCGCCTACACATTCCAGACCTTCACATGCTACAATAAAATGACTGCAGTACATATGATTGAGTTAGTTCCCTTCCCCCTGGACTCAGCCCTATAGGAGAGTCGCCCTTGCGTTATTTTTGTAGACCTTGTGCAATCCAATCT